TATTCGAAAACCATCGATAAGTGGTATCTTTTTTCCAACTTGATGGATCAAGTCTGATCACCCATTAAAAAGGTATAACTCGTTAAATTTGAAAACATCAAATAACTGGACCTATTTGGTTATAACTTTTTAATGAGTGATCAGATTTTATCTATCCTATTAGAAAAAATTTTCGAGGGCTTTCGAATGATATGAAATTCGTTTGTATTGGATCAAGCATTAAAAATTTATAGCCGATCAAATTCGACTGCCATCAGTTTGCGGTCGTATAACGGAAATGTACCAAAAAATTTTCAAAAAATTTTTTCAAGTAAAAAATCATTTCATATTTCCTTTAAAACCGCTTCCACCTATTTATTTCCAAAAAATAATATTTACTTTTTAAAAAAACTTTTTAAATAAATTTTTTTGCCCTTTCCAGTCTGTCAGTCACATTTTGACATTTATTAGCTATTTATTTATTTTTAATACTTTTTTAAAGAAAACAAATTTAAAAGAAAAAGCTCTTTTATTAAAATATTTTCTCATTATTTTTATTTAAAAATGTCTAGGTTTAGGTAGGAGGGCAGTTAATGAATGTTTATTTGTTTAAAATTAAATTTTTGTTTTTCTTTTTTTTTAAATATTTGAAAGACATTTTATTCTAATTTAGTTAAAAACAGGAAGTTGTCTAAAATTTAAGTCTAGAAATAAAATAATTTTTAATATTAAATTAGATTTCCTCTTTTTTTATTAAGTAACTTGATCCGAAGAATATTTAAAAAACTTTAAAAAATTATTTTTAGAAATTACGTGTCTATCACTTAATTCAACAAAAAATAGAAATTTAGTTTTAAGGGATAAATTGATATATTCTGAATTTACTTCTCTTTTTTTCAAAATTTCTTCTAGTTGGGAATCAGGGATGCCACTCTTAGTGTTTCACCAGAACCGAAATTTTGACCGGAAACGGAACCGGATCTAATTTGAGTCCCGGTTACCGAAACCGAACTTAATTCCGGAACCGTAACATTCCGGAACCGTAACCGGAACTTCCGGTGAATCTCTAGTCACTGGTTACCCGAAACCCATTACATCCCTGGTAAGAATCCTGCTGAAACCGTTCACTATCTTCGAAAAACAAAAAAGCGATTTTATGTTGATCCGTGCTAATTAATTATTTCCTTTATCCAGTAGACTTTTCAGAATCAGTTCCGTCCTATATCCTTTTCGTCAGGAATCACCTCAAGATATTTTATAGACATTTACGTCACAAACTTTTTTTATTCATTTATTATTTTATTCATTTATTATAAAAAATATTCAAAAGAAGCCAAAATATGTACTTAATAATTTTTTAAAAAACTCCATTTTCTTTTAAATAATTATTTTTATTTTTTAAAAACAATTTTAAATTTTTTTCCGGTTTTTCTAAAAAAAGTTTTTTTTAACTTTTTTTAAAATAAATCCAAATATTTTTTTATCAATTTGCCAAAAACAAAAACGGCAGCAATTATTTAACAGTCCAGTAAATATATAAACCTTTTCTTACTTTTTTAAAAAAATTTTCTTTTTCAAGCAATTATTCCCTCCTCTACTCTTAAAAATATTTTTCTTCCAATTTTCTCTTTTTTGTCAGTTTCAGAAAAATATTTTTTCTTTCATTTTAGAATTCTTTATGTTTTTAAGTTTTTTTAATTTAAAATAAAATAAATAATTATTTAAAAAAAAATTATTATTAAATGTTTTTCTGACAAACTAAAAAAGGGACAGGCCGTTCTGGCGCGAGCTTATAAAACAGTGAGTTGCTTATCAAAAATGATATAATTTTGCAATAATAACCCTCGCACTTTTATCTAAGTTCACTAAATATTTCAGAATTTTTGATCAAGGATTTCAGAAATCGTGGCCAAAAATGTTGATTTTCTGAAAAATGCCTAATTTTTCGATGTCTATCGACTATAACTTCAGAAATATTTGATGAAAAATTTTTAAATTTCTGGAGGAGGTAGTCAAGGATGTTAAAGAAATTTGAGAAAATTTTTGTGAATTTAGGTCACGCCTAAGTGCCAGTTTTCATTTCTCGCGCTATACGGCCCGGCGCCAAAACGACCCCAACCTACTTAAAATGGATAATTAATATTTAAAAAATAAATAATTATTTTTTTAATTTTTGATTTTTTGGACTTAAATTAATGAGAATTATAAAATAATTAATTATTTTAAATATTAGTAAGCAAAAATATTTTTTTAAATTTTCTTTATAAAATTTATATTTTTTATTTTAATATTCTGACTCTTTAAATATTTTTTTTTCTATTTTTAAATATTTTTAAATATCCATATCATTTAAATCTTTATTTGAAATTTAATATTTTATATAAAAAGACTAAAAATATAACTCTTTTTAATATTGCTAAAATTGTTGTGATGAACATTTGTTTTAAATTTTGAAAAAAAGAGTTTAAAGATTAGAAAAGTAAAAATACTCATATTTTAAAGAAGAGAATTATTTTTACATTAATTATCAACACTTTTTTTTAAATTAATTAAAAATTTTCTAGACTAGTTTTTTTGCAGATTCTATTAACCCAACAATTTACTCAATAATTTATTTAGATAAATAACTTTTGAAAAAAAATATTTTTAATAAAATAAATTTGTTATTTTTTTGTTTAAAATATATAATTATTTAAGAGTTTTTTTTTCTTAAATTAAAAAAAAAATTTTAAATTATTTTTCTCAACTTTTTCCGTTATGAAGCAAAAGAACAATAATTTATATTTTAAATTAGGTTGTAAACTAAGTTTTAAGAGTTGTTTTATTAAGAATTTTTTCCTAGAGTTTTAAGCCCCCTAGAGTTTCCTACATATATCACCTTATTCTTTGAATTTTTCTCTATCAGAATTTATTCAATTTTCTGTTTTACACGTTAATTAAAAAGTGAAAAATTACTTAGTTTCAAAAATTCGAATTTTTGTATTTTACCTCTAGATCCTGCCAACTTAATCCTATGACTCTGATTTTTCGCCCAAAAATAGGCAACTCTCTTAGGAACATAAAGAAAATGTATTACATTTTGTAAACATTTTGTTGAATTTTAATAATTATTTAATGAACTTCACCCAAGGGAGGCTTAAAACTTACCTAAGTAATTCAAAAAACAAGGATTCCTCAAATCCTTGAATTTTTAATAAATTTATTTTAATATTTTGGCAACATTTATAAAAAAAGATTTTTTTAATAAAACAATTATTAAAAAAATTATTTTAGTTTTGAGAATCTCTTCATAAAATCTTTTAAAAAAATTTTTTTGAAAAGGCTCCTTTTTGCTATATTTACTATGACACACAATTCTCAAATAAATTTATAATTTTCTAAAAAAGAATTTTTTTAATAAAAGAAATATTAAAATAAATTAGAAGAAGCCTTTAAAAAATATTTATTTTATTAAAATATTAATTAAAATGTTAAAAATTTTTTTTCTTAATTTAAAGACAAAAATAGATTTATTTAAAATATAATACAAAATTTAAAAATTTTTAAAGAAATATTTATTTTTTGTTTTTAAAAAACAATTTCTCTCTCTATTTAAAAAATAAAAGGACAATGAAAACAATTGTTTTAAAATAATGAGAAAATAATTAAATTTTTTTTAAATTTATTTTTTTAGTAAAAACACAATTTATTTGTTTTTTATTTTAATTTAAATAAATATTGGGGAAATAAATATTGGATAAGAAAGTAACGTAAAATCTATATTAATTGCCCTCCCTCAAATAATTACCTCTCTTCTATTAATTATCCTCTTCAGCGATAGATTGAAATAATAATTACCCCCTCCCCTCCAAATGCCTTAAAACACGTTCAAACTTCAAACCTCATATAACTACACTCCCTCGATTATTACTCCCTCCAGCAGAAGGTCGAAACAATAATTACCAAGGGTAATTATTTAAAATTTTATGGTATATTTATTTAGAAATTTTCCAAAAGGTTCTTTGAGATATCTATCTCGAATTTAAGTCAAACAATTCTCTAAACTAAATTAAATAAACTCTGTTTTAAGAAATTTTTTTATTAACTACTCTTTAAATTAATTTTTTAATTTTTTTTTGTTGAAATTTTTAATTAAATATTTATTTTGTTAAAAATTATTTTTAAAAATTATAAATATTTTTATTTAAATAAATTAAAAATTTATTTTTATTTTTTTATTTTTTGTTTTTTCAATAGAAAATCACGATGCTTTAAAATAATTGATTTTTAAAAATACGTTGGCAAATAATTTATTTAAGTAATTAATAGATAAAAATAAAATTAAAATTAAAAATTAACAACAACTGTTTATATTTTATTTTTAAATAAACACTAGAAATCTTTCACAGATATTTTTTTAATTTTGCTTAAATTAAGAAAATTTAAAGAGAATTTTGTGTCATTTACAAGTATTTTTTTAATTCTTTTTTTAATTTATTTATTTTTTTTGTTTTATAATTTAGTCATCAATCTCTCTCTCTTTATTTAAAACTAAAGCATCATTTGTCAAAATTTTATTTTAAAAAAAATTTATAATAATAAAATAATAATTAATACTTCTATAGTGTTGCGAGAAATTCGGAAATAAAATATTTATTTGTGAAAGAATTTATATTTTTAATTATAAAATAATTTATTTATTAAAAAAATTATTTTTTAATTTACTTTAAATAAATATACTTTGAAAATCCTTTATTTTTTATTTAAAAATTTAAAATTACCTGTATATCAGGGATAGGCCATGTCAAGAAAAAAGCCGGGTCGGATTTCGGATCGTATTTTGGATTCTGGGTCGGAAAAAACCCGGTTTCGGCTCTCGGATCGGCCCGTCCCATCCTTGCTGTATTTAATCAGTTTAATTTTTAATTTATATTTATTTTTCTTTCTTGTTTTTAATTCATTTTATCTTTAAATCTTTTTCTATTATTAAATTAATAAATTCAATTGATAAAAATTATTTTATTTTTAAGGCACTTAATTAATTTTAAACAATATTAATTATTTGATGGATTGGTCTATCTGTACTTTAACCTCTCGGGGCACTCGAATTTGCCCTGGAGGTACTGAATATTTTATAAGAAATGTATATCCACCTATTCAAGTAATTAATTAATTATATTTTAATTTAAAAATTTATTTTCTATTAGGAACTTCAACCAAAAGTATTGGCTGTTGTAATTATTTTTACTTTATGTTTGGTTGTTGGAATATGTGGAAATGGTCAGTTAAATAAATAAATCTGGGCTAGGTCAAGGATACGGATGATGTTCATATGCCAGTGGATAAGTGTGGATATGTAGATGAAGGTATATCCGCCGGATATCTGCATTATCCACTATGCTTTTTTGCCACCTAAAATCTGACCTAATGAAGGATATAGACAAGAAATATGTCCCCGCAGATACTACGTGGGGTATGGAGATAAATATCATATCCGCCGGATATATGCATTGCCTACTATGCTTCTTATCCTTCTAAAATTCCAAAAAAATTCTCCAACGGACATACCCACATACAGAAACTAAAATCCCTAACCGTGACCAGCCCTAATATAAAATTAAAAAGTATTTTAAAATAACTATTTTTTAAGCATCCGTTTTAACTTTAATTTATGGAATGATTAAAGGAATTCAACCAAAAAATTCTTCACGTACCGGGCATCTTCCAAATTCTCAAAGAAGTACAGACAACACAATTTTATATATTGCCGTAAATTATTTAATTACCAAACATTTTTCAAATTATTTATTTAGGCCCTTTGTGTTGTTGATTTTTTAATGTCCTTATCTTTACCTCCAGCTATTTTGGTAAATTAAAATTTTTTTGTTATTTTTTGGGTATTCTATATTTTTCCTTGATAAAAATATTGCAAATAGTCAAATTTGTTAGAGATTATAAAATATGTATATAAAAAATAAAATTAAAAAAAGAATGAAGAAGAGTTTTAAAAAGAAAAATAAGTTGGCCTTTGATGGCCACACCAGTGATGCGGAAATTCCAAAATTTTACCGGTTCCGGTTCCACTTCCGGAATCGGAACGCCCGCATCACTGGCCACACTTGTTATTTTTCTTACAAATCCATTTAATCAGCTTTTTATGTTCAAGTGTTTTTCTAACTAACAATAAGCTTCAACCATCTTTAACCAATTGCAATATTTTGAAGAGAAGGAAAGAGGAAAAATAAAATTTATATTTTAATTTTTATATTTTAATTAAATATCAAAAAACTATTTTTAAAAATAAATTAAGGACAGCATAATTGGTTTTTGGATGTTTGGAACCCCTATATGTAAATTGTAAATATAAATTTTAAAAATTATTTTTAAAAATAATTTAAAAAAGGCATCACATTTTTGGTTCTGTTGGAAGAATTGTTTCAACATTTATAATTACAGCAATGTCTTTTGACCGTTGGGTTGCTGTCTGCCATCCTTATAAACGAAAATTTCGTTCAAGAAGATTTGTTCTTTGCACTATTTTTGGTAAAAAAAAATTTGAAAAAATTTCAAATAAATTTTTATTAATTTATTAGCTCTTTGGTTAATTGCTTTTCTTCTTCTTTTGCCAATGCTTACATATGCTAGGGCTAATGAAATTCTTGTAATTATTTCTTTAAATTTTAAATAAAATATATAATTATTAAATTGATAACAGTAAATTAATTTTTGAGGGTAAAAGGGTAGATTAGATCAAAACAAGTTTATAACCTGTTACTCAGTTCTTGTTTTTAAGCAGGGTTGTACCCCGAACGTTCGGGGGTGGTTGTGTCATGTACGGGGTTTTCCAATTGTTTCGGGGCGGGGTTTGGGTCGGGGATAATCGTGAAAAAATCTTGGGAACAACTCTATTTTTAAGTACCTAGATCGGCTTTGGGTTTAAGAAAATACAGATTTTTCGAAGAAAGGGCTTGAAAGGGTTATAGGAGATAATTCTAAAAATTATTCGATTTTTGAAGATTGACTGAAATTCTTTTTATATTTAATTAAAAAAAAAGTAGTATGTACATATTTATTATCACTTAAAGTTGCACCAACTTCGGCAACCAGATCCAGTATTAGGCATTACAAATATTACTCGAGTACGTGTTTATAAGTATGTTTTTCTTTAATTTTACTAAAAATATTTAAATATTTTTAGATGTTCTGATATGTTACCTCCACTAGTTTTTTATTGGTAAGAATTATGATTACACAAGATCGTTTAAAAGACAGTAAAAATAATTGTTAGGAAATGAAAGGGAGAATCGAATTTAAATTGTGTTAATTTTTGTGTTGCTTATAACTAGTTTATAAATTATTTCTGTCCCGTTTCCGGTTCAATTTTTTTTTCCGGTTCAATTTTTGGGATTTTTTAATATACTCAAACCCTGAACTTTTTTGCCCAAGACCGGGTATATTTTTTTCTCGTCCCGTTCCGTCCCTAACGGGGTGAGAAATCCGTTTTCCGGCCCCGTTTTGGGAAAAAATAATACTCGAAACCACGTATATTTTTTCTCACCTTGTCCTGTCCCTGACAGTTACCTCCAAGTAAACGATCTTGTGCAACCTTTAATTTTCTTGTTTCTAAAAATTTTCAATTTAAAGGTTTACTTCCTCAACATTTTTCTTGGGTTATTTAGTTCCCCTTATTTTGATTGTTTACTTCAATTATTGTTTAATTCGTAAATTATATAAACACACAAAACAATTAAGAAGTGGAATACCTTTACGGAGAATAACTATTTACACTATTTTAATTGCTGCTTTATATTTCCTTTGTTGGACACCTTATTGGTTTTTTTAATTTAAAAATTTCAAAAAAAAATTTCAATTAAAAAGGTGTTCTGTACTTTATGCTATTTGGATGTCTATATTTACTGTTGATAAACCAACATCAGAATTAATTCTTTTTATTATTTATTGTGTTCATTTACTCCCTTATTTGGGGTCTGCTTCGAATTGGATACTTTATGGGTAAATTTTAAATTACTTGGACCCAGGGATGGAGTTCCAGTTCCGAAACTGGAATTGGAACCGTGGAAGCGGTAAAGGTCCGGAACCGGTTTGGAACTGGAACCGATTGTTGGTTATCTTGGGTAATATCCTCTATTTAATATACCCCTCACTATAAGGTAATACAAATCTAGCCCCAAAGTGTACCTTTTGTAAGGTTAAACTGTAACTAATTTTTATTCATTTTTTTGTTTAAGCCTTTTAAACACACAATTACAAAGAAGACAACACGAACCTTCAACATCAATAACTACAGCAATACATACAAATATACCCCCAGATGAAGCTAATAGTTTATTTAATGAAAATGGTAAATAAAATGAATTTTGATATATGTACATTCTCTCCAAAAGACCAGTTTATAGGATATAATTATAGTGAGACTAACTATATCCGTTGAAAAATATTTGATGTTTTTATAAGATATGTAATTTCCCTGTTTCAATTCTCGGACACAATATTCTTGATCACACTATAATACTTAAATTATAAAGAAATATTCTAGTTAAATTTTATGAATAAAGAGACCAATTCAACTAACAAAATTTAATTTAAAGATACTCATCAAAATAGCAATTTAATTAATTGTTGGAAGCATTCGGGTATTCCAAATGGGCATTCAAATATAGCTAAAGCAATGGGACGTAAATCTAAAAGACAAACATCTTCTGCTGACAGTAAAGAAGATTTATTGTTGTTAGATACTAACAAGTATTTTAAATTAATTAAATTAAATTTAAAAATTTAAAAAGGCCTTCAAAACGAAAATCAATTTCCCTTTGTAATAATGAAAATAATAAAATAATTAATGGAAATGATTTTATCTCAAATAAAAATAATTTACAACAACAATCATTTATTTCTTCACCTTCTTATTCTTCAGAATTAGAACAAACACCTAATGAAGAAGAAGGGGATCAACAACTTTAAATTTTTAAAATAATATTTTTTTTCAAAATTTTATTTATTTTATATTTTACTTTTTTTTCATAAATTTTAATAAAATTTTATATAAATTAAAATAAAAACAATTTTTAAAGATCAACTAGGTAGGTTTAATATTTTATGATAAATATAATAAAGCCTATCCGCGCTAGCTATTTCTTTTTAATCTAAAAGATTAGGGGACTGGAAGCAAAACATCATCTTCATTTGACCAGACTTGTGTGTTGTTATACATACGTTACACCAAGCTGCTTTTTCTAAAGAATAGCTTTTTTTTCTTCCTTCTATGTCGGGAGTCACCTACATATGTCAAAAAATCTGGTTTACAAAAAAAAACGAACCAAATCGAAGAAAACCAAACTCGAAAAAATGCACCGAACTGCGGCTCGGACAGGAAACGTCAACCCTAATTCTATCTTTATCAACAATCTGACAATAAACTATAAATAATTAGATAAGAAAATTGAATTAATAAAATATAGAGGGATTGTTATATTAAATGGAAATTTAATTAAGTAAATATTTAATTTAGGTAAATATTAATATACTAATAATAATTCAAAGAAATATGTAGATAATCATAAAACTTTTAAAAGGATCTGTGTTAGATTCTAGCAGTACTGATTAAAATAAACATCTTCATCAAGGTTTAGAAAAATATATAAAATCTGTTTTAACATCTTCATCAAGGTTTAGAAAAATATATAAAATCTGTTTTAAATCTTGTTGTTGTAAAGCATATAGCAAAAGCATCTCTATTGTAAAGCATCTAGCTATTTATTTCCTAAGGCTATGCAGTAGGCGGCGTGGTGTAACGGATAACACATCAGTCCGGTCTACTGAAGATGCTGGTTCGCTCCCAGCCGCCGAATAACCTTTTGCACTAGCTAAAGGAGATAAAAAGCTATAGCCCAGCGGAAACCTTTTCACCTGTCATTGAATAAAATTTTTCCCTAAAATAGCAATATAATAAGCATTCGAGTTCATTATATCGATACTATATGTATATTTTGATATTTTTATTTAAACATATTACAGAAATAAGGAAAAATATTACAAATATGAAAATGAATGGCCCTCATACATAGAGTTCCAAATACATAGAGATGCAACCTTGTTTGCTCGTTTCAGACATCTACCAACTCAAGTTAAGAATGGTGTTATATAAAAGCCCATTGTTTTTGTTGTTTGTTCATCTGAACAATCAAAACATGTCTTCCTCAAAAAAAGTTTTAATGCTTTTCGCTACGTTCGTTTTTGTCATTTATTCTGTCGGATTGTTAAATCTTGTTGAATCTACTACGACTAGAATAATTAAAGTTGGACGAGGCAAACACAAATTGGAGGGTGATAATGTGATTCTGAGTGATGGTTCGAGGATTGCTGAAAGAGGAGAGGACTACAAGTTTCAATCAACAGAAGAATCGTGCGATTTATATATCGATCACAACAAAAATATGTAAATTAAATTACTACTGTTATAATAATCTATAAAAATATTTTCAGAATTTTGGACTTTTGGAAGCATGGAAATTGTACTGTGGAATTTATTGTTGAAGATTCGGATATTTTAGACCCTAACAAGACTTCACATCCCGTCGAATTCACAATGAAATTCTTTAATCACAAATCATTAAATAATTGTTTGGATTGTTTTGATTCTAAACTAAAGAACAAAAATATGTATGTTAAGTAAAGCAGCTGGACTATAGCTATTTCTCTCCTTTAGCTAGTGCAAAAGTTTAATCGGCGGCTGGGAGCTAACCAGCATCTTCAGTAGACCGGACTGATGTGTTAGCCATTACACCACGCCGCCTACTGCACAGCATTAGGAATAGGGTTGCCGTTTTCGGTTCGAGCCGACGTTCGGTGCATTTTTTCAAGCTTGAATTTTTTTTCCGATTCGGTTCGTTTTCGAGCTTTTCGAGATGAAAAGCCTCGGCTCGCTCGATCTTTCGAGTTTCGCGTCGAGCGAGCTGGCACCCCTAATTAGGAATTAAATAGCTATGTGCTTTACAGTTACAGTTAATATATATTTTTAATTTAAATAAAAATATTTTTTAGGCTTACTCTTACTTTTATTAATAATGATTTGGCATTGGTTTCCTACCGAATGAGTGTTTGTATTAATGAGAAACAATTAATTGGGACATTTCTTGGTAAATTCTAAAATTTAGTTCATAATTCATAAAATTTTAAGCTGCCAGTTGTTCACACAATTTTATATGTTTTAAAGAAGTAATCAACAACACGCAGAAGTTAATTAAACTCAAGTTTCATAAAAATGCATTTTCTCTTCTAAATAAAAATAATTACGATTTTACCGATTGCCATTCAATATTCCCTGGCTGTTCAATAGAATTAACTACAGTGAAGGCTTGGAAAATTATAAATGTTGGAGATAATAGCGATGAAAGTTTAATTGGCAAACGATTAATTGTTTTACATTTATTGCCTGATTATATATTCCCTTCTTACAATTACACAGAAAATGGGACAATTCAAAAAGAGGAGACTGTAATTATGCCAAAATGTTCCTTTACAATTGAATTTGTAAGTTTAATTTTTAACTTAATACATATAGTCAAACAAACCTCAATGTAAGGTAAAACTATCCGCTTACCCCTATTAGATGGCCTTAATTAAAAATAATTTTTTTAATTTGGCTGACCACTGAATCGGGGGGATCTGCCTAAAAGATAACCCAATATAATATACCTCTCTCTCACTAAAGAACAAATTTTTCGACTTAGTATATTTTTAGTGAGGTCCGACTGCAATTCTTTTTAAAATATTTATTTTTTAGTCTGGTAAAAAATATAAAATGTTAACAACACAAAAACCTTGGAAAAACTTTAAAACGACAACAATTACAAAAACACCAACTTTTTTTAACAACAAAACATTTACTACAACATTAAATCCAGAAAACAATTCAACACTTACAGAAACAACATCAACAAAAACTACCTTAACAACTACACAATTAAAAACTTTAAATAAAACTAAAGCAACAATACCAGTGCTTATATTTCCGCCAGAACCAAACGAAAGAGAAAAGGATGGAATAATTGATGCGATAATTATGTTTGCTATACTTATGTAAGTTGTGTTTATTTTGTTGTTTTGTCAGTCTACCGCAGACCTTGTTTATTGCATAAATGTCTCGAGATCAAACCAAGACTAGAGATCAGACCGAGGCAAGATAACGAACAAAAATCGGTTGTCAAGAATTCATTTTTTGAGATATAGATCTCGATTCTCATAAGACACTCGCAGTCTAATCTCTAATCATGGCTACCTATATTGTTAGTTTGATTATATGTACAATTCGAATAATATTAAAAGTGTCTAGATCCGATCGTTAATACATATAATAACCTTGGGATAGATTGGGTTGCGGTAGATCGTAGGGTTCTCATCCGTTTCAAAAATAATTTCTTTATTCTTTTTTAGTCTATTAATTTGTGTTGCAATTGGTTATTACTTTATCTATCTCAAGAAGAAAGAAAAACCAGAAGACGAATTCAAAAGCGATTTAAGTATAAATCCAGTAGTTATTGTAGCTGAAGATGAAGGTTTGGATGTTGATAAAACACAAGAAGATGAAGAAACAAGTAGTGATAATGAAAATTCTGAGGAAGTTGAAATTGTTAGTGAGGGAACTAGTAATAGTTTAATGGTTGATAAAACACAAAGAGAAGAAGAAGAAGAAGAGGAAAAACAAGAGAAGAAACAAAAGGAGGATAAGAAGGATTTTGTTTTAAAAATTGAAAAGAATGAAGAGGATGAAAATATTGTTAAAGTTTAGATTATATATATATAGGTGATTATTGTTGATAATATATGTATTGGCATTAAAATGTTCATATTGTAAAGCTATAGCTATTTAATTCCTAAGGCTATGCAGTAGGCGACGAGGTGTAATGGCTAACACATCAGTCCGGTCTACTGAAGATGCTGGTTCGCTCCCAGCCGCCGAATAACCTTTTGCACTAGCTAAAGGAGAGAAATAGCTATAGACCAGCTGCTTTACTATATATGTTTTTATATAATGTTTTTATAAATATTTAATGGTAATTGTTCATTATTAGGGAATTCGTTTCTGTTTATACTTCCCTTCAAATGAAACATTTTTAAAATTTCTTTCTAAAATGTTTTTTAAAACACATAATACTTTTTACAATGTTGCCAGCTCGCTCGACCCAAAACTCGAAAGATCGAGCGAGCCGAGGCTTTTCAGCTCGAAAAGCTCGTAAACGAATCGAAAAAAACCAAACTCGAAAAAATGCACCGAATGTCGGCTCGAACCGAAAACGGCAACCCTAGATATAATGGTAACAAAACTGCGGCTCCCCAAACGACTGGAGTGCCAAATAATGGTTAAAAATAATTTTTTGTGTAACTTTAAAATTTATTTCTTATATTTATTAAAATTTATTAGTTTCAACTTGTCTTTAAAAATGTACATACTATATTTAATACAGGGCTCGGATCGTCAAAATGCCAATAAAAAGTACAAAAATCTTGATTTTAAAGTACATAGGGGCAAAATTTGCACATTTAAAGTACACTCAAAATTAAATTAGAAAATATTTATTCGTGCTCAAATCTTTTATATTTCTCTCTTAAATTAATCTTTTCTAATAATTTCTTGTTTCAACTTAGCATTTAGTGAATTTCAATGCACTTTTTTGTGGAGCCGAAGGCGCCAAAAAATCTATTTTTTTTGCGCCGCAGGCGAAAATTTTGAGAAATTTGGGGGTCCTTAAGCCAGATTTCTTCCATTTTTTGCGCCGCAGGCGAAAATTTTGAGAAATTTGGAAGACCGCTAAGCAAGAAATCTTCCATTTTCAGCGCCGCAGGCGAAAATTTTGAGAATTTTGGGGGTCCTTAAGCCAGATTTCTTCCATTTTTTGCGCCGCAGGCGAAAATTTTGAGAAATTTGGGGGTCCTTAAGCCAGATTTCTTCCATTTTTTTCAAAATGTTGATTTTAAAGTACATACTTTCAATAAAGTACAAATTCAATTTCGTAAGTACGGAGGTCGATTTTAAAGTACTGTACTTTCAAATAAAGTACGAATCCGAGCCCTGATTTAATACATTATATAATACTATTTATAAATTAAAAAAAATAGAGAAGGAAATAAAATGTATGAAAATAATAAATTATGCACGTAGTCAATTTTAAAAATATAAATTAATTAAATTACAAAAAAAATATTTTTTATTTAAATATAGTATTCGCTTTAACTTCCTTCCAACTCCTCATATTTAAATTCCATTTTTCTTATAAAATCCGTTAGCAATTGTTTGGGAAGGTCCAATATATTCCTTATGTTTGGGCAAAATCCCTCTCTCAATCAATGAATAAGCCATTTCAATTAAAGAAATTTCTGGGTTTCGAAATTCAATTCCAAGGAGTTTTTTGGCCTAAAAATTAAAAAAAATATTCTTCCAAAAATTTTGTTTACTTTTTTGTTGTCAAAAAGAATTTGTCTGTTAAGTCGAGAAAGAACAGAACGAGTTTCTGAATCAAAAAAAGAATAGAGCCAAACACAGAAATAAGGAGCTTCGTAATGAGGAAGCCAATAACCTTTAAATTAAAATTTTTTTCTTTAAACTAGGGTAGCAACCCCCCCTTCGTGGCCGGGTGTGTCGGGGAGTTTGCCGGGGAAGGCATGTCGAAGTCGGGGTTTCGGGAGTCGGGTTGCTACCCTACTTCAAACTAAATAAAATCCCTTCCACCTTGCTTTTCAAATTCTTTAGCCAATATTTTGGCAATATCTTTAAACCAAAAACTTGGCTGTGAAGTAATTAAAATTCGTTCATTATCGGATTCTGAATTTGTCATTGCCGATATATGTGCTCTTTAAATTGATTTTTTATTTTTAAAAAATAATTTTTTAAGAACTTAGCAACATCAGTAACATCAACAAGGGCTAATTGAAGTGCGGGGACTAATGGCATTTCATTATTTAAAAAGCGGCGAAGTATCTGTTAGAAACAAAAAAATTTTTAATTTAATATTTAAAGACCTCACTATAAGATACCCCCAATACTAGATACCAGAGGTGAATCAGAGTTCCGATTTCCGAAAATTTAGGCAGATTTCCGACTTACGAGTTCCGACTTTTGAGCCATTTCCGATTTCCAACAGTTCCGATCTCAGGCACCTTTGCCGTTTCCGATTCACCTCTGCTAGATACCCCTAATTTAAGATGCCCCCTCATTACAAGCTATCTCGGAAATATCTTATAGTGAGGTTGATAATAGCATATTTTTAGGTCCCTATTAAAATTCAAAATACCGTAATCGAAGTTCCTTGTATATCAATCAAAACAGGTCCAACAATTAACGTTGGATTTAAGCAAGTTAACGCAAATTTATTGTCAGTCTCTTTAATTAATATTTAATTTAATTAGTAATTAATTATTCAATTACCTTTCAAATTCTTAACAAATTCCCAGGCAGCTTTTTCTGCTTCAGTTTTGCTTCGACTATATGCAAGAACTTTTTTGCTATCAGTTTTTGTCCAATCTTCTTCCGAAAATTTTCGGTTCTCAGATTCATGGCCCTCTTTAAATTTAATTCAAATTGATTTAGAAATTTATATAAATCGAACACCCTTGGGGCTGAAAACACTATACGGCATAAGGAGGAATATTCTAAATCATGGGTCCTGTTTAAACAGTTCCCCCCCCCCCACCCAGTCACTAACTATATTTAAAAAATATATCCATCCTAAACCGAGCTATACTTATTTTGTGTGTAAAAATTTAGGTTCCATCCCCTCCTTCCCTCTCCTCCCCAATCTATTACCATTAATAGCAGCACAAGAACTTGTCAAAACAACTTTCTTAACAATACTATAATTAATATCAGCACACGCTTCCAAAACATTTAAAGTTCCCTTAACAGCAATATCAACAATTGTTTCATCTGCCGCAATAGGGAAAGGACTGGCAACGTGCAAAACATATAAACAACCAGAAATTGCTCTTAAAATAATTTTTTATTTGAAAAAATTTCCCAATTATTTAACTCTTTCCAACATTCTTTATTTGTCAAATCAGCCTCAATTAATTTAAAATTCTCTTTAGGAAAGGAGGAAGCCAAATCAATTAAAGGCTGGACTTTCGCTTTATTTTGTAAAGAACGGACAGTTCCTCGAACAGAATAACCTGCACACAAAAGTTGCTTGACACAATGGGCGCCTAGAAAGCCTGAAGCGCCGGTCACTAGTACAACTTTGAAAAATAGAAGATAATTAAATCAATTAGTCGGACCTAATTTATAGATACACCCTTGGAGCTGAATAAATTGTATCTTATAATTAGGGTTGCCAAAATGGCCCGATTCGGACCGAAAGATCAAGTCGGGCCTAAGATATTTGGCCAGAAAAAGACTCGTACCGGCCCGATTCGATAAAAATAAGCCCAAAAAAATTGCCTCGATCGTCGGCCTGACTCGAAAATGGCAACCCTACCTATAATGAAGAGGACCCATCTTAAATTAAGGGGGGAGTATAGTCGTCTCCCCCTCTTAATGGTCAATAATTTTCAAGAAAAGTGAGTGTTTTGTTTTATCTTATAGTCAGGCTTGTAAAAGAAATTTTTTACCAATTTTTCCATTATCTGTTTGGGACATCTCAGTAGTTAATTATAATAATTTTTGTGTCAAGAATTTAAACTAAAATGTTTTCTGAACCAACTGAATGAAAATAATTTATTTACTAGATTTTATGAATACATATGTATGAATATGATTAACAATTTAAATATTATAATTTGTATTTTGGAAAATTTTGGAAAATTAATGGTTTTTAAAAATATAAAAAAATATTTTTTAATTAATTTAGAATAGGGGAATTATAATTTTAAAAATATGTATGTAAATGTAGAATGAATGATTTATCATGTACATATAAAAAATATTATTTAGTCAAGTGTTATTTTTAATTTTTAAAGTTTGGTCAATTTTTAATAAATGGTTGTTTTTAAAAATATTTTTAGAAGAAAAAAGTTTTTAAAAAATACAAAAAAATTAAAAAAAAAATATTTTTTGAGGGGTTTATGTGTTCTCCAATTAAAAAATATTTTTAATAAACCTATTTTTGAATAAAAATATAAATAAAAGAATTGTGTCAAAATATTTAGAGCAAAAGAATAATTGATCGTCCGCGCACTTAACTAAGAGAAAAACTAGGAGAAAAAATAAATTGGTAGATTTGTAATATATGTACATAGATTTAATCCTAAATACGTTTTGATTTTTGAAAGTAAGGAAAATAAAAAATAATATGTATTTCTTTTGACAGACAAGAAATTAATGATTAATTTTTGAGACTCAAATGAGGTAAAAAATTAATAGTAAATTTAGAAAAAAAATTATTTTTTAATTTTAAATTAATAAACTCAACGACAGTTTTTCAAAATTAATTTTAGATTTGTAACCTACTTAATTAAATTAAAAAGACCCCTGAAACCAACTAAATTAAAATTATAAAATTGTATGTACATGATTTATTCTGACTCGAATACATTTAGAACTCTACTAATTAATACTTTAAACTAGAAACCGTCAAAATCGCGTTTGCGGGATCCCGCATGCGGGGTTTTTTAATCTTTGCGGACGGAATCCTGCGGGAATAATCCCGCACTCCCACAAAGTTACGCAAATTGAAAAAAGTGCGGGACGGGGTAGGATAGGATCCCATCCCGCCCGGTCTCTACTTTAAACTGTATCGGTTATTCTACTATCAAATAAATTTTTATCTCACCCATGATTTTTGCTGATTTTTGGCTCTTTCATCCATCCATGGTGCGAAGAGACCTACAATATAAAATTACGATAATCCCTCCTCTAATTTTTATTTTCTCTTAAAATTTCAAAAAAAAAACATAGCTTATGCTTCTAGTATTTTGTATATCCTTTGCTTTTTTGCAATAAGCAAAATAAGAATATAAACCCTGCAGCATAGCTTTTCTACATCTGCATAGCTTTTCGTCGTCCATTTGTTCCAGTGGTCATTCTTTCCATTTTACACTTAAGTAACAGCTGCTTCCTAAGCAAATCAATATTTATTTAACTAAAAATTTCCAAAATTATGTATAAGTATTTTTTGATTTTTATTTTACAGATATTAATAAATCTGTTTTGGAATTGCTTCCCAAATAAATATATTAAGCTTTATAATGATTGTTTTGGTATCAAAATATCATTAACATTACTTAAGGGCATTCGGCCACTGGTTCGGTCAATGACCACATTTTTTTGTACTTCCCTTATACAATTCCGCTCAAAGTAAGAAGTAACCGGAAATAACTCTTGAAAGGACTTGTATTCCGATTGTATTTAAAAATAATAAAAAAATTTTAAATACATCTAAACTCAACTTTTTATTTCTAGATTCCCCCCTCAGCTAGTATTACATCATCTGGGGAGAATGCTTCAACACTTTAAGGCGGAACATCCTTCAAAAATTTAACCGTTACTTGGGCACCTGTAGCTCCTTCGATATTCAATCTCAGTGCACACTATCGCTCTTAACATTAATGGCATAAAATAGACATTATTGTATTGGGTCTGAGACTAATCATAATTAATAATTGCATTTTTGCAAGTTATGAAAAATCATATGGGATTCAAATGAAAGGAAGTTTGCTCGCAAAATTGCAAATTTCACTAATTGTTTCCCTACACTTTAAAAACACTATTTTTTATCTTCCCATTAATATTTTAACCTTAATATTGCAATCAAGAAATGTTTGCAATTAATTCTCTTCTAGTATGTTCTTGTCAGAGGTAGGTCGGAACAGTCAGAGGTGTCGAAAATCGGAAGGAAAAAAAACGTCGGAAATCGGAATTCTGACCCACCTCTGGTTCTTGTGACAGATTTTTTTATTTAATATTATTTAATTTAATAATTATTTATTTAAAATGTAGTAGAGAATTTAGAATTTAACTTCTCAAGAGATAATACATAACAACAGATTCGCAGTATAATTAGAAGGATGTTCCAATATTTTAATTTTTCAGTTTTTTATTTATCAATAAATTTTTAAACGTATATTTTTACGTTTAGGTATTTTAGAAATTGATAAAAATAATTTTAAAAGTTGTTCAAAGTTCATTTAAACATTTTATCTTCATTATACGTTCAATGCAAACAATTAAAATAAACTCAAGGACAATTTAAATACATTTATAAACAATACAATTTACATAAATTAAAGGAATAAGAAAAATTTTAAGGATATACTAATTAACAACAAAAACAAATACTACCCTCCATACTAATCAACATTTTATATATTTATACAAATGAGAAAAACAAAATTAATCATAGACATCTGCTTCTTTATTATCTCCATCTCCTCCCTCTTCCTTCTTATTATTATTATCGTCCCCTTCTTCCTCCTTTTTATCATCACTTTCTTCTTTCTTCTTATTATTATTATCACCACCCTCATCTTTATTCCCAACAACTTCATCAGAAGATACAGTCAACTCAGGTTTAGATTCTTCTTTCTTCTCTGCCGAGACAATTGATTCGATAGATTTTTTAGATTCAGTAGTTGGATCCCCCTTATCTTTCATCGGCACAATCAAACGCTTTCGATCTACTTCATACGGAGCCGAAAATGTAGAGACTTGCGGATCTGTTGCTTTAGGTGTTGTTGGTGGTTTAACGGCAACTTCTTCTTCTGTTGTTTGTTCCCCAGTAAATTCTTTAGATTCGATCGTATTTGGAACAATAGCCCCACCAACAGCCCCTCCACCACCACCACCGCCAACATCTTTTGAGAGAGTTTTCTTCATATTTTCTTTGTCAACTTCTTTTTTGCTAATTTCTTCTTTTTTGCTTAGCTCAACTTCTTTTTTATCAACTACACTCTTCTTTAAAGATACGTGACTTCCTTGAGTTTCCAATTGTGTACCAGACATATTTTTTGCTTCCATTGATAAAAGTTCTTCCGTTGTTCCTCCAGAGCCTTCAGAACTTTCATCTTCATTACTTGCTTTCTTCTTATTTTTTCGAATGATACTGCATACACAAATGATGACAAGCCTTAAATTTAGAAAAAAGATGAGTAATTTATTTCTATGGTCGACTCTCTTTTAGCTACACCCTTGGGGGCTAGGAAATCTTATCTTATAATTAGGGAGTGGCAAAATATGCACGGAAAATCCCAAATATGCACATATATATGCACCGAAAAAGCCCAAAATATGCACCAAAATATGCAAAATTTGCCAAAATATGCACTAAATATGCAGGAAATAATGTGCTTTAAAAATCAATATCCCAAGAAAAAAATAATAATTTAGCATCTAAAGTGCAGTTTAAGAGCACTTCTAAAATATTTTATTAATTTAAAACTCAACCAAAAAAATTTTTTTGAAAGAAATTTTTACCGAAAAAGTTTTCGAAAAAATTTTTTCAACAAATTTTTATAAAAAAATTTTTTGCTCAAAAAATTCCAAAATTTTGAAAATTTTGCCCGATTTTTACTAAAATTTTTCAAAAAATGCCAAAATATGCAAAAATTTGGGTAAAAATATGCAAAATTTCCCAAAATATGCCTCGATATGCAAATATGCACGAAAGTACTGAAATATGCAAAGCGTTTTGAGCGTTTCAGTTCATGACATATCCACATACAAAATATGCATTTGCATGTTTTGCCACTCCCTACTTATAATAAAGAGTATACTAAAGGGAGAGGTATAGCTTGGACAGTTCTCCAACCCAACGGCCAACCAAAATTTCTAAGAAAACCTACATATCTTAGAACCTCATTTAGATATCCCCTTGGGGGCTAGAAAATCTTATCTTATAACGAAGGAGAGAGAGGTATCGTTTGGGCAGTTCTGCCACCTACTAACCAACCAAATTTCCATCAAAAACTTATCTTAAATTGACTTTTCTTTGGAAGTATCTAAAATGAGTTTCTGAATAGAAAACTTACAATAGAATAACCACAGCACCACCACCACCAACAATATAGAAATAATAGGAAGGAAATGCAACTTTTGGTTTCCCTTTAATTCCTTTTGTTGTTCCATTTGTAATGCTAGGAAGTTTAGTAGAAGTTGTTGTTTTTAGAATGATTGTAGGCATTGAAGTAGAGAATTTTGTGGATGTTGTTAAGTTGGAATTAGATGTTCCGTTTGTCTCATTCACAGAAATAGTAGAAGTGAAGTTTTGGGTAAAAGTAGAGTAATTCATTGATGGAGAAGTGCCAACATTAGTAGTCCCATTACTACCTCCAGTGCTTGTTTGAACCGTTGAAGCATTTGAACTACTCGATTGTGGCAAAGTTTCGTTGTCTGAAATTATTTATTTTTATTAAATTAATTATATTTTGTTTTACTCTGTTCCGGTTTTGAAGTAGTGTTAACTGAAGGTGGTGAACTAGAATTTGTTGGTGGTACTTCTGATGATTTATTCGCTGCCGTAGTCTCTGTTTCATTTGTAGGAATTGTTGCATTTGGTGTAGTAGAATCCGTTGGCTTTTGATTGTTTGTCTCATTGGTGGCTGTAGAATTTGTTGATGGTTGAACGGTTGTTGTTGTAGTTGATGAATTAGCTTCTACAACTTTTGATAATCTCTCTAGAAGTTCATAATCTGTTCGATTCTAGAGAAAAATAATAAAATCTTACTTAGAAATTGAAAATGATTAACTCACAAAACGAATCGACATTCCCCTCCTGCATTCTTTGCTAGATGCAATATCAGGTAATTTTCCATAAAATTGATTATCACTTGTACGCGCACGAGATGCCGATCTTGGAAGGAGATGGAATGTCATCAACTTTTTCACTTTAATTTCGTCTTTAACGTTCCCATCAATTTTCCACGCCTTAGGTTTGATAATTGAGGAGAACTTGATACATGTGAAATGATGTAGATTTTGTTGACTTGTTGTATTACTCGGTATGCCATCTATCACAAGACCCCCACTATCAACGCCTCCGGTTTTATTTATTTTTACGGTGAAGGACACCTTTTCTTTGAAGTCTTCTATCGAAAAATGTGTTACATAGCCAGCCATCTCGCCAACTAAAATGGAAATTTTACTACTACACCTTAGGTGGAGAGGCTCGATCGAATATACATATCACAAAAAAGCTAAATTGAAAAAACCGGGAGACGATATATTGAATCAAGACGACCTCTGCTAAATACATAATATTAAGATTAACTCACTAAAGTAGACTTTTGCTGCATAAGCAGGTTTGGATCGACAATCAACTTCCAGATCATGTTTGCATCGCCATTCAATTTCCAGCGCTGTCCATGGCATACAATCCGGTGTGGGAATTTCAGTCCAATTTTCAGATTTAAATGATTTACATCCTTCTCTATTTGGGCAAGATGCATTGTCTTTCCCATAGAGAGGTCCATTCTTGATCTCATTTACTTCTTTATTGTTTAAACTGTACGCAAAAGGCAGACTGAAAATACAAATTATTCTCTTCTCAATTTTAAATATAAACTTACACGATAGGGTCCTTGAGGTCTTCTTTCTTATTATCATCGCAAAGTGTCAGGGAAGTTGTGAACTCGATGTCATCTCTATCTGTCAGAAGATCCACCGTACAAACCTCCTTTGACGCTGCATTATACCACAACGAACTGAAAATTGTTGTAAATATAAATTTATTAAATAAATTTAAACATACATTGTATCGTTATATATTTTAACAGAACAATTAGGATAGAGATGCTCTGGCACAATGAAGCTAGTACGCCAATCGTAAATCCCGAATTCATCACTTAAGGTAACTTTTCCATCCTTTAGCGCATACTTGCCGGATCCCACTCGAACTTCCGAAGAATTGCTTGCATTCACGACAGCCAACCAAAGCAGCAAACACAAACCTCCGATTGCAAACATGAAGTTGACGAATGTTCCGTTGACGTGTTTGATATTTTCTGTTGTTTTTACTTGAAGAATGTTAAAGCAATTCTTATTTATTTCCCTTTTATATAGACCGGCAACACCATTACTACCTATTTAGGTTTTTTTTATCAACTTCGCCAGAATCCTGTTGGGAACTAATTTTTTATCATGTTGATAATTAATAGAATTAAGTACTAACTCAGACCATAATGGCCACCACAAGTCCCGATCCCGGAATTACCGAATTTGCTAACAGTCTAAATTCTATCATGTTTACATTAAAAGCTTGCCGAATTTTTAACATCAGAAAAACAATTTATCCCCAATATTTAAATTACAATCAGTAAATTATTTAATAGTTTAAGTGAACGTATAGATTTATTCAGAGCAGAGGTGAATAGGAATTCTGATTTCCGACTTCCGAAAATCTAGGCTGGTTTCCACTTTTGAGCCATTTCCGATTTCCGACAGTTCCGATTTCCGGCACCTTCGTCATTTCCTATTCACCTCTATTTAGAGAGAATTGGATAATTTTAGTCTACTTAAATTAAGCGAAGATATACTGGAAGTCTCGTTAATTAAAAATAGAAAAATAAAGAAATTAAATTTTTAAGGCGCCTTAAAGAAGGATTTTAAAACTAAAAGATAAAAAAATGTGTATGTTCGGAATAAAGACCGACGCGGGACAGGATCTCGCGCGGGATTTTGCGAGATCCCGTCCCGCAATCCCGCACCTTTTTCGATTTGCGGGATTTTGCGGGATTTGCGGGATCCCGTCCCGCAAAGATTTTAAAAGTTACTCCCGCATGCGGGATCCCGCAAACGCGATTTTGCCTGTCTCTAATTTGGATATTTAAAATTCAATTTATAATTTATATCAACTTCATCACGGGTCTGAAAAATATTTTAATCTCCAATTAATACTTCTAACTTTTTGTGTCATCAAATAAGTTTTTCATCTTCATTATGAGAATTTGAAGGCAAAATTTGTTGTTGTGCTGTTAATTGCGTATCATTATTTTCAACAGAAGTAGATGTTGATGGAATGCCATAAAATGTTGGCTGAAAATTTTTTTAATAAATTTTAATCCAAATTTTCAATTTAAACAATTATTTAATTAAAATTCTTCCATAATTGACCCATCCCCTTTTTCTTTGAATGTTTAAAAAGAGAAAACGGTCAAGTAGTTCAGTTTTAATAACGAACAACCAAAATCGGGAGTGCGCCAAATTTCCTCCGCAAAATCAATCATCCTCCGCAAAACGCCAATTTTTCAAATTCTGAAAACAGCCAAACACCAGAATCGGCCAAAATTTTTATTATATGTAAAGGCCAATAAGCCAAAATTCATCCTTGTTAAGCGCTTACGCAGAAATTTTTAGAACTTAGGAAATGTGTAGGCAGAAAATTCACTTTTTTATCATCCTTCCCCAAATTTATTTTAAGAATTTTCATCATTAGGGGTATAAAAGTTTGGCGTTTCTAGCACTCTCTAGCCCCCCAGCCTCCCTCCTGCAAACGCTCTTGGTAACCACGGGTATTAGTTAGTCAACAATTTTACTTGAAATAAGAATTTAATACCTCATCATGTGCCCTTTCCCAGTCATTTTGTTGTTGCAACGGCTCTTCCCCATCAGAATCAGAAGAGTCATTTGCATTTATTGGTGATGAATCTCGAGTTCGTAATGAATTTTCCCCTCCTCCTCCAACTAATTGTCCTAAAGGAGCAACAGGTTTAGGACTCATTCCTTGACAGAGTTTATTATAACACTGAAGGAAAACAAAAAATAAAATTTTTAAAAATTCAAAAACCGTGTCACAGACTCGAACAGGTTTTTTGCTAATTCCCTCCAACATAAATGATTTAGATGAACAACTACTACAAACAACTAAAATTAAAAAATGATGGTAATTAAATTTAAAATTTCCTTTCAAACCTTTTCCACACGCTCGGCAATGATGACGTCGCTGTATTACAGTGAAATGACTTGTATGACAACACTAAAAAAGAAAAAATTGGAAATAAGTTCCAAAAAAGTTCCAAAAAATTTTTAAAGTCTCAAACCATGCACTTAACAGCTTCTTTGTCAGGCACCCATAATGCCGCATAGTCAGAGGGGGGAAGTCTGCCTTCTTTAAGGAGGTCTTGAATACAACGTTCAATATGCAACATCCATTCACGTTTTTCTGAAGGAGTAGATGCGTAGACAAGAAATGACTAAAAAAGTAGAGAAAATAAATATTCTCGGAAATAAAAAAATTAACAGAAATACATTCAAAAATTCACACCACAAATATACAGACATTGAGTTTCATTCAACTTTTATAATTCCTTTCTCAATTTCACTTTATCTGCTCTGGCAGACAATCAGCCAAAAAGGGCCACAGAGTAATAAAGTAAAATTGAGAAGTCTGACCATTATGTACATCTTAAGGAAAAATAGAAAAGGGTATGAAGCTCGGTATTACCCAAAATATTCACTAACATCATTTAAAATATAATCCTTGTTTTATATTCTGGTCTTATTCCCTTCCTCTACAGTCAGTTTTTAACTGATGTACAAAATGGTCAGTCTTTCTTCCTTTCAGAATTTTAAAATTAAACAAGGAAGAAATGTGCTTCCTATCTCTATATTCCTACCAAAAACCAAAAAATCAAACAATTTATTATTACCTTTATTCGAGTCTTAATTAACCAGCCATTCCTTGCATCACCCTCATCTTCAATATTTTCGAGTTTAACTTCCTCTAAAATATTTAATTTAAAAATTTTTAATTAAAAATAAACCAAGAGGAATAATATGTTGATTGCTATAACGTTTTCTGTTAATAATTATCGATCCATAAATAAGCAAATCATTAAAAAGAAAAAATTGTCGAGCCTTTGGCTTCTTCCTATTAAAAATTATTTTTAAAAATAATTTCAAAAAAAATCCAAACCTGCATATTTTAATCAAAATTCCTTCACCAATCAAAACTCTTCCAGTCTCAAGTAACTTTCGTCCAGAACTGCCAAAACAAGCCTCTACATTTTCAATTCGGCGTGTATTTGCTTCACTATTTCCTTAAAAGAGGATTTTAAAATGCATTTTTTTGTAAAACTTACTTAATTTGTCGACCATTCTATAAATTATTTTGGCAATTAATGAAGTTTAAAATATAAAATTGATAAAAATAATATTTTAGTAGTCCAAATAAGCTAAAAAAATTGAAGGTTAAATTTGTAAAATATGTATTGTCTTTATAAATGTCACCGTCCAAATTACATTATTGTCCAAATTGAATTTTGCCGGCCAAATTAATTTGGACAAGAATGCAATTTGGACGGTGACATAAATAAATTAAAAAATATTTTGATTCATAATTTTGTCAAAACCCCAATAAATTTTTTTGAAAATTCGACCAAAAATTGAAATTCTTAATCTCGTCTTTTAAATTCACATGACGCCACTTTACTTTGGATATTAAATGAAAATTGCTTTTAAATCAATAAAATCCTTTTGTAAAAACTAGTAAATGGGACTTATGTATTGTTAAATTAGCGGTTAGTTTTTTTTGCTTTTCTAATTAAACAAATAATTTTTTTCGTCCTTCTAAAAAATATTTTTTCAAAAAATTATTTTAATTTTATTTTTTAAAATTAATAAAAAAATGCAAAAAATAATTTCTTTTCAAATATTTTATTCAATTTATAATTTATTAAATGTCCTACAAAAGCAACTTTCATTTAATAAAAACATTTAATAAAATGTGTCATTTTCAACATTTTTTGGATTTTTTGAATACTTTTTTGTAAAAATAAATTTTTATGTTAACTAGTAAACTAAAAACTTTTAAAATATAAAAAGTATGGAAAATAAAAATTCTTTTCTAGAATAAAAATATTAAAAAAAGATTTGCATAAATATTTTTTAGAAAATTTTTTTGAGAAATACATATATGTGTTATGTAAGGGATTACACATAATAAAGAAAAAAATTCTAAATTCGATAATTTATGCAATAATTTTTACTAAAACGTAAATAAACTTTTTTTTAAGTTAAAAATCTTAATTTTAACAATTTGCAAAAAAAGCAAAAAAATAAATACTTTAACCATTATTTTCAATATTCCAACTCTGTCCGTGTCCCAAAGTTATGAACTCATTAGAATTTAATCCTTCTTTTTTAACCGCTTCTTCTAATTTTGATTTTGGTTCCATATAAGGTTCAGAAGAGCCCATTTCACTATTTTTTTAAATTAAAAAAATAAAAAATTAAGTTCCCCAAGTCTTACTAAGTTCCCCAATGAACAGCAATACTTTTCTTTGACCTAACCAATTTGTGTATTTGTACAGCCTCAGAAGTGTCAATATGTTGAGGATGCATAAACCATCTAAATTTTTAGAGAATAAATTTTTTTAAATTAAAATTTACAAAAAATTTACCTCGGAGAATAACAACAAATTGGAATTGCACACAAATCAATCGGCCCAAATCGATTCCCAACTTTTTTAAATTCTTCTTGACAAAAACCAGTATCTCCAGTATAAAAAAATTTATGTTTTGGTCCTTCAATTACCCATCCACTCCTAAAATTTTAAACAAAAATTTCATCAAAAATATTCAAAATACCAACCAAAGACTCTAAAAATAAAGAAATCTTTAAAAATTATTTAAATTTTGTATGAACCTTATTACGATCAAAAATAGATCTTTGACTCCAATGCTGTGCAGGAATTGACCAAACAGTGTATTTTTCTCCAGAAGTATTGGGAATTTCGAATTCCTTGCTCTCCCCCTGTTGAATAGAATAATTAGATTTTAATTTATTAAAAAATTGTTAATTGATGAAAACAAATTAAGAATTCCGGGTAATATTGAACCGGGCAGACCACCTTTTTTCCTCCCCAATTTTTCCCAGATATTTTTCCTCGTTTTATTTGTTTTTAGCAATTACTTGCACTTGTATAAAATTAAATACCTAATCCTTTTTGTTTGATTATAGGCAAAAATTAAAAAGGCAATTAGGATGGAAGAAAGAAAATAGTTTGACCATTTTGCAAAAATATAGGGAAAAAACTGGGGAGGAAAAAGGGGGTCTGTCCGTTTCAATATTACCAAATTCCGAAATCTAACAATTATAAAACTACTCGACTTTATAATTTAATTACTTTCTTCAAATATTTAAAATAATTTAGTTCAGTTAATAAAAAAATTTTCATAAAAACCAACCCAATCTAATTCGTGCACATTTTGTCTACAGACTACATTGCAAATAGTAGTTGCCAAACCTTTTGGTACCACAATTTTAATATTTGGAAAACGTTCTGCAAGCATTTTAACAGCATTTAGATCAAGATGATCATAATGGTCGTGTGAAATAACAATTAAATTAATCTAAATTAAAAAAAAATAATTTTAACAAATTACAAAAAAACCTCCGGTAAATCATCTATAGAACAAGGAGACGGCCGATAACGTCGACAGAAATTGAGGAAAGATAGGAAACGATTAGAAAAGTTGAAAGGTGAAGCACATTTTGACCATACCTATTCTTGCAAATTTTCTAAGAAAAAATTTTTAGAAATAACCGGATCTGTTAGCAACGAAATCCCATCAATCCGAACATATAAAGTAGCATGACCCATCCATGTTGCACCCAATGGTGAATTAATTGGAAATTTAGGTGTATGGACCGGTAATTTTTCTTCTGCCTAAAAAATAAATTGAAGAGATTACAAAAAATAAACATACGTCTTCATCCAAAATTTTTGGATGTCCTTTTTCCAAAAACAACCATCGAAGTCCATTTAACCATGAAAACGGATTTGAAAGAGAGGGAGGTTCTATCCATGTTGTAAAACTTCTAGGATTTCCATAGTGTCCAAAATATGAAATTTCTGGCTTAGCAAAATTTTCAGAGGAATTAAGAGACTGTTGTTCCATTAAAAATTAATCAAAAAACTTGTTTCTACAATCTAAACAAAAGGAAAAAGATTTTTTAAAATTCATTTCCAAAACCGGATTTAAGTTTACATTTTGAAATTCATAAAGGGGAAATTCCGTCAAAATATCTAAAAGACAAACGTCTATTTAAAAATGGGTACAGTCCAAAACGGCGCGCGCCCCTAACGGCGTAAAGCCGTAACTTGCTGGAAAATGTCTAGCCCTTATGAATTTTGGTTTCAATCTCCTTAGCTCGATGAGAGAAACCGTTTAATACTAAATTTGGTAAGAAACTTGTTAAGATTCGGAAATCTTGAAGCAGGTTATGGCTTTGCGCCGTTATGGCAGCGCGCCGTTTTGGGGTCCCTTAAAAAACAAGTCTTCAAATTTAATGTGTATTTTCGTCTTTGATGTTTAACATCTTTTTTTTTTAAATGTTCAAAGATTAACATCATGGGTCCACTATTTTTATCACAATTGTGAATGACTGACTATGTGGGAATGAAAAGAAAGAAATAAAAAAATAGAAACAAGAAAAAATAAAAAGCGAGCATTTGAGCTAGCTTTACTCGTCTTTAACGCGCTCCGAGAACCCTTCTCCCTTTCCTTTCATTTGCTAGCAAAACATTTGGCCAGTTTGCCCTTGAAAGATTTATTTAAGGATTCAATGTTCAACCATCTTTTTTTAGAGTTTAAAGTAATAAAAAATGCATCGATATAAAACGAATGCACGTGTATATATTTTATTATTTTTCTAATTTTTTACTCTTGTATACGAATAAATTGAAAACTAGTTTTAGCAAATTCGTATAAATTGCAGAAATATATAGTAGAGGACGGCACAGGACAGGATCCTGCACAGGATTTTTCAGTCCTGTCCGAAATCCTGCCTTTTTCAGTTTTCAGGATTGTCAGGATTTTCAGGATTAATCCTGCAGGATCCTGTCCTGTACAAAATTTTAAAACCCAATCCTGATACAGGATCCTGCAAATGTGATTTTACCGACCTCTAATATATAGTTATTTTAGGATAATTTATTTTAAAAAATTCCAGATATTTTTAATTGAATTTTTTACCTTATAGTTTTCTTATTTTAATAGAATTTTCAGTAGATTTACATATTTTCAATAAATTATGGTTTCTCCACATTCACATTCACTCAGCAAAGAAGAAATTGCTCGATTTAGTCGACAGTTGATGCTTAAAGGAATAGGACCATCAGGTTGGATTTTAATTGTGAATAAAAATTTTTTTTTATTTTTTTAGGGCAAGAACGTTTACGCGAAATTCGAGGTTTGAATTTGCCTGAAAAATAATTTTAAAAACAATTTAGTTCTTATTGTCGGAGCAGGAGGCTTAGGTTGTCCAGTTGCTCTTTATTTGGCTGCTGCAGGCGTTGGTAAGATCGGAATTGTGGATCACGATGTTTGTAAAAATTTTTTCTTTTTTAATATAAAAATAAAATTTCAAAGATTGTAAGTGTTGATAACCTTCATAGACAAATTGCACATAATGAGAATCGATTGGAGGAACCCAAAGTTGATTCATTAAAACAGTCATTGCTTAGGTATGGGAGAAATTGTTTTTAACCATTTTATTTTTATTTTTTAGTATTAATAGTAAAGTGGATGTAGTAACACTCAATGTACTTTTAACTAGTAAAAATGCTCAACAAATATTTTGTGATTATGATATTGTAGCTGATTGTTCAGATAATGTTGCAACAAGGTTATAAATAAATTTAATGTTTTTTTTGTTGATTTTGGGGTTTAGGACTTGTCCACCAGGCCCGTAGCCAGGGGAATCCCCCCCCCCCCCCCAAATGGGGAAAGGAAAAAATTTGGGCAGGGGATTGAGCGAAAAAAAGAAAAACCTCCACCCTTGCCCCCCCCCTCTGAAAAAAAATCCTGGCTACGGGCATGTTGTCCACATCCTTTTCTCCCAATTTTTCCGTTATATCCTTCTACAACTAAATCAATCAAAAACGATTAAATTTCAGCATATTTTTTTAGTTTCTAAATGAATAAAGGAATTGGGAGGAAAGGAGGTTACCCATAAACAGTGTTTTGAAATTCAAAATTTCTTTGACTCTTAGATACCTATTTTTTAAAAATTTTGGTCGATTTCCAATCACTGGGCATAAAATTCCAAAATTATTTTTATTCTTCAAAAAAAAAGAATTTAAGGTATTTAATTAATGATGCTTGCGTACTTACTGGAAAACCATTAGTTTCTGGTAGTGCTTTAGGTTGGGAAGGTCAATTAACTGTTTACAATAATGGACAGGTTTAATTTATTTAAAAAAATATTTTTTTATTTTTTTTCTTAATTTTATAGAAATGCCCGTGTTATCGCTGTATTTTCCCTGAACCTCCCAGCCCCGAAATGGTAACTAGTTGTTCTGAAGGTGGTGTTCTTGGCCCAGTTGTAGGTGTAATTGGAAGTTTACAGGCGCTGGAAATTATTAAAATTGCTGTTTTGGGAAAATGTTTGGTTTTTTCTTTTAATTTTTATTAGAGTTGAAAGTCTGGGAAATGCCGGATCACGTTTCGGGATTTATGAATTTTTTATCCGGACCGGATTTTCGGGAAAATTTTCGCTTGCGCCGCAGGCGGAAATTTTGAGAATTTTAGATTATCTAACAATAAGCAAAAATTCACATTTTGTTCATTTTCCTCCAAATTTTATTCATTTTTCCTAATTTCGGAGGACCGGACCGGGTTTTTCTGACACGACCCGGACCGAATTTTCGGGATCAAATCTCGATTTTTATCAAAAGCATGTCCGGGTTTCAGCTCTAATTTTTGTATTTTTAAGCTTCTTTTGCTGGTAATTTATGGCTTTTTGATGGGTTTGATGGAAAAACTAAAATGATTTCTTTGTAAATATTTTTAATATTTTAAAAATTGTTTTTTTAATTTTAGACGTGAAAAAATTGCTGGATGTGCAATTTGCAGTGAAAATCCAAAAATTACAGAATTACAAGATTATGAGAAGTTTTGTGGGTCTGGTCCAACTGACAAAGTATTTTTAATAATTTAAAAAAATAATTTTTTAAATTCTTTCAAAGGTTCGTTCGCTTGATTTACTTCCAAATGATCAACGAATTACGACGGCAGAATATTCAAAGCTTAGGCATGCTAAAGGAAATATTTTGTTGGATGTTAGACCACACAGCGAATTCGAAATTTGTCATTTGCCTGAGGCAATAAGTAAATTATTTACAAAATTATAATTGTTAGATAATCTTTTAGAAATTTAATTCGAGATATAGTCGAACCCCATTATTATGTTAATCTCACTTGAGGAAGAAAAATCGAACATTGTAAAGTTATCATAAATAGAGAGTATTTCTCTGCCCTGTGAAAACCTAAATAATAGAGACTTCCAAGACCGAAAGATTTCCAAGACCCAAGACTAGACCCCAAGACCCAGACTGAAAAAACCCGAAGGACTAAGAGTCTTGGAAGTTTCTACTAAATAAAAATCTTAAATTGAAGAGTATCTAATTTAGGTGATATCTAGAAACGAGTTCGACTATATCTTTAAAAAATATTTTATTGTTAGATATTCCTTGGGACGAAATGAAAAAAGTCAGCATTGAAACAGTTATTGAACAACTTAATGAAGAGAAAGAGAGAAGGCAGGAAAATGGAGAAGGAATAAATGGTATAATTATTTTAACTAGAGTAGCACCCCGAGCCTGCAGGGGCAGAAATGTCGGGTTTCGGGGGCGGGGTGCTACCCAAATTTTAACAAATTAATAAAATAAAATTAGAATTAAACGAGTATCACACCAATAAATTAATAATAATAGAAAAGCTGTAAGAAATAATTTAATTTTTGACTTAAGTTATTTTTAAGGTCACATCATTAAGTATAAAGGAAATTAAAATTTAGAGAAATTTTGATTGTACCTGTGATTCTTTGACTTCTAAAATTATCTACCAAAAAATTTTTGAATAGTTTTCAAAATCCAAAAAACAGAAAACCAAAGAATCACAAGATACACTGAATTAAGTAATTCATAAATTTTTACAGTTTTTGTCTGCTGCCATCGCGGCAACGATTCACAACTTGCTACTCGTCATCTTCGTGAGCGCCTCTCAACTGCTGGTTTATTGGGCAGCAGATTTACCAATGTCCGGGACATTTTTGGTGGTTTGGAAGAATGGGCTCTGAAAATTGATGATACATTTCCACGATATTAAAACGGATTTATTTTAAGTATTTAAAGGGAGAGCGTCAATTTCTTAAATAACTCATTTTTTAGAAAAATGTCTCGTTTATTTAAATTTTAATTTAAAAAAATTGACGCCATTCTTCTTTTCCTCAAAATTACTAACCGAAAGGCTCAATCGTTCTTTTATGTTACCAATCACAATTTGCAATTTTGAAGCTGCCGTGCGAAATGTTGGACTTTCAAAAGATATTAATGCTTCATTAGATTGTTGTTTTAGAGTTGGGTCTATGGGGGTAACATCTTGACTTTCTAGAAAAATTTAGTTTTTCCTTCATTTTATTCTCATTTAAATTATATATTTTACTAAATTATTTAGCTTTACTCTCTACCCTAATTCTTTTATTATTTTAAGCCCAGGAATTATTTAAATTTAATCATTCCACTTCAAAAAATATGTATTTTTCGTTAACTCTAGAATAAATTTAATTAGTAGCCACTCACTTTTTTTGTAATCCAAAAATGTTTCCAATCTCTCTTCATCATCATCTTCACTACTTTCATTGTCCTCATCCATTAAAAGTTTTTCATCATTTGCCACTTCAAGTGTTGGCAATTTTGGAGGATTTAATGTATACAAAAATACAGAACAAATAACCAAAGAAACGCCTCCGATTAATGAAAAAGAGAATTGTGAGTCTCCCAAAAGTATTGACAAAAGAGCTGTCCCGCCAAGTGCCACAGTTTGGCAATAACTTTTTTTGATATTGTCGGCATACTTTTGAAATAATATTTTAAATTGTTAAGATAAATTACCTTCACTACAAAAGCAACAATAAGTCCATTAGCAGAGCTACTTCTAAAAATAAGTTACCGTTTATTTAAAAATAAATAATACAATCAGACCCCGATCTATTCAAAAAAAATTTAAATTTGCTTGGTAAATGTAAAAGTCCCCAATAATGAATACACTATTTAGAATAGAGACTGGGACTGCTGGAGAAAGTCTTGACAGAGACTGACAAAACTGACAGACTCTCAGGCTCTCAGACAGATAGAGACTTCCACTGGGAGTGTCGTAAGAGATATATCGAAAAATCTCGATAATCGAGATTTCGTCTCAATTCTGTCTCTAATTTAGAATACATTTTTACATCCACTATCTACAAGTGAGGTCTGACTGTATTTTAAAATTAATATAATTTGCATACAATACAATTAACCAAAGTCTCCAAGTCCAACCAGCAAAGAAACTTCCCCCTACCAATTTAAAATTTGATAAAATATTTTAACAATTAAATACTTTTCTGAATTTTATCTGCATCATTAACAATTGTGAGTAAAGCAAACGGAAGAGTAATTAAACTAATACGAATATTCTATAATTACAATAGAGATAATTTTAAAAAATTATTTTTAATTTTTTTGGTACTTAATTCATTATTTCCCACCATTTTATGAGAAAAATAAGGGGAAGATAAAGTGAGATAATCAAGTGTTTTTTTTAATTTTTTAGATTTATTAATTACCTGCATCCAAATATCACAAGAACTTTGTTTAAGAACTGCTTCCAAATAAACACCTGTAAATTTGTTTGATTTTAAAATATTTTTTTATTATTTATTCACTCGGTTAGGTTAATAATTAATTATTTTTTGACAGATTTTTTAAATAAATTTTTGGGGACAACCCAAAAGCCCTACACTGAAAAGACCTTTTGACTCAAAAGACCTACAAATTTTTAAAGCGAATATCAAAAGAGAATATCAAGGGATTTGGAGGAGATAAGAGGATGATGGATTTGGTGTGATTGAAGGGGATATTTCTATTGAAGGATATTCTCTACCAACCCAGTTATGGTACACACTCAAAATACGGCACCATTGGTTCTAAAATACATACCGGGTACTTATCTTCATATAGCTGAGTATTTAACCTCCTTAATCCCTCTAAATCCCTCGATATTCGCTTTAAAAATTTGTATGTCTCTTGGGTGAAAGTTCTTCTGGGTTTAGGTCTTTTGGGGTGGACTCAAATTTTTTGCATGTTAAACACAATATTTTGTTAATTACCAGCAAAAGCAGATGTCCAACACATAACAAAAATAGTTAATAAACCAATTAATTCCTCATTTTTATGTTCGGGTGATTCATTCCCAGAATCTTTTGAAATTTGTACAAGACAAACACCCAAAACAGAAATACAAAGGGCTCCCCATTGAATACGTGAGAAAATTCTACTTAATAAAAGCATTGACAAAAGCGCTGTAGCCAATATTTTAAGTTGAAAGGTCATCTTTATTTAGAAACCGTTATTTAAGTTTTAAAATTTTTATAAAAAATTATTCCCATAATTTGTAAACTAGAGAAAGGACCGAGACGAAATCTCGATCGAAAATCTCGGTATCGCTCGATTATCGAGAATTTTTTGAGATCACGATTCTCGTACGACACTCCCAGTCCGGTCTCTATTGTAAACTAATAGATTCGACAAATGGATATTTAAGTTGGGAAATCGAATTTTGCATTATGTCAGACTGTCACCAGTGGAAGTAATCTTATTGAAAGTAATCCTCTCAAAAATAGCCAGATTCAGAATTGAAAAAAGCGAGTAGGATCGGAACTTCTGTAATACTCCGGAGATAACGGGAAAGACTCGGATTCCGGAATAATTCGGTGAGGATCCGAACATTACCTTAAATTTTAGCTAATGGAAACCCACCCTTTCAAAATTCATTTTTCAAATAAATTTTACTTTTATTAAAGTTAAAAAACCCTACAGTATAGAGAGTTGCATCAACCCTTTTAAGAACAAAAAAGTAAAGGTTGTTTTGTACAACATAAATAATTGCTGGCACACAAACTTTTAAAGTTTCTTTTTTGTTTTTAAGAAAAGCACAAGAAAGATCATCACAAAACCAAAAAAAGAGAAAATATATTAAAGATTAAATATTAAAATTTTGAAAATTACTTTTGAAGGCCATTAGTAAACAAAAGAATAGTACAACAAAATAATAATTTTGCAACTGAAATTGACATGTACTTTTTGGTAGAAGTGGGTCGGAACAGTCAGAGGTGTCGGAACTCGGAAAAGTAGGAAATCGGAACTGGCTCAAAAGTCGGAACTCGTTCAAAAGTCGGAACTTGGAAATCGGAAATAAAATTCTTTTTCTAAAACGGAAAGCCGACCCACCTCTGCTTTTTGGTTAACCGCCCATATTTCTTTTTAACTTTTTCATTAAAAAATTAAAAACGGTTACAGATGCATAATGATAAAAGATTAAATTTATCCAAAAAGGAAGTCAATATGTATATTTTTTTGTCTATTTATTCTATTTCTGGACCATTCTACAACTTATTTTGGAAAAGGAACAAAAGAAAATATGGTTGGACAACAATCAAAAACTCTACTTAAAAATAGAGTTTTTGATTTGGAACCGAACTGAAAAAAATCGGGGATTTTTCGTAAAGTTCGTCAGAAAATGGAGGATTACTGGCTATCCGATCCAAAAATCTTGCCTCCGTCGTTATTCTTATCTCGCCTTGACGAAAATTCTCTCAATGAACATTTCGGTTCGGTTCCGAATATCCAAAGATTTTCCAAAAACTGACAAACTTACTTTCAATAATAAGAACAATTGTTGAACCAATAAAAGGTTCTGAGGTTTCTTTTGCATGTTTATGTGCTATTCGAGCAATTAAAGGGTTGACTGTTTGAGAAAAAGTTAAGAAGATTAGGGACACATTTTGGACTATTTGTTGTAATTCTGGACTTAGAGTAGTCTAAAAAGGAAATATTTTTAAAAGATTTTTTTTCGGAATTTACTTTAATTTGAATTGGTTGAGCTTTCCACATTTTTTGTCTTTGAAGTGTTCCATTTTTGTTGTTATTTTCACGAATATTTGGAATATACAAATTATTTGTTAAAGATTCTTTATTTTCTACAGAAATATTATTGACCATTTTTGAATTATTCTTCATTTGTAAAATGAGAATTAAATTCTATCAATTCAAATAAGCCTTTGAAGTATTGAGGAAATAAAACTGAGTGAAAACATTGTTGCCTTTTGTTTGCCTAGACCATCTAAAAATTGAAAATATTTGTTTAAATTGAAACGTGTTTAAATGTTTCTTTAAAAAAATAATTTTTTATAAAACTTAAAATTACTAATATTATTTTTAGGTGGAAAATTAAAATATACCGTAAAGCAAGAATAATTACCCCCTCCTTTTAATTTTCTAATTTTAAAAATATTGAGAAAATCATTGTCAATTTTAATTATTGAAACATTAAAGAATAACAAAAAATAAATGGATTTCCTCCTCGATTTATTGAGATATACCCTAAGCTGAGTGACCCATCCCAAACCACGAAAATAGAGCGCAGCCACTCAAAAATGTGGCAAATTAGAGCGAAATTGGTTACAAATACATAGAGCAAAAAATAGGGCCCCAAGTTTAGCACATCCTCTCGATTAATTACCCCTTCCAGCGGGAAGTCGAAACAATAATTACCCAGGGTAGTTATTCGAGCATATACGGTAAGCAAATTTACCTTTATTTTATTTGTTCACATTTTAAAACAAATTTTCGAAGGTCAATTATAAAAATCTAAATTTGGAAAAGTTAAATAAATATACAATATTTAAATACTTCTTGTTATTTATAAAAATATAAATAAATTTAACAAAAATTTTAAAAAACCAAAAATCCTTCCAAAAAAACATTTATTTATCCAAACATAAAAATAAATGGAAGCAAAACACAATAAAAATCATTTAATGTGGCATATTTTGAGTATCAGAAAAAAATCCAAATTTATATAAAATATTTTTTAAAAAAAAGTAAAAGTGAAGAGAGAGAAAGAGTTTTTCAAATTTTTAATTTTTTCCACCCGTTCTCCAAAAAATTGATATTTATTCAATCATTTTTAATTGCCAAAGTATTGTTTAAATTCTTTTGTACATTACAAAGAAAACGATAAGCATTAAAACGTGGATCGTTTTGCTTTAATTTCCCAAAATGTTGCTTATATTTTTGCATAAACCAATCAAAATGAAGTGCTCTCATCTTTAAAAAAATAAATTAGAAAATGTAAAAAGATTGGGGGAAGGCCCTAGGGTACGGATAGATTTTTGCAGACTTTTCCCGCTTTTCTACTTAAATCAATCAACAAAACATCATTTAAAAATATACCTAAATTGTTTATAAAAATATTTTTAATGTAAGAGAACATTCTTAATAAATTTTCCAAATTCTACACTGAAAAACTACTCTTTTTTATTGATAGGAGTAATAACGATAGCAGTAAGAAAACGGCCAAAAAATCGAAACCTACCAATAAAATATAAATGATTTTTATAATTATTTTATAAATTTAAATAATTTAATAGAGGGTCAAAAAAAGTTTATAAAAAGCTATGGACACGAATCGACTCAATGCCAAGTTAATGCTATAATAGAACCTTAGCTCATCAATAAATAACTGATAGGCCCTATAAACTGATCTACCAAGCTACCTTCCATAAAATTCAAAAATAATTTTAAAAAATCCAAAAACCTTTTCAGCAAATCCAGAATAACAAGATAACTCTTTAATTAGATTTATTTGATCAGAAACTATACTGGAATCAGTGTAATTATTGTGAATTTGGTGAATGGCATTGGAAAGAAGTTTATCCAGGCAAACAATTACATATTGATTGACAAAAGGCTTATACTTTAAAAAATAAAAATTTAATTTTAAAATTCTTAAAAATCCTTAAAAGTCCCAAACCGAAAGAAGTTTGACGAGAAGCGTGCATAAAGGTCGGATAACATAGAGATGGGCAACGCTTCGATTCAAATCTGTTATGCATTCAAGTATCACTGAAAGAGCACGATTTTGTAACATACATTCCATAGCAACATGTGAACTATCAGCCAGACGATCTTTAAAATTAGAATTAAATTACAAACAAGAAATAATCAAAAAAACATACTTAAACGTAAAGCCATAACTTTCCGTTCAGTAAGCACAGTAGACAAAAGACCATTCAAGTAACGCAAAATCCGTTGTTTTAATGGTTCACAACGCTCCTCTTTTGGATTTTCCTCGCTACATGGTGCTTCTCTAAGTTGTAAAACACAACATTTTAGCTTTTCCTTATGTTCTTGCAACATAAATTTGCGATAACGAAGACCGCGCCACCATGCCTAAAAATTAAATTAAAAAAAAAGGAGAATTAGAAAATCGAGGTACAGCCCAAGTAGGCGCACGGCCAAATAGGCGCAAAGTTTTATCTTGCTTCAAGATGTCTGAATCTTTCAAAATTTAGTATTAAACGAATCCTCACATCAAGCTAGAGATCGGTAACAAAATTGTTACGGTCCAGAAATTTTCAAGCTAGCTTCACCTATTTGGCCGCGCGCCTACTTGGGCGTGTCCCAGAAAATTGATGTAATTGTGGCCAGAAAACGTAAACTATATTTAAAAATCGAGATAAGAATTTCATCTCATTATACTAGGTCGGTTCATAAAAAAGTTCGTTTTAATATTAAGAAAATCACCTGAATTATACTTGCAGCCTTATTCTCTCTCAGAGTTGTTGGTGAACACTCAACTTTTAAATTAATCGACTCTTCATTCCCATTCATCACAAACCATTTCTGTTGAAATTTTATTAATTTTATAATTTAAAAAATAAAAATACCTGCTCCAAAATATCCTTTAATCTCAACCAATGTTGCTCAAGTTTATCATGCATTTTGAGAATATACGAGAGTTTTGTATGGGAATAATCCATAAAAGTGTGTAAAACATAATTAACTTCAAGATTCTCCATATCGAACAATGATTTTTTAATAAATCTAAAATATTTAAAAATTAAAAAAAATTTTTTTAAATTAAAAATCGAAAAAGGACGCCAAATCAAGCAGGACGTTTTGCCAGCTAGACAATTTGCCAAGGAACAAATGGTTTCAACCAAACTTGACATAAACAGTCAAACGGATACACCCCCGATATACCGCGAGCCAAGTATACCGCCGAGCTATTTTCGTTCAAAAGTGTCGAATCCGGGAGGCCTTGGAATAGATCGGCAGTATACTGCGGTTCGGTATATCGGCCTGCTCCCCAGTCAAACATATTCACTAGATATTTAAACTGACATTTAACAGCTTCTTTTGCCCAAAGAGCAGTTTTAAATAAAATAAATTAAAGCTTTAATTATTTCGTTTATAATAATGAAATGAAAAATTTAAAAAACTAGGCAAAGAAAGGCATAGAAATGTATTTAATTTTGATAAATATTAAGTATATCTAAAAGAGAATCTGGAATTTAATTTTGTAATGTCTGAACATAATTTCCAGGGAAAAGTCCAGTAATTCCATCCATTACTCCCTCAAACCACCCATCCTCATTCTTTTTTAAAACATAAACAGTCGCTCCCTGATATAAACGTAATTCATCAGCATTTCTTGATTCATAATCATATAGCACGTATGCTATGAAAGAAAAATTTCTTTCAAATTAAAATACTCAATAAAAACCTTTTTCAATATATTGATGAGGCACCCAGTTTGGGACAGCCGGTAAATGTCCGGTTGGTGTCCTACATGTCCGCAAAGAGAATGCACATTTTTCCTTCCTTTTCTTGCATTTTTTTCTGCAAGGAGTGGCGCCCATTTTTCCTTTGTGTATGGTAGCCTTTTGGCATGTCGAAGGAAAGAGGGAAAATAATAAAAATTAATTACTAATAGAGTACTTAATTTAATACTAATAAAGTTATTATAACTAATAATGTTAGATTGATTTACAAACAGAATTAATTCACCTTAGGTTTAGATCAGTTAGGATATCAATACCAAACAGTAAATCATTAACAATTATTTATGAATCCAGTCAACGGTGCAAATACACAGCAGATATTTTACAAATCTAATTGAGAATGTTGTCCCAAATTTTTCATCTCTGATCATTTATAAAATAAAATATTTATTCGTACTCTAAGTATGTATTAGTAATTAATTTTTATTATTTTCCCTCTTTCCTTCGACATGCCAAAAGGCTACCATACACAAAGGAAAAATGGGCGCCACTCCTTGCAGAAAAAAATGCAAGAAAAGGAAGGAAAAATGTGCATTCTCTTTGCGGACATGTAGGACACCAACCGGACATTTACCGGGACAGCCATACAATTAATAGATTCTTGTTCGACAGTTAATGGAGGCGGGGGAAGTGGAAAACTGTCATCGTGCTCATTGCCAAACCGTTGAATATGTTGGTCATCCTTTATATTTACAGCACTTAATAACAAAGGAGGGGGAAGAGGAAGAGCATCATCTTTAAAAAAATATTGGTAATATTGAACCGGACAGACCCACTTTTTTCCTCCCCAATTTTCCCCTATATTTTTGCAAAATGGTCAGACTTTTTTCTTTCTTACATCCAAATTGTCTTTCTAATTTTTGCCTACAATCAAACAAAAAGGATTATTTTTGATATTTTATTTCCCATTTTTCTACCCTAAATTGGGGAGGAATAAAGGGGGTCTGTCCGGTTCTTTCCTACTTAAAACCTGAATAATCTGCAGATTTATCTAAAGGTTCATTATTTCCAAGTTCATTAAACTGAAAAAGAAAGAATTTAATTTTTTGAATTTTGAACTTAATTTATCGAAAAATTTTAAAACCTCCATTCCTCGATGACAATTAACCATATAATGCTGATCTTGTTGTGATACGGCACTTTGAATAGGCATTGTTGTAGTCATTTGCTGTGGTCTTAACGTTCCATAATCACAATTATTATTGTTATATCTATTTGTATTTCCAATTGTCTGTCGCCTTGTTTGTTCATTTAGTCCAATTGTTGAAGCATAACGTGCGTGTTGTCCATCCCCATAAATTTGCTGCTGACTTACAACATTTATAGCTGGCTGGAGCATTGAAGAATGGTAACGATTGTAGTTTTGAGAAGAATTTAACTGTTGATGAGCAGATTGAGTCTGATTAGTTGCTTCACCACCCATTGCGGAGCGAATTGAACCTCGAGTTAGCTAAATATTTGAAATTATATGTATTTTGGATATACTTTAGCCGGTGGCCGGTTCGAAACCGATTCGAAATATATACCATTCGATTCGTCTCGGCGATCTGAGTCGAATGGTACCACTCCCAGGGTGCGGAAACGCCTGTGGACCGAGATATAGGTCCCCGAAAATCGAAAAACCATAGGGGGGAGTAAGCTCAATTTTGGGGTGAAAAAATCGATTTTTTGAATGATAGCTCATTCGAAAGAGCTCCGCAAGCTGAGTCGAATGACACCAAAATCAACGAAATCCGACTTGATTGGACCGAGATATGGACCCCTAAAAACCGAAGATCCAAAAGGGCGATTTTTAGACTGAAAAATTTTTTATACAAATAATACCTCATTCGAAAGAGCTCGACGAGCTGAGTCGAATGACACCAAAATCATCGTGATTGTACAAGTTTGGACAAAGTTATGATAGAAAAACTAAAACATAAACCTATGGGGCGTCGGCGAGGCGCTTGTGCAAAACCCCGCGCTTCGCGCGGGGTTTTGCGGCACGCGCCTCGCGGGGAGTCTACGGGCGCTGGGTCTGGGCTCGTAACATAAACCTATTCCTATCTCCCCTGCTCTGGACGTATTTGGGGCCTCCGTAGCAGCAAAAATCTTCACAGATGACATAGGTAAGGAGCTAAAACAAACGGTCATAACTTTGTCAAATCAAGTCGGATTTTGTTGACTTTGGTGTCATTCGACTCAGCTCGAGGAGCTCTTTCGAATGAGGTATCATTTATATAATCGAATTTTTGACCCCAAAAATCAGCTTGGTCCCCCCTTTGGTTTTTCGATTTTCGAGAGCCCGTATCTCGGTCCACAGGCGTTTCCGCACCCTGGGAGTAGTACCATTCGACTCAGCTCGCCGAGACGAATCGAATGGTACATATTTCGAATCGGTTTCGAACCGGCCACCGGCTAAAGTACAGCCTGTATTTTTTGTAATATTTCAATTTAAACAACCCCCAGTCGGAATTTTATTTTCCCTTTAATCCTAAATTTTTCAGTGGTACAAGTCAAAGAATTATATTCCAAAAATATCTTACCGTTCCATAATTACCCGATCGAGAATAATAGTCATAAACGGGTTGTAAACGTTGCTGTTGAACAACGCCACCAATAGCTACCCCATCAGTGCTTTCAGCTGAAGTTGTTGATAAAGATCTATCACCAGATATATGCCCAGCAAAAGCAGCATAAGCATTCATAACACCTAATGAATGCCCAATACTTCCATAATCATTGTTGTGTAAAGTGGTAATGCGTCTTCCATGTCCAACACCGTCTAAAATAGAAAAATCAATTGCTGTCCGTTGATAACGAGGAGTTGGTTCCTGAATTTAAGAAAATAAATATTGTTAAATAATTTCTCTTAAACCTCTGTTGATGGATAAATTATTTTTGTTTGGCGAACCACATTCTTAGCAGTTGTCAATTTGCCAATTTCTCGTCTTGCTGCCTTCTCTTTTCTTATTGAAATAAGCTAACGAACCAGAAAAAATGAATTAAAGATTATGTTTTTAAATCTAAACCTGACAGATATTTTCAATTTCCCCAGTCTTTTGAGACAAATTAATTTGCTCTAGCTCTAAAGAATTTTGTAGAGAGCGAGATAATTCCCCAACAATATAGGCTACACCAGCAAGGCTTTGGAGAGTACACTGTTTTGTTGAAAGTAGGGCGTCCGCTTTATTCTGTGACTAAAAATAAAAAAATTAGAAAAAAAATTTTTTTAATTTGTTCAAATACTTGAAGGTAATTGGCTTCACAATAAGCTGCTAAATGCTCCAGACGGCTAGTACTTTCTTCTAGTTGAGATATTTGTGCAGGCAGACTGGAATCAAGCAAATCGCGAATATTTTGCTGCAAAATATTCCGTCCATATTTATCAGATTCTGTATCCATTTAATTACAGAAAACCCGAACTATAAAAAGTCTAAAAGTTAATTTAGATGATTTGTACTTTGAAAACTGAGGATACGTTAGATCGAAAGAGCCCTTCGAGCTGAGTCGATTGTCACTAAAATTATCGAAATCTGACTTGAATCCACATAGCTGTTACCGTTTGTTTTAACCCCTTGCGGCATATCAAGCAAAAAAGCTCAAAATGGTCAGGGAACCCAGAAAATGGGGGGAGGGCGTCAGCCGAAGTATTACCCTTTAACCTATTTCACAACATGCTTTACAAATGTGCAAATTAAAATATTTAGGAGTCAAGAACAAAGTCTTGGAAGTTTACATCCGGGAATTCCCGTTTTCAACTCCCACTTCAAAAATAATCTTTTTGGTTTGCGCCAGTTCCCTTGCGCCCAAGTGTACTTACTCTTTTAGTACGTTGTAAATTTTTTGTCAACGTTTTCCCATAAATATTTGGGGACTTTCTGACAATGAGTTGTTCATTAGTAATTACATGAGGCGTGACAAAAACTAAATTGTTCCCTAATTCTATAATTGATTGGTTTTTAGAATGGAAATGAATATTACCCTTCCTTCTTTTTCCTCTGACGAATCTGAAGGCGAAACTGAAGTAAAGCCAAAAATTATTCAACAAAAACGCCCTAAATCTATTTTAAATCGCTGCAATGAAGCAATTCTTAAGAGACAGATCTCCATTTTACAGGAAAATCCTTTCACAGAAAGTTATGCTACCATCATAGGAAGACAAGAAAACTTTACCTTAATTATTGAAATTATAGAGATGGCAAGCTGCAGCTGTAAACTTTTTTACTTTTATTTTACACATTTTGATAATTAAATTTTTAGGTGTGCCGGTTGACGCTACTTGGTTAACCAAACGTTTCAATGAATTAACAACTGAATCGGATCAATTGGAAGACTTGGATTTCTGCCGCAAATATATACTAAAATATGCACAAGCTGCTGAATATGAAGCTCAACTTAAATTAAATAATGACAAACTTATCTCAGTTTCGATTATAAAACTTGATCAGTTTAACTTTTTTAATTTCAGCGACAACTTCTTAACATCCGATTGAAAGTAGATGAAAAGGATAACTCAAATTCGCTTAGAAAACGTGGTCTGCCACCACCTAGAAAAAGGTCACGGACTGTTGAATCTTCTGAGGTTTCTTTTAAATTTTCTATTTTACTATCAATTTTGTATAGAATCGAGTTCAGTCTGATGATGAATTTGATCCATATTTGAAACGAACGGAAGAGATTGAAGATATTTTTGCGAAGCAGCCTTCTCCAGTTCCTGAACCTGCTCCAGAAGTTACTCTTATTGACTCAAATGATGATGATGAATATATTCAACCTTTGAATAATGTTAGTCAAGCAATTGCTATTCCAATAGCTTCAATAGGTTTATTTAAATTCTCCTCTTCTATTTGCCTTTTTAGATGGAATTAAGCAAAAACCTAATGAGCCAACTAGACGACAACAAATCATACAAAGAATCTCGGGCGATACTTACGATACTGTGCCTCCAAATTACGTTTTTGAAACTCGAGGAAGGAGTGGACAAAGAATCAAACAACCCAAAATTAAACACCCAAAACCAACTGCCGTAAAGAGTCGAATTCGTTTGGAACCCATTCAAAAACCCCGAAATATTCGTGAAGATACTTTTGAATGTTTGGAAGAGACCTTAAGGTTTTTAAAAAAATTTTCTGATTAATATTATTTTTGAATTTTTCAGCTCTTCGGCTTCTGATGTTGAGGACAGTGAACTTGAAGATACTTCTCCTAGCAGTAGTAATCAATCTAGTATTCAAATATGTTCCAGTTCATCGAGCAGTATTCAATTTATTAAAATTAAAAGTTTGTGGAATTTTCAAAAAATTGAAATTCTTAATTTAATTTTCAGAAAGTTCATCGCTCAGATCAACGTTGAGATCGAAGAATGGAATTAGATGTGAAAAGAGCGTTCATTATACTGAAGATACCGTGTTTCCCAATGTCTTCCAAGCTGTATTTTATTTAATTTTGATATTAAAATATTTTAATTTTTTTAGACAAGTCCAGCTTTTCTCAAACATAAAACGGTTACATTAACTGGCCAAACAAAAAGAGTTTTTACAAAGGTAAAATTTAAATACTTTGTAACTAATCTATTTTTTTAGACTCATCGCATTCTATCGTCGAGAGAAAATGCTCCGGTTGTCGCAAGTGGATCCTCCACCCTTTACAAAAAAGTCCCAAGTTCAGATTTTCCCATAAAGATTTCAAGGGTATTTAAGAATTTTTTATATTTTTGTCTAACCCTTTATCCTTTCAGAGAGACAATCCTTTAATTAAAAAAGCACAAGAAATTGCCGATTTAAAAGAAAATATTCGAAAAGAATTTATGGAGCTTTTAACGAAATTCTTTAGTTTTAAATATCGTGTTTCTCGGCTGTTTATTGTTGATTCTATAATGGAACCTTTAGATGAAGATGTTTTTAAGAATATGTCCATTTTTTCTATGGGTTATCCTCGTATGCCAGAGTAATTTATTTTGTAGATACGTAAAAATATTTTTTATTTTTAGATGGTTTATGTATGCATTAGATCGTTGGTGGCAAGATGGTAGCCAAAAACATTTTTATTTTAGTAAAGGTGAATGGTTTATTTTGTTAAAGTTGAGGTTCTTTTCTTGTTATTAAATTTTCCTTTAAAAACTGATTAGACTGGGGAGTAGGGTTGCCAAAATGGACAGACTCGGACCGAATGATTGAGTCGGGCCTAAGGTATTTGGCTTGAAAGAAACTCGTATCGGCCAGACTTGATAAAAACAAGACCGAAAAAACTCGAAAATGGCACGGCACCGACTCTAAAACGGCAACTCCATTGGGGAGGTTCGACAAGAGTGTAAGAAGGGAACTGAGGTAGTTCATGTTAAATATTTTGGGAGCGTTGCACGAATAATTCACTGAAAAAAATTCGGAGCAGGTTTCAGATTGAAAAAGTTCGGTTTTTGGGTAACCTGACCCACCCATCTCTGCTTCACACACCAAATACCTATGTTCATGTCTAAATGATTATATTTATTCAACTTTATTTTTTTAGTTTTTATCTTACTTGGAATGGATTTAAATATTTACTATGCTGACCCAGAGGCTAAACAAGAAGAAGTAGTTATAAATTTTCTGAAAAGTTTACATGCTTGGTTTGATGATAAAATGAAAAAAGTTCAAAGTGATCTTCGATTTAATTTGGAAAGAAATGATCAAACAGTCAAAGTAATTAAAAATGTTGAGGATATGCATGGCAATCCACTTCAAGTATCTCAATATCCACTTCGCTTAGCGCATGTGCCATATTTTGTTGTTATTACTGTGCCTGAAATTGGAGACTGGGAAGTCTTTTTTCAAGGATTGAATGATCGTTTACGTCAATTTGTTAGCGAAAAGTAATTTAAAAGTTTTTGGCGCTAGTCTGGTTTGCGTCCGATCAAAAGAAAATTGGATTTTTCTTGGTGTTGCAAGGTTGGAGTATGGTTCCAAAACATTTCTTCATGTTCGGGCATACGCCCACGGGGGCTGGGACCCCCAAACATGAAGAAATGTTTTGAAACCTTACCCCCAAACCTTGCAACGCAAAGAAAAATCCAATTTTCTTTTGATTGGAGGCATAAAATTGAATTGATGATTAAACTAGACCAGCGCTGATTTTTTTAATATTTAATTTTATATTTTAAGTAAAAGAACTTTTACTTTACTTGACTGGGCAAATATTTTAAAGAAAATGAAGCCTGATGATGTTTCAACAGTGGAAAAGAGAACAGCAGTTTTAATTAGGGAAATGCATCTTGAACATGGGGTATTATATCATTGATTCGAAAAAAAAACTTAAAAAATTCCTCCATTGTTTATTTCTATCTTTTATTTATGTTTTGGTTTCTTCATTTCTTTCAAAATTTCATTTAATATTTATGTTTATTTTTTTAGTCTATTAAGTGACCAGAAATAAATTTAAAAATTATTTGTAATCAATTTTTAAACTCTTCATTTTGGACTTTTCCTATGATTTTTTTAATAAATAAGCAAATTTTATTCTTGATTTTTTTTGCAAAATTGTATCTATCTGTTGATATATTTTTTAATTTTTTAAAAGAAATTTTTAAGAATATTATTTTCTGCTTTATACAATAATCGCCTTGGCCAAAATGGCAAAGAAGCAGTATGACCTTCTCTTTAAATTATTGCTTATTGGTGACAGTGGAGTGGGGAAGACTTGTATTTTATACAGGTTATTTTAATTTTAATATTTGACTTGTCTTTTGTTTCCTTTGGTTAATTAGACAATAGTGATCGAGATTTTTGAAAAGTGGGCTGTTCCTGGACTCTGGGTTCGATTTATTAACCTGGTCCGGATCCTGGGCCTGTAGTCCAGTAAAGAAATTTTTAAGGAAAACCCCAGGAGGGTCAAAAAATGCCTGGGCCTGAACTCGGTACAGGAAAAATCCAGGCCTTGGGGACCAGGGCTGGGTGAAATCTAAAAATAAAAGCGAAATGCGAAACTTTTCACGCTGTAAAATGTGAGAGTGCGAAATAAGCCCAGCCCTGTTGGGGACCCAGCTTGATCACTATTAGACAATTGTTTTTCTCAAGTCTAAAACGAGCTTTTAAAACGTTTCCTTTTTTAAGATTCAGTGACGATGCTTTTAATACCACATTCATCTCCACAATTGGCATTGACTTTAAGATAAAAACGATTGAGCTTAGAGGAAAGAAGATCAAACTACAAATATGGTAAAATATTGACTTGTGTTATCCACATAGTAATTAACAATTTAAAGGGACACAGCCGGGCAGGAACGTTTCCACACCATAACAACTTCTTACTACCGCGGCGCAATGGGCATTATGATGGTGATTTTATAAATTTTGGGTGTTAGCATTTTAAAATTGACATCCTTCCTATTTATTTTATCCTCCTATTTCTATTATTTGTTCAGCCATACTAAAGTACTAATAATGAAAGATTGGGGAGAGGGAGATAATAGAGAATTATGGGTTAGAGTCAGGGCTGGGCGCAATGAAAAAATAAAAAGCGAAATGCGAAACTTTTCGCGCTAAAAAATGCGAGAATGCGAAACGCGAAAGTGCGAAATAAGCCCAGCCCTGGTTAGACTAATTTATGATGTTTAAATACATTATGAGACTGAAATTCAACTTTAATTTAAAGGTTTATGACATCACTAATACAAGGAGCTTTGACAATATTTCGAAGTGGCTTCGACACATCGACGAGGTTTCTATTAATTTTATTTATAAAACCCCAAATTTTATTTAAGCATGCCTCCGAAGATGTTGTAAAGATGTTACTAGGAAATAAGTGCGATATGTCTGATCGGCGGGTAGTCTCCAAAGAGCGTGGTGAAAAGATTGCCTCAGACCATGGAATTAATTTTATGGAAACTTCTGCCAAGGCTAATATTAATGTTGACAAGGCTTTCCATGAGCTGGCTGAAGCAATTTTGTGCAAGGTTTTTTTCTTTGTTTTTATTGTACACATCTATTTAAATAATTTATTGTTAGATGCCTGAAAGGAATTCGACCACTGGCGATCAGCTCAGAGTCCGTCCAATGCATCAGTTTAACAGTGGAGGGTCTTCAAAAACTTCCTGCTGTTATCCTTAAAGTACTCTAAAGAACATTTGTGCCGATCCCAAATTTAAAAGAATGCACGTGTTCCCCCTTATAATGTCAAAACCGTGCACTATAACGACAAACATGCACTTCCATATAAAATATTATAAAATGATTAAGCCAATTGCATTTCCTTTTATCTATTATTAATAATATTTGACTTGAATATTTTTCTAAATAAATTTTTGATTTGTAATTAAATTACAAATTATTTATCTTTCCATTAAATCATTAATCTTTTTAAATTTCCATAAATAGTTGGGAAAATGTCAGACGATAATGACTCTTCGGAGGAGGCGGATGGGCCTTTAAAAATTCTTAAAGCTCAACAGAATAAGGAACGAAAAGAAATGAGAGGTTTTTTTGAATTGATTTATTTATAATTTAAATATTTAAGCAAAAATCACAGCTTTAAAACATGCAATTCCCAAGAACAACGTTAAGAAGAAGAAGGAAATAATGCAACAAGTAGAGCAAATGGAAAATGAAATGAAGAAGCGGCATGACGAGCAATTATCGGAGTTAGAGAAGACTAGTGAGAATGTGAAGATTAAAGATGATGAAGAAAAACATGAGGAAACAAATCAAAATTCTGCTGTTGATTCTGTTACTAGCTTCTTTAAAGAAATTAAATTAAGCAAATCTCAACAGAAAAAGGTAAATATTAGTAATTTGTGAGGCTGGGACGTAGGACTCTGTTGATTGGGCGAACCCAGTCAACGGAGCGCGCCCGCCGAATTTAGACTTCTTTTCCGTTAAAAGTATTAAAATACATTAATAAATACAAACTAAATGAGCCAGCCGGGGAGAGGACCTGGCCGAATCAAGACTAAATTGAACGGAGGCCTATGTCCTCTCCCCTTTTATTGAGTAAAATTAGGACGGGGTAAATGATAATTTAATGAACCGGTTGAGACCTCATCTAGATTTGACAGTATTTTAGAATTCCATTTAGGAAAACAAACGTAAAGAACAAGAAGCTAAGCGATTGGAAGCTTCTCAAAAAGATCAAGAAAGTGCAGTTTATAGCAAAAGCTACAAAGAAAATGAGGCCATCAAGCAGCTTCTTATACAACGAAACCTTAAATTGAAAGATATTCCCCCAGATGGTGATTGTCTTTACAGAGCTATTTCACATCAATATTTTTTATTGAAAGGAATAAAGGTTTGGATTTTATAATTTAAATTTTTCAATTTTTATTTAGCACACAGCAGAGGATTTAAGAATTATGGCAGCCAAGTTTATTAAGTAATTTTTAAATAATTTTTTAAAAATTTATTTTCAAGTTAAGAAAGAACAAAAAAGAATTTCTTGGTTATTTAATTAATTCTGAAGGTAATTTGGTTGATGAAGAGTCTTTTGACGATTACTATTACAAAGTAAAACATATGTGCTCTAAAGGTGGCGATTGGGGAGGAGAACCAGAGGTTTTTTTAAAAACATTTTTGGCTCTACTTGACTTTATGAGTCCAATCAAAAAATTGTTGGATTTTTCTTGGTATTGCAAAGTAGGTGTATGGTTCCAAAACATTTTTTTGTTCGGGACCTATGCCCAACCCTATTCCTTTAAATTTCTGAAAGTTATAGCCAATTTTTAAAAATTTCAGAAAAACGTTTTTAGCTTTCAGAAATTTCGGGGGATAGGGTAAGGAATGGTCCCAGACCCAGTGGGCGTGGTCCCGAAAATGATGAAATGTTATGGAACCCAACCTCAAATTCAAAATATAAAAAAATTTAAAATGTCTAAAAAATTTTTGATTGGACTTATAAAGTCATGTAGACCCGTATTTTTATAATATTAAAAAAATTTTTTTTCAAATATCTTTTTTTAATTAGATTCGTGCATTGAGTGAAGCTTTAAATGTTTGTATTCAAGTATTAAATGCTGACGGGACAATTAACAAATTTGGGGAGGATGATTCAGAATCTTTACTTTTGACCTACCATAGGCATGCATATTCTCTTGGAGAACATTATAATTCGACTGAACCTTCAACTGTTTCTGAATTTGATGAATTTGACCTTAAATAAATTTGAAAAATTTTTTGCTTAATTTTTAAAAGCAATAAAGAATTTTTATTTATTTTATTTTTATTTTTCTTTAAAAAAATGTTGGAAACCCTGAAATATTTTAAAAATTAAATTTTATTTTTTAATAATTTTTTAGAAATTTAGAAATAAAAATGGTTGGAGTTGTTGATGCTTTTTCCAAATTATATACTGATTATCAAAAAACAACGCCTAAACGCTTGAAAATAATTGATGCTTATATGTTTTATATTTTAATTACAGGCGTTTTGCAATTTGTTTATTGCTTATTGGTTGGGACTTTTCCTTTTAATGCTTTTTTGGCTGGATTTATTTCTTGTGTTGCTAGTTTTGTGCTTGCTGGTATTTTTTTAATTTTTAAACAGAAAATATTTTAATGGACTTACATTCCTTTTAAAATGAAAGAGTTGTGTCATTTTTTGGATGAGGTTTGGGCTGTAAATCCCATGGGTACACCCCAAGGTACCGCAAGGCCTAGGTACAGCCGAGCTATAACTTTCTTCAAATTTTCGGATCCGTGACGCCCTGTTATGTTTCGATTCAGCTCATCGAGATACCTTGGCTTCCCGGATTCGATAATTTTGAACAAATTTATAGCTTGGCGGTACCTTGGCCTGCTCCCAAATCCCATTATTGAAACCAGATGAGCCATTGACTGATCGTGTTTTAATTTTTAAACTATTTAGACAATGGGAAATTTTTTTCAATGATTTATTAGTTCGATAAAATTAGACTTAAAGATATCTGAAATCATGTAATAAACTAAAATCATCAATTTTTAAGCCAATCTTCGTATTCAAGTTAACCCAGAAAATAAACACGAGTTTCAACATATTAGCCCTGAACGTGCATTCGCTGACTTTATATTTGCCCACGTTGTTCTTCATCTTGTCGTATTTAATTTTATGGGATAAAGAAAAAAAAGGAATTTTGTGAATTATTTAACATGTTAATTTTATGTAAATTATATAATAAATTTGTTGAATAAAATTATTTAAATTCAAAAAGTTTTATTTTTTTAAATTATTTTGCTTTAATTTCAATTAAATTTTTTTTTAATTTTTATTTTAATATTCTAATTTAATTTTTAAAAGCTTTAAAAGATATGTGGTCATTTATTAGATAGTTATTTCGTCCAATTTTCAATTTCTTCCAGCGTTTGTGTCGAAGAATTCTTAAAATGTTTACTCGCAGACAAACCATTGAGGACATTGTATGAGTTTATTTTATAGAGATTATCTAATTTATAAATTAATTTTTAGATTTTGAAAGAGACTACCCGTGCTTCTAGAAATCGTCGAATTGAAAAAATGCTTAGAGAATTCCCGAATGAATTAGTTCAGTCAATGGCTTGGGACACTGGTGACGAGACCGAAGCTGCTGAAGCAATACTGGAAGAGTCTGTTCTGGAAGATGAGAAACGTCATGACTTGTCTAAGACGTTGGCCCGTTCAATGCGGCAAATTAAAGGATACCAAAAGCTCATTCAAGAAGTTTGTTTTGAATTTTTTAATATTTTCCTATTTTGTGGTTTTTCTGATTATTTTCTGTGACCATTCATTAACTGCATAATTGTAGCGTTTTGGCGCCATAAATTTTTAGAATTCAAAGGGTCCACAGAACGCCCAAATATATTACCAATAACCTAAGAGATGTTCATCCCTTATATTTTTTGATTTTCATAGGTCGAGGAGCGACGACTTGAAATTTATTGCAGCAAAATTGAGGAACACGAGAAGGAATTGTTGCGTTTATGGGCTTTGTTGAAACCAGATGAGCCTTTGACTGATCGTATCTCCAACCAATGGCAAGATATTGGATTTCAAGGAGATGACCCAGCTGTGAGTTTTTGTTTGTAAATATTTTCGAATAAAAATAATATTTTTTAAGACTGACTTTCGTGGAATGGGAATGCTTGGTTTGGACCAATTAGTATTTTTTGCTCAATTTGATGTGGAAAACTGCCGTCGTGTTCTTTCTCTTTCGATGCACCCCGTTTATGGGTATATATTTTTAAATTACAGTTAAATCTTACTATAAGATTACCTCTTAATAATTCTCAATTTAGGATATGTTTATTAAAATTTGGGATGAGAGACAGGCCCGTAGCAGGGATGCGCCGGTCACAACGCGCTTTCGCCGAATTTTTGCCTTCTTTCATCTTTCCCCTGATAATTTAACATCCCTGCCCCGTTGCCACCTAAAAAAGACCTCTCTTTTGATGACCTCTCTCTCTTTTTTTACTTTTTGATGACCTCTCTTTTTTCGGTTTTTCAATCCTCTAGATTCTGCTGTATTCCATGTCCAAGTTTTATTTAAAATTAATTTTTAAAAACTAGTTTTCCATTCGCCATCTGTGGTATAACAATCACGGCACTTTGTAAAGAATTACTTTTTGATGATGCGCTTAAAAATCATTTTTACAATGTTTTGGAGCAACCTCCACTCAAAATGGATCATTTCCATCAAGTTTATTGTAAATTAATAAAAATATTTTTTTAATTAAAATTTTTTAATTTTAGGCTGTGTTTTTAGACTTTTTGGAGATTATTGGGATTATGAAAAGCCAGAATCGGTGATGCAATTTAATTTGGTTAAGCGACGCTTTGTTAAATTAATGGAGAAATATTTGAATAATTATGAAGCGAATTTAATTGTTGCGAAAATTGAGGACTTTAATTTGGAAGAAGACAGTTAATTGAAAAATAAGAAGAGAGAAATAACGGGTTTTTTGGTGGCTACTAACGAAAAATACTAAAATAAAATAAATACTTATCTGTCTTTAAAGGTATTTTTCATCAAGATATTTTAAATTATACGAGGAATTTAATTTATTTTAAGTTTTAATTTGATTATTTTTATTTTTCAATCTCAACTATATGCAAATCTTTTTTTGGATACTTATCATGCGCCCACAAACTGAGTGCCATCCGAATTTGATTGGTATAACTTTTTTGTGTTTGATCCTATTCAAATAGATCTTATATCATTCGAAAGCCATCGATAAGCGGTACCTTTTACTTTAGGACAGATCAAATCTGATCAATATTTTAAAAGTTATAACACAATAAGTCCAGTTATTTGGTGTCTTTCACATTTGTCGGATTATAACATTTTAACGAGTGATCAGACTTGAACCATTAGGTTGGAAAAAAGATTTCTCTTATCGAGGGCTTTCGAATGTTATAAGACTTATTTTAATTGAATCAAGCATCAAAAAGTTAACGCCGATCAAATGCGGCTGGTGCTCAGTTTGTGGGCGTATAATCGTTAAGTACCCTTTTTTGTTTTAATTTATTTCTGTTTTGTAACAATGACAGAATAAAATTTAAATTACTTTAATTTTCTAAAAATTTCTAAAATATAAATTAGGTAATTAAAATATTCTCTAATTTATGGCCTTTAACCATTAATGGGGAATAACATTACTAGCATTCCTCTTCTTTATTTTCTTCAATTGTTTCCCCACTCATACCTAATCTTTTCAATAAATTCAAGTCATGTTCAGGTGTTGGATTAGCAGCTGTTAATAATTTTTCTCCATAAAAGAGAGAATTAGCTCCAGCTAGAAAACAAAGGGCCTGAAAACGGGAAAGTAAATTTTACTTTCTTGTCAAAAGAAAACTTGTAATTCGTCTCCCATTTGTTCTCTCCCTGCTGAAAGTCTGATATATGCTTTTGGCATTAATAATCGTGCAGTTGCTATTGTTCTTACAAAATCGATTGAATCCAATTCTACAGCATTTGCCAAAGGTGTTCCAGGAATTTTAATTAATTTATTTATTGGAACTGATCTTTTAATTTAGAAAACTAAATTTAGATACACAATCAAATCCTTATTTTTTTGATACTCCCGTTTTGAGGTTGAAAAATCGCCTCTTATAATGGGGTTAAATGGAGGTATAAATTAGGAATCTCCCCAGGGGGAATACGGAAGTTGAACATCTAAAAACGAAATTCTGAGGACGACAGAAGTGGTAGGGATTAGAGATAGAGATTTTTGAAAAGCCTGGGCCTGTTTCTGGACTCTGGTTTGAGGAAAAACCCCGGCTGGATCCTGGGCCTGTAATCCAGGAAAAACCCAGGCCCAGGAAAACCCCAGGAAGACTCGGTACAGGAAAAACTCGGTATAGGAATAACCCAGGCCTAGGTAAAAACCCAGACCCAGCTCGATCTCTAGTAGAATCCCACCCCCTTTCTCCTTTTGTGACCAATCAAAATTTAAAAATGGTCATTAAATAGAGGTATATGTAATATTGGGGGCATCTAAAATTGAGGTATAAAATTATAAATAATTTTTTACTCAGGCACAGGTTCCATATTAGCCAAAATAGTAAGCATTTTAACTCTATCTTCATTAGTTTCTCCCATTCCTAAAATTCCTCCACAACAAACTTTAATTCCAGCAGAACGAACCCAAAAATTAAATTTTTTTTGATAAATTTAAATTAAAAACTTTTTCTAAAGTATCAATTCTGTCTTCAAATCGTCTTGTTGTGATAATTTTAGAATAAAATTCTTTGGAACAATCAATGTTGTGATTATAAAAATCGAGGCCTTAAAATGAATAACACATGATCATGATACGCTCAAATATTAATTTTCGTTAATTAGAATCAACGATATTTTGGGTGGTGATATTTGGGCGTCGATATTCTGGGTGATCCCCTTTATATTTAATAGTTTATTTTATTATTTACCAGCTTGCTTAAGTTTTTCTGCTTGTTTATCATTTCTAATAAGTCCAAGTGTTGCACATGTTTCTAATCCTAACTCTTTTACTTTTTCTATCATTTCACAAACTTTTTCTAAATCCCTGTTGTTTGGTCCACGCCATGCTGCACCCTTTTATTTAAATTAAAAACATATTTGGACATAGAATTGGCCTCATTAAAAATACACCCATGAAGCTAAAAAATTGTGCCTTATATTGAGGGATACTTTAAATAGAGGGTATCCCTTATGCAATTCCCTCCCCCAATGGCCAATCAAAATTTAAAAAAAACATCTCTTAAATTGAGGTATATTGTGTGTATCTAAAAATGAGGTGAGGTCGTAATGAAGTGATAATGAGGTCATAATAAGATCAACGAAGTCCTACAATACTTAAATTTAAAATTCACTAACTATACAAAATCTAGTAGCACCATTTTCTTTTGCTATTTTAGCTGCTTTAATTACTTTTCTAAAAAAATTAATTTTAAATAATTTTTCTTAATTTTCATTACTCCAAATCCATTAAAGGCTCCTTCTTAATGTCAGTTTTATAAAAACTCGATTGTGGACAATAAGAACAATTCTCTGGACAAGCACCAGTTTTAATACTTAAAAGGGCGCTAATTTGTATTTTACAAGGATTGTGATGTTTTGAATGAATTAATTGGGCTTCTAGAAAATTTTTAAAAAATTTTAAGATTTATTTAAATAAATATAAACCTTTAATCAAATTAGGAAAGGGCATTTTAAATATTTCAAAAGCTTCTTCAAAGGACCAAACTTTTTTAATTAATTTAACAACATTTTTGTTTAATAAGGACATTTTTATTTTTAAATTTAAAATAAATTTATTTAAATAATATGGGTAATAAATAAGGTCAATAAATAAATATATATTAATTTAAATAAATGTTCTTATTTAGTATAAATGATAAGAATTTCTATATAAATATTTCTTATAAATAAATAGCATGTTTTTTAAACAATAATCTTTTTTAATATTATAGACTATTTATAAGTATCCTGATTTTTAGAGGGTTTTCCTAATATTTCTCAACTCTTACAGAAAAACAAGTCTTCCCCACTTTGTAAAGCATTTAGCTATTTAATTCCTAAGGCTGTACAGAAGGCAATGTGGTGTGAAGGATAACACATCAGTCAGGTGCTGGTTCGCTCCCAGCCGTCGAATAACCTTTTGCACTAGCTAAAGGAGAGAAATAGCTATAGTCCAGCTCAGCCCTACGTTTCACAACAAATACAATAAAACGATCGAATTTTCAAACATGAATCGGAATTCGGAGCGAAAAAAGTCTGGATTTCGAGTAACTTTATCAATCATCTGATTTACAAATTTTAAAAGAATATACCCAAAAATAGACTGGTATTAAGGTTTCAAAAATTATTTTTTCCCTTTTTTTTTAATTTTTGGAGTACAGCCAAAATTAGTAATTAATTCTCTCTTTTATTTTTATTTACTTCCCAAATTTAAAAAAGAAAGAAAAGAATTTTGGACCCAAACCAAAAAATTTATTTTGTTGTAAAGTCTACCTAAATTCTCGTGAAGTGCATTTGAACTAAATTAATTTTAAAAACTTATTTCTTTGACAAAAAACTTTTTTTTAAATAAACCAAAAATAATTTTTATTTTTTTATTTTTTTAATAATAATTAAATTACCGGAAATCCCTTTCTCTCTTTTTAAAAAAAGGAGAATTAACAAAACATTTATGTACATAAATATAAAAAAGGCTTAAATTTAATTTTGAAAAATATTTTCTTTTTTAATTTATTTAACAAAAAATGAGATTTTTTTCTAAATTTCTCATTTTACTTTGAAAATCAAAAATCTTTATTTATGTAAAAAATATTTATTTTTTAAATTGTTTCTTTTATATCTAAATAAAAGTAAATTAATTTATATAATTTAAAATTTAAATAATTAATTATATACCATAAAACTTTAAATAATTACCCTGTGTAATTATTGTTTCGACCCTCCGCTGGAGGGTAAATAAGGAGGTAATTGAGGGAGGGGAATTATTTGAGGTTTGAAATTTTAACGTGTCTTAGGGTATTTGTTGGGGGGGGGGGAGGGGAGGGGGGTAATTATTGTTTCAATCTACCCCGGAGGGGGTAATTACTAGGAGTCGGGTAATTATTTCAGGGAGGGCAATTAATACAGGTTATACGATATTAATTCAAAATTTCTCAAAATTTTATTTCCGAGTTTCGACATCTTCGGCATTAGACCGACCTTTGATGAAAATTAAAAATAGGGGAATGATAAAAGAGAAGAATTTCAATTAAATATATCTTTATTGCCTTAATAATTTTTATATTTATCAAATTCTCTAAAAATTAATTTTTGATAAGAATTTAAAAAGATACCATGTAATTAAGATAAAAAATATTTTTTTAATTTTAAAATGTTTGTCACCCCTTTTCATTATTTTTTCTTGTCAATACCTCCTCTTTCTGTTTGTCTTTACTTAACTCGCAGTATCGCCCACTCATTTTTTTTTGTGAAAATGCAGATATAAGCTTGTTACTCGTTAGTGTATTTTTTGTTACAATGAATATTTTCTAAAAAATTTTTTTTCTTTTTTCTCTACCCCTTTTAACGGGGTTTCTATTAAAATCCCGTCTTTTCCCCTTTTTTAGTTACTAGGCATTATTTTCTTTTACGGCATTTCTGCCAGTCGATGCCTTTTATCTTTCCTTTCTTTTTTAAAATTCCAAGTATTTTTCTATCCATATATCTGTCAATATTTGTCAATACATTCCCATTTTATTCTCCGACCTAGGCATTGGCCAACCACAGTTTTCCTTCCCTTTCCTTCCCCAGTTTGTGTTTCATTCTCCCATAAAGCTTTTTTGCCTTAAAGGCAAAACGAACATTTAATTTAGAAATATTCTTAATTAAAAAATTTTTAAGAATCGACAGAAATTGTCGATATGATGCCCACTAAAATAATATTGCCGGTCTTGTTGTCTTGTTTCGTTATCAATGAGGCTTTTGGAAGTAAGATTTTCTTATAAATTATGACGTCATTTAAGGAATTATTGAGAAAATATGGTTAATTAAACGTAAATCCCGTTTGTGCCATGTTTAGACATTTATATTTTGGAAATTATTATTTTATCCAAAGAGGTTCACGTTAGTAAACAGACAAACTACTCCACAAATTCGTAGGTTCAAGCTAGGTTACCCAGGCCCAAAGCAGGCCTTGACCTAGGTAGGGGCCAGAGGTGGTTCGGAACAGTCAGAAGTGTCGGAAATTGGAAGAGCCGGAAATCGGAACTGGCTCAAAAGTCGGAACTAGGAAGTCAAATTTTTTTTGAAAATCGGAAATCGGAAGGAAAAAACGTCGGAAACCGGAATGCCGACCACCTCTGGTAGGGACGTCTCTACTTTAACATTTTTAAGTATGATAGGAATTTTACAAAAAATCTAACTATAGGCCTCTTCTTCTGGAACAAACAAAAAGCCTCATCCGCAAATGACGAACTCTGGACTCGATATCATAACCAAAAAGCAATGGAAGAAAAAATGGAAGAAATAAATAAAAAATGTCCAAAGTATTTCAATCCAAGCATTTTAATAGGGTAATTTATTCTTTAAGCGTTACTCGTCTCTACAGTGTTGGTAAAAGCGTTGAGGGAAGGCAATTAGCCGTTATTGAATTTTCATTGCACCCTGGACGTCATCAAACACGTAAAAAATATTTTTTGTGAAAAATTTTTGAGATAAAATTTCCTTTAAAGTTAAACCAGAAGTTAAATATGTTGGGAATATGCATGGAAATGAAGCTATTGGAAGGGAACTTTTAATTCGTTTAGCGGATTATTTATGTGATGCTTGGAGAGGGGCTCAAAGACCGATTGTTGAATTATTAAATTCAACAAATATTCATATTATGCCGTCAATGAATCCTGATGGATTTGAATTGGCCTACAAAACTGTAAAAAAATAATTACACAAACAGACCTCTCTATAAGACACACCCAATAATAGATACACCCAATATTAGATAACCCAATAATTTAGGAACCGTTTTTTAATTTTGTTGACACTGTGTAAGGAGAGCTTCCTAAGTAATATGTACCCTCTATTTAGGATACCCCCATTATAAGATCCCATTTCAGCCTTAAGGGGTGTCTCTTATAATGAGCGGCTAAATTTTTTTATAAAAAAGAAATATTTTATAGAAACCAGAAGATCGTGGCTGGCTAACAGGAAGAGGAAATGCCCATGGCGTTGACTTAAATAGAAATTTCCCAGATTTAAATACCCTCTTTTACTTTATGGAATCAAAAAGCTGGCCTTTTTATGACCATTTACTAGAATTATTCCAAAATCCAAACCAACAACATTTTGAGCCAGAAGTTAGTTCTGTTGGGGAATGGATACTCTCTTGGCCTTTTGTTATTTCTGCAAATCTGCACGAAGGGGATATGGTAGCTAATTACCCCTTTGATGAAAGTCGAGAACCGATGTCTTTAAGTGCTTATTCTAAATCACCTGATGATGCTACTTTTAGGTAGATTAGATTTAATAAAAGGAGAGAATTGGAAAATATTTCTGTGTTATTGTGACTTCTAAATGAACCTAGCGAAATAAAGCTTTCCTTCGAAAAGGACTATCGTTCCCCTCCTCGGGGACAGCTTGAAGATGGCCCACCGTCCCCGTCCCCGTGGCAAAATTACCGCAACCACTGTTCCCGCGAAAAGAGCCACCTGACCGTAAATTTGGAACCCTAGTATTTACTAGAAAAAAATATTTTACTCTTAATTGAATAATCCTTTTCTCTCAAAAAGATATCTTGCCGAAACATATGCAAAAGCACATGCACATATGGCTAAAAACGATCATGAACCCTGCGATGGAACAGCACAAAATAATTTTGCTAGACAAGGGGGAATTACTAATGGAGCTAAATGGTATTCTGTTGCTGGTGGAATGCAGGATTTTAATTATTTGGCTACAAATGTAAAGACTAATAAAATTTGGGGACTTAGGGAATATAAAGGATTTAATACAGAGGAGGATCATTCCTGAATACATACCCCTTTTTTAAGAGAACTTAAGATCTCCTGGGTGATCTTAATATGGAAGTCTCAGGCAGGAAACGAACCTGCAAAATCTTGTCATTGTCAGTCTTGGCTATGGAGATAATGACATTACTTTCTCCCATAACCCACGCCTGTTTAAATGTTATCCAGCTGTATTTTCCCCCATTTTATTATTTTTTCCCTTTCTTAACTCCCAATATTTGGCATTTGAAGGATTTTATCTTTAATATTTGTTTTTAGGCCTTTGAAATAACATTAGAATTAGGATGTGAAAAGATGCCCAATCCCCAACAATTACCACAATTTTGGGCAGACAACAAAATAGCTTTACTCGAATTTATTCGTCTTGCACATATGGGTATTAAAGGAATTGTTCAAGATTCAGAAACGGGTGAACCAATTCCAAATGCTGTTGTTTGGGTTAGAAATGTAACAAAAAATGGAGAAGGAAAAGGAAATGCAATTAAACATCCAGTTACTACATGTAAATATTTGTTTATTATTTAAATGGATGGAATAATTTAGCTGTTGAATAATTTACCCGAGATTTTTCCGTGTACATGCAAAATAGGAAATAAGGCCTTTCTATAGGTGGATTATGCTGCGGCAATGAGACAGACTTTCCAGGATGGATTAGACGCTTGCGATAATTAATACGCCAGCTAATAGCTAGCAGGGATTGGCCGGGTCTAGAAAAATTCTCGGATCGGGTTTAGAAAATTTTCTTCGGATCGGGTTTCGGATCTTGGATTTCGAGTACTCCGAACCATCCCTGATAGCTGGAATACTCAACTAAATTACCTCCAAATAGACTTTCAATCAACTAGTAACCGCGCTTTCCACTACTACTCCCGACACTAGCACCTTATTTGCTCATTTTCTTACTACCTTTCAGTCCTAGCCTCCTGCATTAACATTCACCTTACATTCAAAAATTTGTTTTAAGGGATCACTGGTGACTATTTCCGCCCTCTAATTGCTGGACATTACCAAATAGCGGTTGAGGCTGAAGGTTATGAAATTGGTGTTAGAGCTGTTAATTTAAGTTCAAATAATGTTATTGAACGTCGTCCAGTTATTTTAAACTTTAAATTAAATCCAATAAAACAAAAAGAAGAACAACAATTAATTGTTACACCTGAGGAAAATGGAGAGGAAGCACAAGAATTGGAAAGTGAACCAGAACAGGAAAATGAAAATGAGGGAATGCTTACACCTGAACAAGTAAACGAAATAAAATTTACCCGAGAAGTAGGGGGTTGTCGTTTTGGGAATCAATTGGACCAAGGGTTTCTCGATTTCTAGAATCAGTTCTTTGGTTCAGAATATATCCTCATGTTTCCGAGAACTAACAATCGTAATAAGAATCGTGAAAGAAAGGGACTCTTCTTCGAGCTCAGTATAACGTAGAAATATATTAAGTCAATTTTGGTACCATCTGACTCTCGGCGGGATAAGTCGAATCATTCGAAGTTTGACTAGACCCAACTTTTATAAATTTAATAGAAAGCTTTAGGGTAGATTGGGGATGTAGTAGATAGGGGGGGGGGGGGGTAAACATTTTTTAACTCCAAAACTCAACAAAAAATATAATTCTAATATTTTTATTAATTTAGGCAGCAGAATTTATTCAACTTTTACGTTTACAACAAATGGCGAGAGAACAACAACAACGTTTTTAAAAACAAATTGTATAGAAAGAAGAATTTAAAAAAATATTATAAAAATGATCTCTCATTCCCCTCTTTTTAAAAAATAAACTTTAATTTTCTCCAACCTCAGAAGCCAAAATCAACAAAATTAACCGGTCATTAAATTAATTATATATTTTTACCGGTTTTTATTTAACAAAATCCTCCTCCTTTCCCCCCTATTTTTCTTGTAAATATATAATTATGTAATACATATGTTTCTAAGTTTTTATAAAATTTTAACAAATTACTTGTGAATTAATTAAAATTGTACCATTTTGAGTGAGAGAGAGTGAATAAAAGAAATGTTAATATTAATCTTTAATATTTTTTAAAAGTTAAAAACAAGTTGATATTTAAATTATTATATTAGAATATTTAAACTTTGGTTTTGTATATTACATATAATAATTTGCCGATTAAAATTAAAAAATTCATAACTCCCGACAGCATAACGGCAGGGGTGCCGGAATTTTGGTCATTGGAATTCTGGTCACCAAGTATTTTCGGAACTTTGGTCACCAACTTTTTTGGAATTTTGGTCACTAGCGGAATTTTGGTCACCAAGTCAAAAAAACGGAATATTGGGCACTGAAAATCCGAAAATCCTTGGTAACCAGAATTCCAGTGACCAAAATTCCGTACAACTGGGGGTTCAAAAATCATTTTTTATAACTTTTTTATCAGTTTTAGATAAGATTTGTTTTTCCCGTTTGGTGACCAAAATTTCAGTGCCCAATATTCCGTTTTTTGACTTGGTGACCAAAATTCCGCTAGTGACCAAAATTCCAAAAAAGTTGGTGACCAAAGTTCCGAAAATCCTTGGTGACCAGAATTCCAGTGACCAAAATTCCGTACACCAACGGCAGCCGGTAAATGTCCAGCTCGTCCTCAACATGTCCAAAGGACTTTCTGCAAAAATGAATTTTTGCTGCATTCTTCTCCTTTCCTCTCTCTAACATAATTTTCCGTAGCCTTCTGAAATTTGCGGGTGTCGCGGGGTACACCTTGACGGGGCATCCAGGTAAAATATACTATAGCCGCGGCCCTTTTGTATATTAAAATTAATTAAATTTAAAGCTTTACCAGAACAGAAAATTTTAAAAATTATTTTTATAATTAAATTAAAATTAAAAAATATTTTTTTATCTACACATATTTTATTTACTCAGGCCATTTATTTTTTTTCATTACATTTAATTTAAACAAGAGATATAATCATCACATTTTTTCACCTTTTATTTTTTTTTACAACAAAGAAAAAAAATAAACTTTGATCTTTTTTTATAAAAAATTATTTATTTTTGAAATAATTAAAGTAAAATTTTAGTTCCGGACAGGCATTGACTTTGCGACCTCCCTGCATTTGAGTACTCTACCACTTCCAAACGTTGAAGTTAGCGTTTTTAAAATAATTATCACGTAGGCTACCAAATAAGCCTACAAGTGCTCCGCTTTCACCTTCTCTTTTTTTATATGTCTAAAATCCCTTCCTAGCTAGCGTTTTAAATGCTAATCAGCTAGATCCCCTTTTTACAATAAAAATTGTTTATTCTCTAATAAAAGGGACACAAAAGAAAGTAATTAAACAATAAAAATAATAATTAAACTATCTTAAAAAACAATGCGGAAATTATTACTAAATTAAGTATGAATCATTGCTAGCAAAATAAAAATTTAATGTACAGGGTGCGGCAATTTGGGCGCACTTTTTCTTTGCGTCATAACTTTTTTCAATTTTATCGAAAATTGATAATTATTTTTTTATTTTAATCCCAAGACTTTGAGAAATTTTTTGATACTAAAAATCCTTAAAATTTTATAATTTAGTCGAATAAATTTTTTCTCAAAGTTTGAGCTAGATTTTTCTAATAAAATTTGGCCTAGATTCAAGACTAAAATTTTGATATGGGAAATCTTCATATCATTCGAATCAGCTCTAAAATCTGATTCGAATGACGTAAAAATCAAACAGCTTCGACATAAATGAATGATAAATTAAAATTATTTTGGCAAATATAAATTTTTTGAGTAAAATTTTCAAAATTGGAATTATAAGCTATTTCGATGCTTCTGAATGAGAAATATATTTCCGCACGCGTTTAGATGTTTCTAAGCGTTTATCTTTACTATTTTTGAATTAAATTTCCATTTTTTAGTATCAAAAAATTTCTCAAAGTCTTGGGAAACTCGGCTCCACCCAAATCCCATTTAATCCATTTATACCCCGCTTAATCCTCTTATATCACTCAATACACCCTTTATCCATCCAAACCCCCCAATAAAAAATAATTCATTGATTTTCTAATCGGAGCCAACATGAAGCGGTTCCAAAAATCGCCAGCTCCGGAGCCGAAGCCAAGATTTTATGAGCCCGGACCGGAGCCAACAAATGTCTAATACCCAGCACTGGAATTTAGTATTTAATTTTTTAAAAAACGCGTTAAATAAATAAAATATCAGAATGCCAAACATTTTTGATCTCTGTTAATTTTTTCTTTCTCTCTTTTTTTCAACTTTTTTGCAGATATTTTTTCGTGCCCGCTCAACTCATCTAATCCTTAACTCATCCACACGCCCAAAAACGCTCAACTCATCTAAACGGCTAAAATTCCTTAACTCATCCACACGGCCAAAAACGCTCAACTCATCCAATCCTCAACTCATCTAATGCTTAACTCATCCACACGGCCAAAAACGCTCAACTCATCCAATCCTTTGGAACGAGACTATTGAGTACCAGTCGTTTGAGTCCCTGGCCGTCTGAGTTCATGACCAGTTGAGTCCCTGGCCGTCTGAGTTCATGACCAGTTGAGTCCCTGGCCGTCTGAGTTCATGACCAGTTGAGTCCCTGGCCGTCTGAGTTCATGACCAGTTGAGTCTCTGGCCGTCTGAGTCCATGACAAGTTGAGTCCCTGGCCGTTTGAGTCCATGACCAGTTGAGTCTCTAGCCGGTTAAGTCCCTGGTCAGTTGAGTCCCGGCCGTTTGAGTGGTTGATTACCACCGATTGAGTCTTGGGCCGGTTGAGACTCAACTGACCAGGGACTCAACCGGCTAGGGACTCAACCGGCCGATATTTCAAGGATTGGATGAGTTGAGCGTTTTTGGGCGTGTGGATGAGTTAAGCATTAGATGAGTTGAGGATTGGATGAGTTGAGCGTTTTTGGCCGTGTGGATGAGTTAAGTGTTAGATGAGTTAAGGATTGGATGAGTTGTAGGGTAGCCTATTTTTTCTTTCATTTTTTATAAAATTTCTTTCAATTTTTTCTTTTCAGCTTTAAAAAAATTTTCTAAAAATGGCAAAATCCGATTATTTCCCCAGGTACGGGGTTGAAAATTATTCTTTTGTTACTTCTTATGAACTTTCATTTGATATGGTTTCTTCAACTGAATGGATGCGAAGAAATTGGATTCATTCAATTACTTTATCTGTTATTTATATTTTTGGTATTTTTGGTGGACAAAAAGTATGTATTTATTTCTTAAATTAAATATTCACTAAAATATTTTTAAAAATCCTTAACACAAAAGACACTATTGCCCTTTTTAAAAATGTCAATCCAATTATTTCGAAAATTTTTTGGTTTTTATGGACAAATAGATAATTTGAAAAAGCTCAACGAAAAGTGTTATATGACATAAAAAAACGAGGAGCTTTAACAGTTTTTTGGGTAATATTGAATCGGACAGACCCCTTTTTTCCTACCCAATTTTCCCCCTATATTTTGCAAAATGGTCAGGCATTTTTCTTTCTTCCATCATTTCTTCCATTCAAAAATTAGGGAGGAAAAATGGGAAATAAAATATTAAAAATAATCCTTTTTGTTTGATTATAGGCAGAAATTAGAAAGGCAATTTGGATGGAAGAAAGGAAAAAGTCTGACCATTTTGCAAAAATATAGGGGGAAAATTGGGTAGGAAAAAAGGGGTCTGTCCGGTTCAATATTACCGTTTTTGTGTTATTCAAATCGAGCTTTTTCGAAGGACATAAAGTCGCTGTTAAAAGTTTTTATCACAAAAAGATTCTATTTGAAATAAGATTTAAAAATTAGAAAAGAAGAAAAATTTTCTTATTAATTTTAAATAATCTTCTTCCTTTTTTTTAAGTTAATGAACAATCGAAAACCTTTTGTTTTGGATTATGCTCTTTTTTGGTGGAATATATTTTTGGCAACATTTTCGGCTGTTGGGGCTGCTAGAATGTTACCAGAACTTTTTTGGTTTTTCAAAAATTAATTTAAAAAAATTTTTTTTTCAAAAAAGGTCTGTCAATTCAAATTCTTTTTTCTATTCAATTTGTATTGGTTCTTATGCCCAAGGAATTAGTGGATATTGGGGGGATAAATTTGCAATGTCCAAGGTTTTTTAAATTGAAAAAAATATTTTTTTGTAAATTTTTAAAGGTTATTGAATTTGCCGATACTGCTTTTATTGTTTTACGTAAAAAACCTTTAATCTTTCTTCATTGGTATCATCATGTTACGGTTTGGAAATTTTTAATTATTTAATTACTGGAAGGGTTTTAAGATTTAATTTAGGATAGGGATAGGTCAGAATAGAATTTTGTTTCGAAAATTTGGCAGAAATTTGATTTTGGCAAAAGTCTAATCTCCCAATTTCAAATAAATTTTATCTAAATTCTTGTATAAGTTGATCGGAGTAAAATAAAAAGTAAATGTGTTCCTTGGTAACAGAGGTGGGTCGGAATAGTCAGAGGTGTCGGAAATCGGAAGAGCCGGAAATCAGAACTGGCTCAAAAGTCGGAACTCGGAAATCAAAATTTTTTCGAAAATCGGAAGGAAAAAACGTCGGAAATCGGAATTCCGACCCTCTCCTTGGTAACCTCACAAAGTTATTTTAATTCTGAATTCTCGTACCAAAATTCGAACTCTCGCCTGTGTTGCCTATACTGTTTTTTGGGGAAAAAAGTATGGGGAAGAATAAGAGGAATTCCGAATTTCCGGACACTAAACAAAAAGCTTAGGAAAAATTAGAAGAAACAAGGGAAAATCTAGAATTTTTTAATCCTTTTCAATGTTAGGATTCAAAAAAAATTTTTTTAGAGTTCCAAACATTTTTACCTTCATTCAAAATCCTTTTACTAATTTGTTGTAATTTTCTTTTTTTAGGTATTGATCTCAACTTGGATGATGTACAAAGATCACGCTGCTAGTGGTAGATGGTTTATTGCAATGAATTATGTTGTCCATTCTTTTATGTAAATTTTTTCTAAAAAAATTTAAAAAAAAAAACAAAAATTTAAAGGTATACTTATTATGCCCTTAGAGTTTTACAATATAAATTACCCAAATGGACTGCAATTTTTGTTACTCTTTTACAAATATCTCAAATGATTGTTGGATTAGCTATAAGTATTTATACGTTTAGGTTTGTATATTTATTTTTGATTTGAAAAATTAATATTTTTGTGTTGTTTGGAGGGGGGACTTCTTAGGTCCAATAATTCTTGTACTTTTAGCTGATCGTTAAAATCTTTAATTTTACTGACTAATTTAAACAGAAATTGATCCAATTAGGATGCTCAAACTCGATTTATAGCCTGTCAATTGAATTTTGGTTTCACCGATTTTTAATTTCTGTTTTCAGTTTGTGTAACCAAATTTGAGCAACCTTACTTCCATATAAGGAATGGGAATGATTACCCGAACCCTGAACTTTTTTAGCCTGAAACCCTGTACTCGATCCAAACCTTTTTCGACCCAAAATTTGAAACCGAACCCCTACCTTGCTTTCTCTCACCTCACCCTGTCCCTTCTCCAAATAACACAACAATTATCAAAAAATCTTTATTTTTCTTTAAGATTAAAATCTGTTGGAATTGAATGTCAAAATACTTGGACTAATCTCTACATTTCTTTATTAATTTATTTGAGTTATTTTTTGCTTTTTTGTAATTTCTTTTATCAAACTTATTTACGTTCTGGAAATCGTTATACAAAAATTGAAAAGAAGACAAAAGAAGTTTTAGCTAATGGAAATGCTAATAATATTACTTCTGAAACTACTATTAGGTAAATTTGAAAAAAATTTTGAATGGGATTAAAATTGGGACAGTTTTTGTTGATTGTAAGACCTAAAAATAATTTTCTTTCACTTTTTAATTTTAGTGGAAAGTTTGTAAAAATTATATTTATAGAAAATAGGTAAATACTAAGGTTGTTGATTAACAGTTATTAACCGGCAAGGTCGTAGTCAGGGAGTCGATTTCACTAGATTTTCCCCAAAATTTTCCTCTCTTCCCCCATTTCGGGGTTGGGGCTTCTGCCCCATGGCTACGCCCTAGTTAACCGATATAAAAAATATCAGTCTTTTGGTTATGATGACTGATTTAGATCCCTAATCTTCAGTTCCAATTAACTAGTCAAAAACATCTGTTTAATCGACTGAAAACGAATTTTAAAAAATAATTTTAGAAAATATAAAAATAATTTTTAATTAATTTTAGCAGTGGAGAATTGATGGAACCAATAAAAAGTTAAAATAAAAGACGGACAACAACAAATATTTAAATCCAAATTCAAAAAGAAGAAAATAAAAGAAAGATAACCTTGAAAAGATTGACCTTCATCGGAAATAGTAATTAATTTTTTTTCTCTCCTCCCATTACTTTAAAAGAATTTTTTTGTTTTGTTTTTAAAAATTAACTTTTTTTCTTTAAAAATTATTTCCTTAACCGCGCCATATTAATTATATAAAAATATTTTTGGTTTCATCAAGCTTTAAAAAAATTATTTTATTTTTTTTAAATTTGATGAACTAAAATATATATAATTAAATATACTGCATAATCTCTCTCCCATTTAATTGTTTTAAATATATTTTTGTTAGAAAAAATGTTGGCTATTAATTGGAGCAATATTAGGAATAATTAAAAAAAAGACAAGTTTAAGGAATAGGGGGAGATGTTTATAGTTAAATGAAAATTATGAGGATTATAATAGAAGCAAAGTGATTCTTAATAGAATAATTAGGATTTTTAAAATAAGACAATTTATTACAACTTGTAATACATATAATGATCGTTTTTTCAATAAAAAATTCAATAGACGATATAATCTCCTTTTTGTAACGCTACAAGTCTCCAGCGCTTCGTCAACTTTTGAATTCCCTCTCTCACAAAATTCCTCTCTCCATAGACCTACCTCTTTTTCGAGCTGTTCGTCATTTTTAAATTGTTTGCCTCTGAGGAAGTTCTTCAGCGACTGGAATGCCTGGAAATCAGAAGGTGCCAAGTCAGGTGAGTAGGCCGGATGTGACAAGAGGACCCAATTGAAAGCCAATAGAAAATCAGATTTATTACTAAAGCTATGTTTATTTTTTTGTTTTTCTCATTTTTAAAAAAATTTCCTTTGATGTTTTATTTTAATCGAAAAAGTACAAATTTGTACATGTGATTGTCACAAAATAAATAAACTAAAAATGCCCTTTTTGCTTTTAAAAAGGCGAGCATTAATTTATTTTAGAATGCCCTTTTTAATTTTTCGCGTAAATATTTTCGAAATAGCTGTCTTTAAATTCAAAAAAAATAATTTAAAAAATTATTTTTATATTTTATTAATTAAAATTAATATTTTATTCATGTATAATTGAATTAGGGAGCAATAGGGGCAATTCTTAATAAAATAAATAAATTAAAAAAAAATAAATTCAATAATTTTGACAGAATTATTTTAAATGTTTTTTAAAAATAATTTATTATTAATTATTTTAATTTTTGTATTTTTGTTAGGTAATTAATTTTTTAAATAATATAAAATTAATATTAAGGAATAAATTCAACAAAAACAAAATTTAAGAGAATTATCCCAAATGGTAATGATTGGAATATTTTGGAAGGAAAAACAATTGGAGAAGTAAAAGAAGGAGAAAACCCGGGCAAAAATGATTTTGAAGAATTGCCAATATCAACAATGAATGAGGGGAAGATTTTGGGTAATACTTTGGAAGTCGCCCACCCTTCACCCCTCTTTCCCCGTTTCCCTGGCCAATATGAGCTTTTCATGTTTGATATACAACTTATTATATATATTTTTCAAAAAGCTCTTCGAGCTGCGTAGAATGATACCATGATCGGCTAGATTTGATCATTCTTTACAAGATTATAAATCTAAATCCAGTAAAGCAGCTGGGCTATAGCTATTTCTCTCCTTTAGCTGTGCAGAAGGTTATTTGGCGACTGAGAGCGAGCCAGCATCTTCAGTAGTCCGGACTGATGTGTTAGCCCTACTGACAGCCTTAGGAATTAAATAGGCATGTGCTTTACAATCCTCGATGGGAAAACCTTGTCCTGTTTCAAGGGATTAAAACAGATCATACCCGTGTTGACTTAAGTCAGATCTCGTTGATTCTAGTGTCATTCGACTCAACACGAAGAGCCGAGTATATAATTTGCCGCAAAGTAAGAAAAAAAAGGAAAAAATACAAAGGAAAAGGGGGGCGACTTCCAAAGTATTACCAGATTTTGAAATTGGAGGAGAATCTTCAACTAACAATTGGTCAAAATCTGTTTGTAAATTTGTTGAAAATTTTAAAGAAAAAATTAAAATAAAATTCCAAAATGTTTTGGAAAAGAAAATTTCGCCAATTAAATATTTAAAAGGGGCAATATTTGGTATTTTAATAATTTCTGCTCCATGTCCTGTTGATACAATTTATTTAAAACCAAATAATTTAACTAAAAATGGGATGATGCCAAAATCTTTTTTTGAATATTTAAAAGGTTTTTACTCAAATTATATTTTGTAATCAAAAGATTAAAAACAAAAAATATTTGTTAATTTGATGTAAATAAGAATAAATTTAGTGGAGATCGGCCTGAGCCCGGATTAGTTTTTCGCCTGAACCGCTAATTTGGCCGGAACCGGAACTTCCGGCGAAACACTATTCTGGATCCAGGCCTAATTTTTTTCCTGGATCCAAGTCAAGATTTCCTTGTTTTGACCCAAGGTCAGAAATCTGGTCTGGTTGATTCTTAATCAAAATTAAGAATCAAATTCAATGTTTTAAAAAATTTTGCTAAAATTTAGTATATAAAAATGGAGGGATCTTTTAATTTCGAATATATATTTGAACTTAATCCAAAAAAAAATATTTATATTTTTAGATAGTCAAAAAAGTAGAAATCCAAATTTGGATAGACCAATACCGGAAATTGAACCAGCAAAAAAATGTGAATATATTAAAATTGAAGGGGAATATAAATGTATGTATTTATGAGATTGAATTAATTGAGGATAATTATGAAATTAATTTAAAAAATAAGAGTGGGGAAATGATAAATTTGGGGAATTTAGAAGAAGAAAATTGTGAAAAAGAAGAAATTGTAAAAGAACCTTTAGATATGTTAAAAATGAAAATAAAAATTAAGAAAGGAAATAAAAGATTTGGAAAGAAAAATAAAGGAGAAGAAAGAAAAATCAAAATCTTTAAAGTTGAAAAATTAAAAAAAAAATTTTTATAATTTTTAGTAAATTATACATACAATAGGGGACAAAAAATGATGAATATTGATAATATACCACTATATTTGGTTAAAGAAAATTATTTAAATTTATTTCTTTTGATTTACTTTTTATTAGTTGAATTGTTAGTAAACTTTTTTGGCTGAAAATTGCGAGTCTTCTAATTGTAGAAAAAAGGAATTTTTAATTAGATAGTAGCTTTCGTTCTCAATTAATTAATGAGGCTGAATTGGGTGAGGGTAAAAAATTATTATTTCCCTGGACCGTGTTTTGGTCGTTCCGCCTATTGGCCGTTCCATGTTTTGGTAAGTCCGTGTTCTATCTGTTCCTCGTTTTGTTATGGTCTGTATTTTGGTAAGACCGCGTTTTGTCGTTCCGTGTTTTGTCCGTTCCGTGTTTTAGCCCGATACGGCTGAATTGATAACAGATTTCCCTCTTAACACATTCCCCTAAATCTTTAAGTAGCAACTCAATCCAGATCATAAAATAAAAAAGTATTACTGTATAACCTGCATTATTGCCCTCCCTCAAATAATTACCCCCGCTTCTACTAAATACCCAATCCAGAGATAGATTTAAACAATAATTACCCCCAAACAAATGAAAACAAAACACGTTCAGATTTCAAACCCCGTATAAATACCCTCCCTCGATTAACTACTTCCTCCAGTGAAAAGTCGAAACAATAATTACCCAGGTAGTTATTAAAGAGTACGGTAGGTTAATTTTGATTTTATTAATTAAAAGGCACTTACAATTTACGCAAGAAACTTAAGAGAAGCTAAGATAAATATTTTTAAAATTTTCGAACATAAAATAATCCTTAATTTTTAAATTATATTTTAAAAAATAAATTTAATATAAAATCTCATTTATCAAAAAAAATATAAAATTTTTTTTTCATACAAAAGAAGAGGGAGAAAAAGAAATATTTTAAAAAATAATTTTTGAGATCATTTTCTAATTAAAAAAATTTTTTCTTTCTTTTCTCTAGCCTGCCCAGCCATTTTTCTTTTTTTCAAATAAAAAAAACAAATTTTATTCTTTAATTTTTATTTATTCTCCCGATCGCCTTTTTCTCATTAAACACTGAATAGGCGAATAAAAGCAAGGTCGCATTCGCTTATATTGTCGGCCCATTCGACCAGTACCAAATTCATCAGCCAATAAATGACGCATTTGACGCCGAGGAATCTCCTTATTTGAAAAAATATTTTTTTAAATTCAAAAAATTTTTTATTTTACTTTTTCTGCTGAATTTTGATTTTCTGTTTTTGTCTCCAAATCGTCGCCATTTTGTTCTCCCTCAATTATTACCATTTTTGGTTCTTCACTTACAGTATTTACATGTCCAGAATCGCCAATTCGGGAAGGATGCCTTTTAAAAATAAATTTTTAATTACCTACTATTTTAACTATTAAAGTCGGATCTCACTTCTATATAAAATCTTGAGGCTGAGAAAATTCCACCTTAATAATGAGAGGTATAATTGAATAGGTGGATATCACCTAGGCTCCCTTTCCAGCTGACCAAATTTTAAAAAAGAATTATCATAAATTGAGCTGTCTATTATTGGGTGTGTCTTAAAACAAGAGGGGTTTCTTTGTAAATATTTTTAATTCCACACTTAGATACACCATTGGGGACTGAGAAAATCAGTGACCTTATAACAGGAAGATATCTTGAATAGGAAGTATCACCTAAACAGGCTGACTTGTCTAGTCTTTGGGCGTAAAAAAGAGAGAGGGGTTTCTTTGGGGTATAATTGAATATGAGGATATCACCTAAGCTCCCTTTCCCGCTAGGCAAATTTTAAAAAGAATTATCTGTAAATTGAGCTGCTTAATATAGGGGTGTATCTTAAAACGAGAGGTTTATCTATAAATATTTTTAATCTCATACTTAGATACACCATTGGGGACTGAGAAAATCAGTGACCTTATAACAGGAAGATATCTTGAATAGGGAGTATCACCTAAACAGGCTGACTTGTCTAGTCTTTGGGCGTAAAAAAGAGAGAGGGGTTTCTTTGTATATTCTGAATTATTTCCAAAAAACTTACTGAAATCCAAATAAATTATGGCTTAAATATCCGCTAGGCATGAAAAGTTGTTGTGAATAATAGGCGGATACTTGTTGGCTCCACTGGAAGGAAATGGAAAACAGCAAAATTGCCAAAATGGAAGGCGAAAAATAAAATGGAAATGAAGACTTTCTGCGCATTTTTATTATTATTTGAAGTAGAGAATTAATTGAATTTTAAATTAATATTAAGGAAATCCCTTAAAAGTAAAAAATAGGTATATAAATATTTAATTATTTACTATATCGGATAAAAAATTAATATCACCAGTCGACCTCATTAGTGTCGCTGTACTTGTATGTCACCCTCCCATTAATGCCTAAATTTCCTATAAGTTTAGTTCATTCCCGCTTAATCTGACATCCACTAGTATGTCACTACCAATTTAATATCAAGTTTTTTAGGCCCGAAAGGAGATACAATATCGAGGTCCGATTAGGGGGAGGCAATCGTAAAATTATATGAAATTGAAATGAAATTATATATGTAGTCCCCTAGGCCCGACTATATAATATTTTGTAACAAATATTTGGTTACTACATTAATTTAGTAGTTTGATTAAAATTCATAAACTAAATCCCTGTTTTTTCCAAGAAAATACCTGTGACGAAGGTTTGTAAAGGGCCAATACTTTTACAAGTCAGATTATTTTAAAATTTGTAAAAATTTTTTGTGTATTTTGATTTATAATCTGTTTAGAATTTTTAAAAAACAATTTTCTCTTAATTTTCTAAACAACAAATAATCGTGACTTCTATTTCCGATTTTTTAAATATTTTTATGTACTGAAAAAATGACTTGGAAAAAAGGGAAATTTTCGATAACATCTCGTGCCAACCAAACAAAAAGGAGAGAAGGGAGAGATGGCACTCAATTGTTGAAAAAAAATTTTTCCCATCATCATCTATTTAGTTTTTTTAAAATTTAAAGTTGAAAGTATGTAGATGTATAGACTATATCCCCTTTTAAATTGTTTTCCCGAGAGGATTTTATCAAGTGTTTTTGGTGAACATGTTAATTTCGAAATATATAGTAAAAATATTCCATCAAACCATTAAAAAGTGAAATATTTATATAAAAAATATTTTTATAAAAAAAAAAGAATGGAAAAAAATTTAAAAAATTGTTTAAAAAATTTTTTTAAATTATTTTTTATTAAAGAAATATTAGTACAACTAAGGAGAATTTTAAATTTTATTTTTAAAAATATGGGAAAATATTAATTGAATATTTGGGGTAGAAAATTAAAGTGAATAAATAAAAAGCTATTTAAAATTAAAGAAAGGAATTTTAGGTGTTGGAAGATTTCTGAATTTTGTACAAGTTAAAAATTACAAGACATTCAAAAGAGCAAATTGATTAAACAGTTGATTAAACCTATCTCGATTTAATAAAAATTATCAAGCCGGCAATATCGGTGTTAGGGGGGTTGAATGAATAACAAACAACCTTACTTCACTCATTAGCTCCTTACTCCATCCGAATGTCGGAGGATTTGAATGGAGCTAAATGGATTATATGTAGTGATATCCATAGAGTTCAGGGGATCTAAGGGAATATCGGGGGATAAACATATTATTCTCATTAGGCTATCTTCTAGGCTTTTTAGGCTATTTATAAAGGGCTAATAAAGGGCTAAACAAGGATTAAATAAATAAAATAATTTTTGACGTTAAACACAAAAAATTATGAGAAAAAGGTGTGGACTACAACAACAACACAACGAATTATTTAATCGAAGGTAATTTAATATTTTAATTGTATTTAAGAGTAAATAAATTTATTTATTTGTTTATTTTTATCACATTTTAGGTTATTTTTATTTAATTTATAAAAATAGGTAAAAAATAAAAATAATATTTTAGGGTTAATATTTTTAATTTTGACGTGTTATTGGAATCCCTTTCGTTAAAATTTTATAATTTTTGAATAAAATGAAATAGAAATAAAGAAATGAATAATTAATTAATCGCTTAAATCAGTTATTATTCACAATCCTTTGTTAAAGGGAAGCAATTATTGAGCCTTTAATTGAGTAATTAAATAAAAAAACGTAGGACAAACTACTTTATTTTGATAAATTAACTATCCAAAGATTCCTTTTATTTTAGAAAATCCACTTATTTCCCCGCATTTTCCTTTTCACTTTTTTAAAATTAAATTAAAGTTCTTTTCTGTAGGTCTTTAATAAATCGGCTTAGTACCCGATTGTAAGTCTAAAAATCCCGTTAATACGACACTTATCGAGCCGAATTTTGGTGTAGATTTATGAATGAAAGTGTTATTCGATCACCAGTTAAAGAAGGCTAAAAATACACTTTTCGGAATAGAATTGAAAATTGAAGTGACGTGTTATTGGGGGAGTCGCGATAAATTGAATAAAAAAATGTAAGACGAAATACTTGAAAAAGAATAATAATTTTTGAGAAAATCCAGTAAAAGTACCGGTAATTCCAAGGCTGGCCCCCCCCCTCCCTTAAAAAGTTTAGAAAATCGAAAAAAATAGAAGGAAAAAAAGGAGGGACCAGCCTTGGAATTACCAAAGTACCCTACCCATTTTTAATTTTAATAAAAATTAAAAATTTCAGTCTTTTTTATTAAAACAAAATTCGCGTATAAATTTGACACATAAAGAAAATTTTAAAATCTTCAGAAAAACATCTTTAAAAAAATTTTAAAATTTAATCGCCTATCGCCCTAATATCGGCTTGTAAAATTTAAATTATTTGAGAAATAAAAATTTAAACAAATCCTTCAAGCATAATAAAAAAATGGAAGTGACGAAAATTTGCACATTACTTAAGTTAAAAAAGAAATTATTTTGTTTTAATTCCCGCAGGGAAGTGGGCGAAATTTTTGAATAAAAAAATTTTTTCTTGAAGACAAATAGTAGAGAGTATATTTTAAATAAATAAAAATGTCAATTTTTTGTTTAAAATAGACAAAAAAATATTTTTTTTATTAAATTAATTTCCTCTTTATTTATAAAAAAAAGTTAAGTCTCCCTTTCATTAAAACAAAATTATTTAGAAATTCTTTTATGTCCAAAAATTGGATAAAAAAACAAAATTTATTTTAGCTAGGAAAGTCCTCCCTTTAAATTAAGTATTCAATAAATTTTTGGGAATATTTTTTAGAAAAAAATTTTCACATAAGATTTCATACGGGAATTTTTTGAATTCTTTTGGAATATTGGGAAGAGTTGGAATTTTGCAAACGCGAAATCTTTCGGAAAAGTTCCAATAATAGAATCATGCTTATAAGCGATGGAAGAGGATTGAATGGACTACAAAATGAGTATAGAAATATTAAAAAATATAAATTAGAAAAAAGGTTATGATCGAATGAAAACTGGCCGGTAACTTTTGGGCCACACTATAAATACAACCAAACCTCAACTATAAAATAATAACAAACTAGAGGTGGAGCGGTTCCAGATATCCGGATCCGAGAAAAGCTTGGTATCCGGAAATTTTCGGTTCGGTTATCAGTTCCGGTTCCCGGTATCCAAAGATTTCTCAGGAACCGCCAAACCTATCCTAAATTGCCTAAGAGATACCTCCTCTATTTAATATACAGTTCATTATAACGTACAATTTTTTCAGCTTCAAGGAGTAAGTGACGTAAAACAGTCAAATTTTTGAAATAAAATTTTAAATTATATAAAAAATAAAGAAATCCTAACAAAAAAAAATTTTAAAGTAAAAGGAACTAAAAAAATCAAAAAATAATTCTAAGAAATATTTTTTTAAAGTTAAAAAGATTTAAAGAACAAAAAAAGTAAAATGAAGAGGGGAAAGTGGGTGGGTGGAGACATTTTTAGGAGGAATATATTTATGTAAATTTTCTAGAAAAAAAATTTTTTTCAAAATTTATTTAGCAACTTTTATATAATAAAACAAAGCACAAAAAGGAGGAAATATTTAATAAACAAGAAAAAGAAACAAAAAAAGAAACCTTTTTAAAATAATTTGAAATAAATTATTTATGACAATTATGTACATAAATATATATGCAGAATTAAAAATACACACAAAAAATTATTTTTAGAAAATAATATTATTTTATATATAATTAAATAAAAGGATTTTTATTTAGAAAAATAAAAAAAAAATTTAGGTAAATTTTTATTTTAAAAATAATACGTAAAATGTAAAAAAAAATAAATTTTTTTAATTAATTGGGGTATAAAGTAATGAGGAGGAAATTGGTTAGGGAATTATTTAAGAATTATTTTTAAAAAGAATTATTTAATTCTGTCAGTTTAATTATTTTTTATATAGTTTTTGATCTATCCAAAAATTAATTAATTAATTATGAAATAAAATTTATGTTGATCGAATGGACAAAAATTAATAAATTAATGCTAGGATTCTTCTGTTATTCAATTTTAACTATCAGTGCTGGGTATGGCTCCGGGAGCTAGCTCCCGGATCCCGGTTCCGGAGCCGGAGCCAACAAATGGCAAATAACTATGTATGAAGGAGATATTTTATAAATCTTAGGGATATATTTACATCCCAGCTTTATTAATTTTGGAAAGACTTTTTGAGCTAAAATAGGAAGGTATATTTTCCCAAAACAATTTTCATTTCTTTATTTTCCAATTAATTAAAAAATATTTAATTATAATGAGAATATTAAATTTGATGTATTGATCATTTACTACCTTACGTAATTGGAAAACCAAATTTTAAATTAATTTTTCAAGTATTGAGGGTAACTAGAAAATGAAGTTTGACTTAGAGCTCGGACCGTACCGTACTACGGCCGTATCTTTTCGTTAATTATCAGTATTCTGTATCTGTAGTACGGCACTAATACGGCACGGAACAAAATTCCGGGCTCTAGTTTGACTGTAATAATAAGAGCTCAGACGGAGAGCTCGGTATTTTTTATAATTTTTTCGATAGTATCGAAAATATAGAAAAAAATCGTATCGGTCTGAGCTCTAGTAATAGTACAATAATTTTTTAATAAAAATATTTTCAAAAATTTTTTAGACTAAAAATATAAAAATAAAATTTATAATTTCTAAAATTGTTAGTCTATTTATTTAAAAATTCTCTTAATTATAAATTTATTCATAAAAAAAGAAACAATTTTAATCAACAAAATTTTAAAAGAAAAAAATAAATAAATGACGTAAAACCTCCTTTTAAAGTCTAATTTATTTATTTATTATTTAAATAAAAAAAATTTTTCTAAAAAAACATGTCATTTATTAAATATATTTTTTTATTTAAATCCCCCCCCCTCCCTCCTTTATTTTTTTCTAAACAATAAAAGCGTAAATAAAAGGAAAATTAAATTGTTTTTTTTTACTTTTTTAAATTAAATTGTTTTGCAATAAATTTTATTATTATTTAAAAAAAATAAAAAATTAAATTTGTTTCGAATATTTCCAATTTATTTTTAATACTCCCCCTCCACCCTCAATAATCGGAAATAAAAAAAAATTTTTTTAATGTTTATTTTCGTAATATTTATAAGACAACAATAAATAGAAATTGCTTTAATGTCTTAAATAAATTTTATTTAAAAATCGAGATTTTTAAATTTTGTACAAAGACATGCATACAAACAAACATAAATGCCAAAATTAAAATTTTACAAATTCAACTGTTTACCTAAAGTTTTGATTTAAAGGAGAAAAATGAAAATTACCTTGGATATTTTTAAATGATATTTAGGACTGGTTCGAAAAAAATATCTATAAAATTTTTATAGTAAAAAAGAATTATTAAATTATTAAAAATATTAATTAAAAAGATAACAATTATTAAATATTATAGCCATGGGTCTTGGCTAGTACATTCCTATTGAAGAAATGCTTTAGCACAAAAGTAAATTAAAACTCTACAAGTTGAAGTAGCCTAAAGTTACCCCAATCCCGTTATATCCGCACATCCACCCTACGAGAGGATTAAAGAATAGAAGCAAATGTAGTTAGAAATATTAGAACATTTACTGTATGTATGTAGTAGAAAAGGAAAAAATTTTAAAAATAAATAAATTAGGTTTAATTAAAATATTTTTATTTAATCCTTATATTTTTTAAACATTTTTTTATTGCTCGTTAAATGTGAATAACCCTAAACAATTTTAAATTGCTATAGGAATGAACAAAAAATAATAAAACATTTTTTTCTAATTTAGAGAACATTTTGTAATTAAATGAAAAAACATAAAAAACTTTATTGTTAATTATTTTGAGGGAAATATAGTTATGACTTTAAATATCCAAAAAACTAATCTAGTAATATTAAACTTATTCTCTCAAAAACAAATTTTAATATTTTTTGTTAGTTCAATATTTTAATAAATTTAAAAATTTAATTTTATAAAGATCAAGTTCTTTTTTCCTTCTCTAGCTGAGAAAATAGGGACAAGCCCAACCCTTATCAAATTTGGTATCAATCAAGTAATTTTTTTAGCTTGATGAGAATCGTCTAATATTTAATTTGATAAAATTCGGAAATTTTGAAGCAAGTTATGGCTTTGTCCCTACTTGGCCGTGCACCTACATGGGCTGTACCCGACAAAATGAAAATTAATTTATTATATGAGAAAATCAGTCAGGACAATTGAAAAATTTGATTTTGATTAAATTGGATAAAACTAAAATACAGTATAAAATAACCAAGAAAACTAGCAAAGGATTAGAAAAATCAAGACTAGCATTTTTATAAAAAAAAACTTGAGTTCTATGTATACGTATTAAATACTCAATTTTTAATGTTTCTGTTTTAGTCGGCTTTTTTAGCAAAAAATGCAGACCACAAAAAATATTTAATTCTTTTACTCTTTCAGTTTTTATTTACACATAAATATTTAATGTAAATTTAAAATTCAAAAATTAATCAAAATTTACACAAATTTGTGTTTCAAAAAAATCTTAAATTTTTTTTTTGTCAATCATTTATTTAGAAAAAACTTGAAATACAGAGAATACATTTTTAAATATATACTTTTTTTGGAAAAAATATAAAAGATATTCGTTGAAAAATGGCATTTTTAATATATTTATAGGCAAGTTATATTTAAATTAAAAGTTAAATTAATTTCTTTAAAAAATTTTTTTGTTTCTTAAAATATTAAAAAATTCATTTTCTTACATTTTTAAGGATCATTAAAAGTGATCAGCAGAAATTTTTAAAATTAAAATATTTACTTTTCTCTCCAAAAATTTCTTCTTTTTCAAATTGGAAGATGGGCCCGTTCACGACATTTTTGCATTAACAATCGATGTTGAAATTGTTGATGAGATAGTTGACGTACATGTTTTAAATAAGTCTGCAGATTGATTGAACCGCGTTTAAGTGATTGCCCTAAGCTATAAATTGTGTCGTCGATTGCACAATCCTTTGAAATGTAAAAAATTTTAAATAAAAATAAAGTTTTGTTATGAAGAGTTATCCTATGAAAGAGTTGTCGTATCTTGGAAAATCACCGGATATCCCCGGAACCGAAGAGAAAAATACTCGGTTTGGTTTCAAACCGACAATCCTAGTCATATGTGATGTTTATTGGATTCGCAACCTAAGAAAGTTTAATTGGAACCATTCGTTAGCTTATCCTTATTAATTTAAGAGCTATTAGTTGGCTGAAATTTCTCAAAATAGGTTAGCTAACACTAATATGAATAAGCTATCGGATAACCCCACTCTTTAAGTAACCCAATCCTAGATTCACAAAACATAAAATTCGATTTATGGGACACCTAAACTTGACAAAAAACCAAGAAGTCATAAAAATAATAATTCCCTTACTTGAACATAACATCGCAAAATTTGTTTATGTACAAGCTTTTGTGCATCAATAGCATCTTCAGGATTTAAATCTGACCCGCTTGCTTCTGTTGTTTTTAAAGCCTTTTCAAATTCCTCCTTTTTAGACTAAAAAAGAGAAAAAATTATTTAAAATAATTTACAAAAAACCGTGTAAACTCCAAGAATTCGATCAAGTTCTTGTTGGTCCCGTGTAATACTTTCCATCATTTCTCTCAATTTTTGTTTTCCACTGTGTAAATCACGAAGATTTGCATCAACTGATTGCAATTCAGCAAATGGAATTTCTACAAAAATTTTAAATAAAATATCCATTGTAAAAGAAACCAATTTTGTTGCGAACTTTTTGTCGAATTTTGTCTTCTACAGCGCTTAACAGACTTGCTCTTATATGTGTCGGTTGAATTGTGCTGTTTGAATAACCATAACCTGTACCCAAAGCAGTCGGATTTGCGGAGATAGAACTACGTTCAACAGATGGATATGGAGGAGGAACTGGTTGGTAGTGAGTTGGTGCAGGAAATCCTAAAAATAAAACAAATATACACAGAGAAATTTCAAGAATGTATTCAAAAGACAAATGAACCAGAGTAAAGGGCATGATAGAAACTAGAGACCGAACTCAAAGTGTCGTACGAGAATCGAGATCACGAAAAATTATCGATCTCGATAGCCGAGATTTTCGATCGAGATCTCGTCTCGGTTTGATCTCTAATAAAAACTGTTACTAAAAAATAAAAACCTCATTATTTTCAAATCAAAAATTTCAAATTCAAAAAATTTATAAAATTCCCTATAATTAGTTTCCAAAATTTAAGTAAACGATTTAAAAAATGTACTAGAATCTCCATTAACTGCCTACATTAACATTCTTAAATTTCTAACCTCCAACATTAGGTTGAGGCATCAAATTAGATGGATGTTCGACTGTCGGATAAGGCGGATCAACGCTTGGATAAGGAGGTGACACACTAGGATATGCATTTGGAGTTGGATTTGAGCAAGGATAGGGTGGCTGTTGAGAAGTCGAATGATTGTTGTTGCTGCTGTTATTTGCAGGCGACACAACAGTATAAACTGGACATTTTTCTTGAAAACTAATAGTGATAACCTTAAATTAAAATAATTTTAAAAAATCAATAAATCCAAAAATAAACTTGAAGAAGACCAGCAGTGTCATAATTTGGATATTGCCACTCAGACAAATAAGGTAAATAAATTCTCCCAGCAGAATCGACCACTTTAGACGGTTTAATGCGCATATTCTGAGTCGGCTTGACATAACAATGAGGTCCCATATAAGGATGGTTGTCAAGAAAATAAAGAATTACTGGAATGTGGTAATTCCCTCCCTTAAAAGGAAACAAAAAATAAATAAGAAAATTAAATTTCTAAATAAACCTTATAATGTATCGGAATAGTTCCATCCAAAGTTAAACAATTTTTGTTTATTCCATCACCAAAAGTAAAATTGCTAATATCTGGTTTAAGGTCTTTAAAATTATTCAATACATTAACCAAATCTTCTTTGGCCTCGTTGCAAAATTTCATTCTGGCACGTCGAATGAGAGAAGTTAGATCGCGATCTGCTTGTGGAGACATTGTAATGAAGACTAAAATGAATATGATATAGTGATCGGTGAGGGACGTTAGCAAGGAAAGATCCTTTCCTGTACTTTCTTGATTTGCGTGATTAATCCCTCTGGATCTCGCCAAGTAAATTTTTCAAAGAAACACTCATTCGGACCCAAAAATTTTTTTATTGCCATTTCACTGAAAAAATTTTTTCTAAATAACAAAATGCCATAATTGGCGAAATGTTTTTTTCCTATGGAACAATTGGACACAAAGACAATTCATATTGAGACAATTGTGTACTAGACAATTGTATATAGGACAATTGCACATTAAGTGGCTAAATACAATTAAGACAGCTATTATACTAGGAGAGAGAGAGATTGGATTCAATTGCAAATCCTATTTGCAACATTTTTTCTAATCTCTCACGTTTCTTAGGGTATAAAAGCATACTATTTGACCATATGTAGTAATTTCTTCAAAAATGTTTAGTCGTTACTTTAGCAAATTTTCACGCCTTAGCGCAACAATTTTCTTAATTGTCTTCAACGGATTCGTCAATTCAGCGGGTTATTCCACAATTGGTGAAGGTCGTCATACGATAGAAAACGGGACAGTTACGTTGGCAAATGGGTCAAGGATCGCAACCAGAGAAGATGTAGATGAGTATCAAAATCAACCACGAGCTTGCAACGTGGAAATCGACGCTGAAGGGAATATGTGAGGAATTTGTATCCTTTGAACAAAATTTTTTGTTATTTACAGCATTCTGTACTTCGATTGGTTCACTAACACTGCCTATGAGGGATGCACTGTAGATTTGGTTACCGAAATTGGGGGCGACAAAGAAACCAACGTTGTGGAGTTTACAGTGAGCTTTGATCATTATGGCGAGTCAGAGTTAAACACATGCATGAGCTGTGATGGTGATGGGATGAGCGGCAATATGTTAGTCTTATTTACGTTCAAAATAAAATATTTCTTTTTAGCATTCCATTCGTTTTCAACACTGATTCTAATGAGTTCGACGAACTTGTTCAAATGTCACCAAACGGATGGCCTTGTCAACAGCCGTGGAATAAGATGTGGAGTTCATCTGAAATTCGAATTTGTTATTCGGGGGATGAAATACAAATAGGGTCGTTTATAGGTACTTATTGCCTTTATTTTCGACTGTAAATTTAATATTTGCTCGTTTTAGACACTCGAGGACCTCTGAATTTTTGGTTTTGGTGTCATCGGGATGAAAATAGAACATTTGAAAATTTAACACAATTGGAGTTTAATGTGGAAATAACTGGAGAAACTTTTGTTGTGAACCATACGGACTATAATTTCTCAAGATGTAGAAGTGAAAGCTTTGCAAAGCCTTTGTGTTCGCCCGTTAAACCCAAAGTTTGGCCTATTGTGGGAAATGCTAAGCTGGAAGGAAAAGGCTTGCTTGCCTTCAGTCTTTTGCCTAGATATCAGATTATATTTCGCAGAGGATGTCATTTTGTTTCTCTGAAATTTGTGAGCTTTTACAATTTTCATTTTAACAATATTTTTTTATTTTTTTCCAGCCTGGCAAAAAATATTCTCTCCTGACAACATTACCTCCATTACCTCCAAAGCCTCTTACTACAATGAATGGAACAACAATTGATGAAATTATCACTTTATTCAAAAGTAGTTTTTGTATTTTCTGATTACATTTTCAATTTTATTTTTTAGACAATGGAGATTTTGAGTATGAAAGCTCGACTTCTGATTTATCACAAAACTTGACAAATCAACTAAATTCGTCCTCAATCCAAACAAACAAAACATCAATTATCGCCAAAATAAATGGGACTACAATGTTCAGCACTTTGACAAATGGAACCTTAACTGGCGGAAATTTAACAAATGAGCAAACAACTCCAACAGAAGAAACGACAATCAACGAAACATATTCTGGAACTCCACAGATCATCCCAGCCATAGTAGTTACTACAACCGAAGCAACAACTACTGAGGAAACAACGTTGTTAGTCGAAACAACAACAGAAGACTTCTTTACAACAACTGAGGAAGCTACGACCGATGAAGATACGACCGAAGATACAACTTATGAAGATACTACCGAAGATACGACTGATGAAGATACGACCGAATATCCAACAGAGGAAACAAGCATTCCAACAACCTCAACAACAACAACAACGATCGTAACTTCATCTGAAATGACCACAACGTTTATTGCTCCCACAGCAACTTCTGCTTCTCCAACAGAAGAAGAAACTACATCTACCTCTCAGATGGTCCTTCCTCCTCTTAAAACTTCAGAAAATCTTCCTGAAATAACAACACCAACAACAACAGAAGCAATTAAAACAACACAACAAGAAGCGTTAACTGCAACTAAAAGTTCTTCAAAAATTTGGATTTTTATTGTTGTGGTTGTTCTTTTGATGTGAGTTTAATGTTGGGACCTCATTGTGTGATACACCTTTGGGCTGAACACGTGGGAGTATCATAGCTTCCCACTCTTCCCTCCCTCTCTCCTAAAATGAGAGTGCCCTCTAGCGCCAACCAAATTAAAAAACCCTCGTGTATTCGTAGTGAGGTCCGACTACATTTATTTTTCTATTAATATCCAATTTTTAAATCTACCTCAATTTCAGATGTCTCAGTGTAGGTGGAGTCTTTTACTATCTCAACTACATGAAAAAGGAAGAACATTCTGTTGAAGAAGGTGTTAAAAGAGAGGATAGATCAAACGAAGAAGTCGACAAAACCGAAAGGGAAACAGAAGAGGATTCAATGAAAATTCTAAAAGATAAAAAGAAACATCCAAGATTTGATGAAACACAAAGAGAAACTAAAAGGGAAACTACTATTAAACAATTATTTGACAAAACTCAAAGAAGCGAAAGTGAAGAGAAATCATTAAAAGAAGAAGAAAAACTTGATGCAACTTCTAAAACAGTAAGCGAAGAAGAAGTAACTATTGAGAATAAAACATTGCTTTCTGTTTATGCATCACAAACTGGAAATGGTAGTAAATTAAAGGAAGCAAAAGTTGAAGGAGAAAAGTCAAAAAAGGATGAAGAAAAGAAGGTTGAAGATAAAAATAATAATAAAAATAGTAGTGTTGCACTTTGATATATTTATATTAATTTAATTTTTGTTGTAAAATTGAAATGTAATCAACCAACATCACTTTAGGTATTTGGTTAAGTTTTCGTGATTTTCGGAAAATGGCCCAGAGGGATCCTTGGGGTTTTCTTCAACCCTAATAAATTTGATTTCCACACGGTCACTTTTATGCTTTGGACCATTCTTAAAAAACAAAAGAAAGTTTAACTTTTGAGTAAGTCGTTTACCAGTCGGAAGACTTGTATCTTAACAGCTTCCTCGCCTTCGACAAATCCTTTGATAGGATCGGACCAATATTTATCCACATCCGTAAATTTAATTTTGAAACAGTAGGTTACACAACGCCTGTGGGCTGTCGTTGTGAATAGCTACTCCGGTCTGCGGATTTGTCGAACGCTCTGGAGCTGCAAATGTACACGTGTTCCGTAAGGTGAGTGACATACTCAAAATTTTAAAAATTATATTATTTTTAAAAAGAATAGTCCCAAGTCAAACAATGATCGGATTGAAGTTGAGTTTATTTGAACTGACGATAACGTTAAGGATCCTTCTGTACCATTTAAAACCCAAAAACCATTCCGGATAATCAAAGTGGAATTGAAAAATTGAAGTGGTGTTGAGAAATTGAAGGATTTTTTTTTGTCTAAACATTTGGGTGTCTGATTTTTCTGATGTTGTTATAAATAGCTGCCAAAAATTGCATTTGTAGTTTTTTACATATAACAAAACTATTTATAACAACATCAGAAAAATCAGACACACAAATGTTTAGACAAAAAAATCCTTCAATTTCTCAACACCACTTCAATTTTTCAATTCCACTTTGATTATCCGGGATGGTTTTTGGGTTTTAAATGGTACAGAAGGATCTTTGATATTATCATCAGTCCGGATGAATTCAACTTCAATACGATCATTATTTGACTTGGGGCCATTCTTTTTAAAAATAATATAATTTTTAAAATTTTGAGTGTACATTTGCAGCTCCAGAGCGTTCGACAAATCCGCAGACCGGAATAGCTATTCACAACGACAGCCCACAGGCGTTGTGTGACCTACTGTTTCAAAATCAAATTTACGGATGTGGATACTTTTTTAGGAATGGTCCAAAGCCTAAAAGTGACCGTGTGTAAATCGAATTTATTAGAGTTAATAAAAACACAATGGGTCTTTTTGCGCCAGTTGCCAAATCAAGAAAACTTAACCGAATATTTTAAGTGACGTTGGTTGCCTGATAGAGATATGCCTGATTAATTTAATTGTATTTTTAACCAAAAATAAACTTAACAATTGAACAAAAAATAAATTAATTAAAGTTTTTTTCCTTTTTAATTCCTCCTCTCAATATTTCACGAAAAGAAAGCCTTAAATTTAATAAAAAAATAATTAAAATCTCTCCCTCCAAAAAAACAAACAAACATCGTCATCATCATCGTAGGAAGGAGTGTTTGTTGGTGGATGTTTTTTCTTTAAATTATTATTTGGTGGGGGTAATCTATTAATATTTCTTGCAGTTAAAGAAGATCTAAGTCCTGACTGGAAAGGAGTTATTTTTAATTGTTTTTCTAATTGAATTCTGCGAAGTTCAACTGTTTTTAAAAAAATAATAATTTTTTAAAATTAAAATTTTATTCAAACCATTAGTTAAATGAATTTGATTAACTAATTCTGGTGAAGGAAATTCTGAATAAAAAAAATTAAATAATTTTTAGTTTGTTTTTACCTTTACCTTTTGACTTTTCTGAAGAAGAATCTTTCCTTATTTGATACTTTTGGTTTTCAATTTCTTCATCCATTGTAAATACACATGGACGAGCATTAGAAACTATAATTATAATTTGTATTTATGTTAAGAGAGTTGAGGAAGGTGAAGGAGGGATTAAGGAGAGCAGGAGCATATAAGGCAATTTGGACGAATTATGGGGGATATAAAGGGATTAAGGGATATAGAGGTCCCGTTTAATCACAATAAATCCAGTTGATACTCTATATGAAACAATTAATTGTAAAGTATCTGGAATTCTTTTTAGATTTTTAGCCAGCTATTTCGGGTCAAGTTATTCATAGAAGGAAATTAACTTAAAGTGTTCAACTAAAAATAATCTTGTAATGAACATTTATATTTTCAGAATTAAACAAATCTGCCTTAATCACTTCCACTCTAACAAAAAAATATTTTTTACTTTCAGTTTTTTCATTTTGACATTTATTTTCATTTTCTTCTATTATTCCATAATTATTAGAAGAGGATGATGAAGATGAAGAAGAACAGGAATAAATTCTTTGTCTAAATTTATTATTCTCAATTTCTTTAAAAGATGTTTGAACTGTTAATTTTGGAAGAACCCTTTTCTAAAAAATTTTTTTGTTAAAGATATTAATCAGTCGAACCTCTATTTTAAATATCATCTTGAGTATGGTATCACGACTTATGCGCCGAGAACATTTGCGCCGCGACTTTTGCGCCGCGACTTTTGCGCCGCGACTTATGCGCCGGGCGACTTTTGCGCCGCGACTTTTGCGCCGCGACTTATGCGCCGCGACATTTGCGCCGCCATGCTTTAAAAAAATAATATCTAAAATCGGACCTAATACTCCTTAAAAAATTGTATCCAGGAGCTGAAGGAATTTCAGGAAGTACATACAATATTTCGGGAAGTACAATAGCCCCCTCTAATAAACCGACCCCCAAAAGGGTTCATCTTCAAAAAACTTGACTTTTTCGGATCAGGATATTTGGTCTGCTACACCTATTCAGGCATGATTTTCTGCCAGAAGTGGGTGCACTATAGTATAGGGTTGTCGGGTCCAGATATCCGGATCTGAAAAAGGCCGGATAGCCGAATCCGGCATTTCTATATTGAGGGTCCGGCTGTAGTTTTTCATAATTATTAATGATAGTGGCGGCGCAAAAGTCGCCCGGCGCATAAGTCGCGGCGCAAAAGTCCCCCGGCGCATAAGTCGCGGCGCAAAAGTCCCCCGGCGCAAAAGTCGCTCGGCGCAAAAGTCGCGGCGCAAATGTTCACGGCACAAATGTCGCGGAACCTTGAGTATGTATCAGGGATGGATAATTTTCAATTTTAAAAAGCGAGAGACGGAAGTGGAAGAGCAAAAAAAAAGCGGAATTCTGCGGAAGGCGGAAGCGGATCCATCCCTAGTATGTATCTTATGGACCGTATCTTAGAATAAAAGATATCCTAAATATTAGACAGCTTCCCCACGCAACGGCCAAACAAACTTTAAAGTATCTTAGATTAAATGTACCTAATTTTGGGAGTATCTAAAAATGAGGGTCGACTTGTTTTTTAAGAAAAACCTCTATATTATTGTTCTCTTTATTTTCTAATTCTTCCATCAAATTATTTTTAATTTGGTTTATTGAATCCTACAAAGAATATTTTTAAATAATTTTTTAAAATTAATTTTTCCATACATGTATTAAATTCTGGTCAATATTTCTTTTTAATAAATCAGAATCAGAAATTGCTCTTCTTTTTATATTTTTATTTGGGTGATTTTGTTGATTAAAAGACTTTAAAAATTAAATTTTAAATTAAAATTTAATTTAAAGAGAAAAAATACTTGATTAATTATATTTTGTAAGGGTTGTGTTGAATAAGGCAAATCATTTCTTGTAAAATTATTATTATTTAAATTATCTAAAGTAATCTTTCCACAACAATAAAAATATTGATGGAAAAATAATAAACTTTAAAAGGAAATTTTTAAAAAATAAAAAAATTCAAACCATTTTTTTCTATTTAAAATAAAAAATAAAAATAATATTCCAATAATAATTACACAAATAATTCCCAAAATAAGTGGAAACCAAAAACGTTTAATTCTTTGTTCTCTGATATTCTTTAAATTAGTTAAAATTAATTTTTCTGAATAAATTATAATAGGGACTTCACTATAAAATACCCCCAAAAATCCTTACTTTAGGCGATACGTTTTATTTAAAAACTAGAGTTGCACGAGATCGAGATTTTAGAAAAAATCCGAGACCGAGATTGACCGAGACTCGCATGACCGAGACCGAGACCGAGATGCAAAATTTTACCCGAGACCGATATCGAGATCCGAGATAAACCGAGATTTTTCAAAACCTTTTTTATCCACTAAAACCCATTTAAATTAGGTGACCCAGAACGCTCGGGGGCGGGTATGTCGGTGTATGGGGTTTTCAAATTGTTTCGGGGCGGGGTTCGGGTCGGGGGAGCAAAACATGGTCGGGGTTTGGGTCAGGGTACGGGGGTTTACTGGAAAAATTTTTTAAAGAAAAAATGCTCTAAAAATAAGCCATTTTCTGTCTATTTTCGCTAATTTATTCAGAATTAATGAGAATAAGGTGGGATTAATGGTTTTGATTGATTTAAAATGTATATCTGGAAGTGTTTCACCGGAAATTTCGGTTTCGGTTCCAGTTTCGTAAAGTTCGGCGTTTTTTGGTTCCGGTCCGGTTCTGGGATACGAACTCAAATTGGATCCGGTTCTGGTCAGAATTTCGGTTCCGGTGACAATATTTAAAAATAAGATTAACATTTTAAAATAACTCTTTTTTGTAAAGAAAAAATAAAACCAAACAAGTTCTGATTATTTGGATCCAGGTCCAATCCTATGTTCATGGAATTAAAGGCTAAACCCAACAACTAAGCCACTCAACCACAGGTCTCTTAACAGAGAGTGAGATTTTTCCCCCCAAAAATGAGAGAACCTGGTAAAGAACCTGGTAACCTTGCGCCGATTTGCTGCGGCGCGAGCATTCCAACTAAGAACAGTGGGAAGAGCAGACAGTTAACGGCAGCGCAGACTTTACTCTCTAACCATCGGGAAGGTTGATGTGTATTCGGCCGCGCCTATTTGTCCTGCTCCGCTCTCTAGACAACTAAATTAAAGTGAGCACAACAATATGCCAATAGCGAAATTTTAAATTCAAGAAGGTCAATCTTCAGGGGTGTATACTGATCTCGGATCTCGGCGAGATTAAGTGCCGAGAATCTCGTCTCGGTTAGGTGGTCTCGTCTCGGCAAAACCGAGACCGAGATTGGAAAATGGCCGAGATTCTCGTCTCGGTCTCGGTCGAGATATCGATCTCGTGCAACTCTATTAAAAACTAGTGGACCAAAAGGAGGAGGGGCTGTCTAAGCAATACCTTCTCATTTAAGATCACGTATATGCTCAAATAATTAACCTCGCATAAATAATTACTAGAATTCGAAATTTGGAAAATGCCGGATCCGTTCCGGGATTTAAGAATTTTTTTTATCCGGACCGATTTTTCAGATCAAAATCCCGAAAATCGGAAAATCCCGCCCGGATCCGGTCCGGATTCGAACTCTAATAATTACCCTCTCAGGCAGATGTTTAAGTAATAAATAACCTAATGGACCGGAACGAGATCTCGATCAAAAATCTCGTTTATCAAGATGGAGATTTTTTGAGGATACAATTTTTTGTTCCCAAGTATTTCCCTTATAGTGATGTCTAATTATAATTTTTTAAATCCAATTTACTTGTTCATTATTTAAAAATTCAACAAATATTTTTCTACATTCAAATATTTCCCCTCTAATTTGTATACATTCACTTCCTTTAAAAATAATTTTTACAAAAATATTCTTTTATTTTTTAACCATTAGGACAAGGTTCTGGCTGGTCAGGTTTACAACTTCCATCCCATACTTGATCACATTCAAAAATATTTTTAGCACCTAATTGTTTAGTTATATACCCCTCTGGACATTTTTTACATTTATTAGAGCCATATTCATTCTTTTTAAAAATTAATTTTTTTATAATTTTATTTTCACTCTAACCTCATAATAACCAATAGGGCAAGGCAAACAAATTTGTAAAAATTCAAAATTTAAATTAATTTCTTCATTAATTAATTTATTATTTGTAAAATAGCCAGGGGGACAATTAATTTGGTTACACTCTTTTGAATTTAGAGAACCTTCTTTTTTTGTTGTAAAACCAATCTTTTTTTTTAATTTAAAAAATAAAATATTTTAAATTAAATATTTAATACTCGACATCGTTGACATACACTCATTAATCCTTCCCTAAATGTTCCTTTCATACATGGGTGGCATTGCTCGTTTTGGTCCATTTCTTCTCCATCTTTACATTTAATTGAGCATTCTTCTTTATTTGTTGAGCCCTTTATTGAATTACAAAGTGACTTTTAAGTAAATCTTCAGAGATTAGATTAGGTAGATTGTCATTAAAGGCTCAGAATTGAGGTGGTGTTGGAATTTCTAGTTTTGTCTTACGATTTCCAATATTCGGATAGCACCGATTTTCTACACCTCTGACTATTCTGTGTAGACTTTAAGTAAAAAATTGAGGTGGGTTGGAATTGGTGGTTGGAAAAAACAACTCCTCTTCCAAGTCCAGTCTCCCTAGACACGAGCATTAATAACTCTAATAAATTAATTACCTCCCCAACAGTAGTTCTATCTATTGGGCATGCCAAACATTTTAATCTTCCACTATAAGGCATAAACTGCCCACGAGGACAAGGAATACATTTATCATTTTCCCAATTATAAATATAGCCAGGAGAACAATTTTCTATTTGTTAAAAATAATTAAATAATTATTTATTTAAATAATTACTATAACAATCAGATAAATATATACAGCCAGATACACCCCCAGTTATTCTTCCATTTGGACATGGATTACAATTTTGAATTCTAAAAATAAATTCTAAAATATTTTTTGACTAAATTAAAAACCCTTCAGTTGTTTTAAAAGTATTTGGAGGGCATTTTTCACACTTGCCTGATGAGACATTTTTATTCAAAATAAAGTCAAAATTCTAAAATAATTAATTAACATAAATGCTCTAATTAAAGCCTTGGGCGTCTATTTTTCAATGTGTCACTTGAGTGGACTTAGATAGGGGGGCTTATGTTAGAAAATGAGCATTTATTTTTCAATACCTAAACTTGGATCAATTAGATTTTCAACAGAGTAAAAATAGGCCTAATTTATAAAAAAATGTAAAGAATATTTAATAACATTCCCCTATCCACTATATCCCCTATATATTCATGTATCAATATTTACTATCCCTTAAAAGTCACCAAAAAATTTTTTAAAAATAAATCAAAAATGATCTTATTTACTTTAGTAGTAATTGTTGTATATTTCTGTTCAGTATCCTTCCAAGTTTCTCCTGGAGCACAAGTAGAACATTGAATAATTGGAAGGGATTTGGGATCAGAAATGTTTGTATTCGACTAGAAAATAATTAAAATATAAATTTGGATGTAGCTTTGGATGATCTTATAATGAGGGTATTTTAAATAGGAGGTATAACTTAGACATCCCCTCTCTATAGTAGACAACTAATTTTTTAAATTGTGTCTTAAACTAAGGTTTATCCATCAGTGAGGGCCGACTTTATTATTAAAAATCACCTTATTTTCAATATAAAGTTGAGGAAAATTATCAGAACAACTTAAGCGTGTTTGTTCTTCCTCAAAATTATTTCCAAACAAAGACTTTAAATAATTTAAAATAATAGGGCCAACAGAATATTTTAAATTTCTTTTTTTAAAAATAAATTTAATTTTAAACTTTAAATATTTAAATTACCTTAAATTTAAATAAAATTTAATTTTAATTATTTTTTTATTTTCTTCCCGTTTAATTAATCTTTTTTGAATTTTATTAAAATTTCCTTCCATCCAAAAAGTAGATTTTTCTTCATTTTCAAAAGAACAAGCAGTTCTAATAAATAATTGGCCATCGCAATTTTGTTTTTCACAAAAACCTCCAAACTGTTTAGAAATATTTAAAATACTTCGAGTCTATAAAACAGAAATATTGGAAAAATAAGGAAGTAGATAAGGTAATATATTTTTGAAAATAAAAAGGAAAATGTCCTAAAAATCAATCTAAACTAGAAACTTGAGTTGGAGGGTTGTAAGTGAATCGAGACTGATATCTCGAAGAATACCGATCAAGATAACAGGGATTCTTTTCGATATCTTGTCTAGGTTTGTAGTCTGAATATTCCTGAAGCCCAGTTTTTTTTTGTCTTTTTGAAGAGTCAAATCGGTTGGTATTAAATTAAACTAAACAAACATAGGAACCAAGGCCTGTCCGTCTCGATTCCCGAAAAGCTGGAATCATTTTGGTTCTTAAAAGATCCCCAAAACCCCTTAAAGTCTACTCGAGTATCTTTATTGAGGCCCTGATATTTTAACTTTAATTAATTAATAACAAACAATTTCATCTTGATATTCATTATAATCAGAGCAAAAACCATTAAAATTTAAATTCCCCTCAATTTCTTGTAAAACATTTTCCGTAGAAGAACATGAAGGAAATTCAAAAGGAATTCCTATATTTTCCCAATGATTCCATTTCCCCTTAAAATAATTTTTTTTCTAAATCTACATAATTTAAAAACCAATCTATCACAAATATAAAATGGCTGTTGTTTTTTAAAAATATATTCATTATTTTTACAAAATAATTTTGCATTAAATTCTGCTTCAAAATTTTCTTTCAAATCCATTTTATTTAAAATAAGAATTGTTGAATTATTATTTTTTGAATTATTTGAAGGTAATTGACATTTATTTGGAGAAATTATTATATTAAACTAAAAAAATTTATAATTAAGTTGATCCCCAATTAGTTAAATGGGGAGCTCGTCCTATTTAAGAACGAGCAAACGATGCTTTTGCGCTAACTCTCCGACTAACCCTTCAATTAACCAGCTAGCTGATCCCATAATCCTATTTTCCTCTGGATTCTATAGTCTTTTCATTATTAGAGATCTGGACATTAAAAACCCTTCCGTTGTAAAAACCCTTACTCATTATAAGAAAGGTATCTGAAAATGAATTTATCCAAAAATGAAGTCCAGAGATCCAAATGTTTAATTAAACTTAAATTACCTCACAAGAATTCCAATAACCAAAAGAATCTCCAACATAATAAATAATTCTATGATAACCCCACGTAAATATTTGTCCAGGTCTAAAATTGCTTTCAAAACTAACAATTGGGTTTTGAATGGGGAAAGGAAACATCTTATTAAATGAATCTAAAAAATTATATAAATTTTTAAAAGAATTTTTAAAGGAAGAGTTGACTTTCTCGTCATAAATCCACACCAAATATTATAACAGGAAAGTCAACTCAACTCAAAAAAAATAATAAACTAACCATCCCAATTAACATTAATTAATCTTTGATTTGGATTATCCAAAATAATTTGTTGAGATTCTGGACATTTAATTGGAATTTTTGTTGATTTAACTTTAAAATATAACAAAAATATACTGTCAGACTTTACTATAAAATATACACTTATGGTTGAAATATCGTCCTTAAAAATCGTCCTTATGTCTTAAAAAGAAGAGGGTATCGCTTAGGCAGCTCCAACAACCCAACGTCCAACCAATATTTAAAAAAAATGTATCCTTAAAATAGAAGTGTATTGGGAAATAAAAATCCGTCACCTCTAACATACACACAATCCTGAGGACTTATCTTAAAGGGAATATATGGAATAAAAGGGGGTAAAGGTTATAGGTCGGTAGAAGAGGGATAAAGTGGATATATGAACTAAAAGCCGGTAAAGATTATAGGTCGAATAATACGGGATAAAGGGGATATATGGAATAAAAGGGGATAATATGTTCCTAAAATAGAGGGTATCTATTATTGCGAAATAATGCCTCCCTCACCTCTAAAGTACACAAAACCCTAAGGGTTTATCTTATAGAGTATATATCTTTTAAATAAAAATTTAAATTACAATTTTTATTTTCATTAAAACAATTATTTTCTCCAAATTTACAATAATTATTTAAACAAATTCCGGGATGTATAACAATAATTGCCGAATTATAAACAATAACACTACTAAAATCAGTCCAAGCAATTGACGGTTCAATAGAAAAATAATTATTATTTAAACAATTATTCAATAAATAATTAATTTGTTTTGAATTAAATAATTCCGAATAAAGCTAAAAATAATTTTTTTTAATTTTATTAAAGAAAAATTTAAAAAATAAAGTCGGTCCACATTATAATTAATTGAAGACCTTCGGATTTAAAAAACACCTTATAATGAGGAGAATCTTAAAAATTGAGGGTATTGTCTAGGCAGCTCCTCACAAAGGTTGGCGGATCCCTGGAAATCTTCGGATATCCTAATCGAAAATTATGCATATCCGGATCCGCCACCCTTACTCCCTACCCAACGGCAAAGATTATATTCATCTCCAGTATTAGGGTAGGATTTTTCGAATCTGGCCGATGTTCGAGTCATTTTTCGGGCCAGAAGTGGATGCACGATTCGATCTACTGAACCGGGCTCCCAACCCTAGTAAAGACCGACTGAAATAATTTTTTTAATTAAAAAAATAAACTTCAGCTTTGCTAATTTGTCCAATAAAATTATTATTTTCTTCATTTCCATTTTCTCCAATAAAAACAATACACTCGTTATTTATTAATTCAGGCCATTTCCAAGAAAATATTAAATTTTTAATTAAATTTCCATTTAAATATAGACTTAAATAATTATTTGAATTATCCCCATTAGAAGCAATACAAATCTTTAAAAATTAAAAAATTATTATTTAAATATTTAAATATATATACGTGATTCCAATTATTATCAAAATTTTCTTTATTTCCATAAGTGATATTTAATTGAAAATTTTTTGAAGTAAAAATATTTAAGTTAAATTCATCTAATTCTAGTAGGCTTGTATAACTTTAAAAAAATAAAAATAATTACTAATTACTTAATGTATTGAAACTCAATTTTGAAATGAAGGATATACGCGAAATATGTGTACATACGTTAACAATGTAAGTACGTTAACACAATACGACACCAGGACTGAAGATCCAGCCCTGGTACACACCCCCCACACCCTCATTTGCAGGTCTCTTCACATTAACTACAGTCTTTTTCTATCCGAAAGGTGAAAGCAAGATTCGACACCGACTCCACTTGTACGACAATCTCACTTTAACAGTTTTTCTGACGAGATCACGGGAGGTGCCGTTACAAGTCAAACCCAATTTAACTTACTATAAAAAGCCTACTTCCCTACCCATCAAATTAATCACTCTACATTCACCACTGATCACCAAAGCCGTCTTCATTGTCAACTATCAAATGGCTCAGGCTCAGCGCGCAACTTGTCCCGAATGCAGGGCGGAGGTCGGAAGCCAGCCTACAATCTTCGCTCAGGGGCAGCTTTGGTATGTTTCTCAATTCGTTTTTTATCAAAAAATATTTTTTTCATTTTACAGGCATCGTGAGCACTTCCGTTGCGCCAACAATGATTGCCGCCGTCCATTGGATGCCAACTATCAGGCAAGAAATAATTCAGATTTGATTTGAATTTTCAATAAACAAAAGTTTTTTTCTAGGTGTTCGAGAACCGTCCCTACTGCCTGGAGTGCCATGCTAATCGCCGCAATCCAAGATGTGCCCTCGAGACTTGCCAACAGGTCCTGGCTGGAGAGGTCTACTTCGCTTTGGACAACTACTGGCACCCGCAATGCTTTCGCTGTGAATGATGTTCTCGTCCATTGGAAGGCGGAAACTACTACTTGGTGGATAATCGACCATACGGTGTGAAAATTTTTTTTTTGAAAATTTTTTTGAAGAAAAAATTATTCATTTTTTTAGACTTGGCCTGTCACTGGGGAAGGCGTCTCGCTCTTCAGAACAGAAACGACCAGCTCTGATTCTGCTCTCTCACAATGACGTCTTCGATGCTTCAAATAGGATCAAATGCTAATAATGAAGGATGCTAATAATAATGTTGATATAGATATTCTCTAAATAGATATATGTATTTTTGTGATTGTATATAGATTATTGTGTGTATGTAAATTGTTGATTGTTTATATTGTATATAAAAGTAATTTTGTGTTCGTGGTTGGAATTTTGGGGAAAAACTTGAATTTTTCCTGCGCATTAAAGAGCAAGTGATTTCTCATGAAACTTAGTCATCCAAGGATGATTCACTTAGCAGCGATTAAAACGCTTATGCGGGGGTTAAAGAATCTAGAAAGGGAAAAGATAAAGCATTAAGTAAATCAATGGCAAAGCTCATATATGTGGTGAGCGAAAGCTATGTAGCAATAACTACGAGGGCGCAGGTTCGAATTCGCTAAACTGTCATACAATAAGAGCCAAAAACACATTCCTTATAGGCTATTAAAAATTCCTTGGGTAAATAAATTTAAAAAGTATCCCAGATCTCATCATAATTTTTTATCTCTCAAATCCTAACAGAACTTTAGATACCTAAATTTAATTTTAAAAATAAATACGAACTTTTTTCCATTAAACATAGCAAAAGTAAAAAACGTTTGCCTTTTCCTATCATTTTCAAAATAATTATTAATTAAATTCTTGTCAATTTCTCCAAATTTAACCCACAAACAAAAAGTAAATTTTTCTTTAAAAAATTAAAATTTTAAAATTAATTTAATTTGCAATTTACCTAAAGTTGTTTTACACGGAAATAATTGAGAATTAATTTTTTGATTAATTGGGGAATTTATTTTGGCTTTAATTCCAGCAAAATATAAATTAAAATTGGGTAATTTTTCTTTAGAAAAAAAATTATTTAATTAATTAAATAAATTTACTTGTTTCACAATAAATTCCAGTAAATGAAGGTAAACATTTACAATAACGATGGGTTGTGTTTGGTAATAAATGACATTCACCCGCATTATTACAATAATCTGGTTTTTGTTTACAGGGATTCTGAATAGATTTTTTTGTGTGAAAATTTTAAAAAATTATTTTTTGATAAATTTAAAGTATTCTTTAAATAAAAAATAAAGGAACACGGCATTCCAACTGAAATTAGAGCTGTTTCGAAACAAAAAATCTTCGAAAATTGGAAATGGAATGTTTGAAATAGCTCTGAGGGGAGTGTATTTTTTAATTATTTGGTGTATTTGATACGACTTAAGTCCGAGATAATTTTGTCCTTAATCACTTTGCCCTTAAAATATTTATTTTTTTAGACTTGGCCTGTCACTGGGGAAGGCGTCTCGCTCTTCAGAACAGAAACGACCAGCTCTGATTCTGCTCTCTCACATCATTGTGAGAGAGCAGAATCAGAGCAGAGCAGGCTCTGAGGGTTGATTAGATCCCCAGGGTTTGCTGAGGCATTGAGGCTTGCCTAGGACTAAAATTTTATTTTTCAGAATTTTGTTAAAATCCTTTATAAAATACAAATTTTTCAACCTCATGAGGGTATCTAAAAATCAATTTTGACGATACATACATTTTAATTTACAAAATTATTGGCTGAATTAATTCTTTATTCCTTTCCTTACCTCTAAAATATTCATCGAATTATCTCCATCAACAAATAAATTTTCCTTAAGATTTTCACAATTTATACCTGAACCTGAAAAATATATTTTCAACAAAAAATTTCAAAATTTCTTTCAAAAAAACCATTATTTAAACATTCACAAAAATATTTATTTTCAACAGAATTATTTAAACAATTCCCTCCATTTAAACAAATTTCAGGTAAAGAACAATAATTCATTAAATATTCACAATTATTACCCTTTTAATTTTTAAAATTAATTTAAATTAATTATAAAAACAAACAAAATAATTATTTAAACATTTGCATTTAATTGAAGAATTAAAAGAAATACATTCTCCCCCATTTTTACAAAAATTATTTTGGTTAATACACAAATTGTTAAATTGAGGAATACAAGAATAGGTTCCTAGAAAATAATATTTTTAAGTAAATTTTTAGTCGAATCTAATTTAAGGTACACGATTGACCATTAGTATAAGAATGAGATTACTGGTTAACTGACTACAAAACAATGTGGTTTTTGTTGGTGGTAAAGTGGGGATCTTTAAAAAATTCTGATTTAAGTATAAGAAGGTTAACCGTGATTTTGACTACCGAGAGTCTTTTGAACGATTTACTAAGTGACCTTGTGACTAAAAAATTGTACCTTATAATGAAGAGAATCAAAAAATCGTATCTTATAATGATCGATACCTCCTTAAATTGAAGGAAGTATTCAGCTCCTATCAATAGCTACCCAAAGTTAAAAAACGTATTTTATAAATAAATTAAGGGTTATCTAAGATAGCTTATAGTGAGGTTCGTCCGTATAATTAAAATTCAAAAAATATTCTTTCAATTCTCTCCAACCTTCATTATTATTATTATTATCTCCACATTTACACAATAATTCTATTGCCCCAGTACTCACATTAAAATAAGCATTACATTCATAATTTTCTTCCTTTACACACAAACCATTAAATAAATTACAAGGATTTAATTTAAACTTGAAAATTTAAAAATTAAAAATTTTTTTAAAATTACTTGACATTTATTTCCATAAAATCCAATTAAACATTTACATAAATTATTTTCAATACATTCACCTCCATTTAAACATTCACAAGAATTGTTTTTTGAATTATTATTTTGTTTACCTTCACAAAATTCTCCAAAAAATCCTTTTGAAAAAAATAAAATATTTAAAATATAAATAAATTTAAATAAAAAAATTTTAACAAGAAAAAAATTAAATTAAAATTAAATATTTTTATCCCATAAGATCCCATACTACTAGTACAAATTTTGATACGGCTTAAATTCTAATTTCCTAAAATTAAACCTTTCCAATTTAAAAATAAAAAGGAGTCTTTCGCCCGTGTTAGAGGTGGAGGTGGACCGGAAGTGTGAGGTGGAGGTGGTCCTCTAGTCCACTAGAGGTTGACCGGAAGTGTCAGATTAAAAATGAGATTCTAATCCACCTCTGCCGATTAATAACCAATAAAAATTAAAGAACTCAAATTTTATTAAAAATATAAATTTAATTTTTTTAATTAAAATTACCTTCTTTACATTCACAAAAAATAATTTCTTCTTCAAAAATATTATTTCCACCTTCTTCATTTAATATTTTACAATAACCATTTTTTCCACACCAATTTTCTTTTATACATTTTTCTATTTTTGTTTCTTTTTTAATTTGGCAATAATTACCTTCAAAATTTGAAGGGCACAAACATTTTGTTGATGAACTTTAATTTAAAAAAATAATTAATTTAGTTGTTAATTTAATTATAAATACAGACAAACTTCACAATAAGATGCCCCCAAAATTAGCTAAACTCTATTATTTAAGATATGCTTTTAAAAATTTTGATTAAGCACGGAGAAAGGGGATTAAGGTACTCCTTGTTAGGGTTGTCCCCCCCCCCTCCCCCCGTGCTGCTGCCTCCCTGCGAAGTTATTTCCGTGGCTCTCCCCCAGCCCCTACAACTCTACTCCTTGTACTTAAGTAACAATTTTTACCAGCTCCAAGGATTTATCTAAAAATTAGGTTCGACTGTATATTAATTTAAAAAAATTAAAAAACAAACATATTTTCATTATTATTTATAGAACAAATCCCTCCATTTAAACATTTATTTAATTGACATTTATTTTTATTTATTTCATTATTATTTATGTTATATTCAGTTATATTGTCTTCTTCTTGTCTTTGATTTATTTCACATCTAGTTCCATTAAAACCTTTTTTAATAAATTATTTAGAATCTCACTATAAGATACCCACTTGAGAGATGAAAAATGATAGCTTATAATAGTGATGCTCGGGGGAAGAAAAAACCCGGGAATCGGAAAACGGGAGTCGGGTGGGGGAATTGACATCGGGATCGCGATGCCAAAAACTCGGGAAATTTTTCCGAGTCGGGATCGGGATACCCGAGCATCACTAGCTTATAATGAGTTGTGTCTTAAATAGGGGGTTTCGCCTACCCAGTAACTAACCAATTTTAAAAAACAGCTATCTTAAATAAAGGTGTATCCAATTTTGGGTGTATTCTATAGTGAGAAATTAATTA